TTTGTCAACAAAAACAAAACATCTCTTGAAGATTTTAACATGGTAATTACCATGGCATTGAGGTCTATCAGCTGGCTGGTTTTCAGGTTACATGGATTGAAATTGGGTGAGTGCGTCATTGTTCGTCGGGATGCAGGGTCTGTTTGCATGCAGCAGAGGGTCCATGCACCAAGCACATCACCTCAATTTGGAAATGTCTCAGGCACAAACTGAAACTTTGATGGTCCCTGCCCGGCAACAAGCAAGATAGCTGTACCATCCTTGTTGCCGCAACACCCTTTTCTGGTCCTGCATAATGCATACTTGGTTACCTCTGGCTATCAGAGCCAGAGCTCATATTAAGAGAAAGTGTGCACAGCTAAGTCTGAAGTACCATTAGATTGGTGGTGTTTTTGGGGCAATGTGTAGTGCTTAGCTTGGCAGGGTGTTCTATGCAGTGGCTAGTCTAGTGGAGTATCATAAAGAAATGACACCGCCGGCAGAGCACCATTTGCGGAGGGATTGTGTACTCAAATATATTTTCAGTATAAATGTGTCAAACATATTCTAACAGGCTATTATACATTTTCTTAAATGGAAGTGGAGGCAATGTGCAGTGGCTGGTCTGGTGGAGTATCATGAAAAAATGACACCACCAGCAGAGCAATATTTGCGGGGGGATTGTGTGCTTAGATATTTTTTTGGTATAAATGTGTCAAACACATCCTAACAGGCCATTATAAATTTTCAATATAAAAGCAAAGACAATGTGTGGTGGCTGGTCCGATGGTGTATCATAAAGAAAATGACACCGCCGGCGAAGCAATGTTTGCGGAGGTATTGTGTACTTAAATATGTTTTCAGTGTAAATGTGTCAATTCCAACAGGCTATTATAAATTTTCAATATAAAAGCGGAGATGATTTGCGGTGCCTGGTCCGGCGGTGTATAATAAAAAAATGACACCGCTGGCAGGGCAATATTTGCAGACATATTGTGTACTTAAATATGTTTTCAGTGTAAACATGTCAAAAATATTCTAATAGGCTATTATAAATTTTCAATATAAAAGCGGAGGTGATTTGCAGTGCCTGGTCCGGCGGCGTATAATAAAAAATGACACTGCCGGCAGGGCAATATTTGCGGAGGTATTGTGTACTTGAATATGTTTTCAACGTAAATGTGTCAAACTTCATTATAATTCTTTTTCTATTTTTGCGGAGTCAATGTGCGGTGGCTGGTCCGGCGGTGTATCATAAAAAAATGACACCACCAGCAAAGCAATGTTTGCGGAGGTATTGTGTGCTTAAATATGTTCTCAGTATAAACATGTCAAAAGTATTCTAACAGGCTATTATAAATTTTCAATATAAAAGCGGAGGCAATTTGCCGTGGCTGGTCCGGCGGCGTATCATAAAAAAATGACACCGCCGGCAGGGCAATATTTGCAGAAGTATTGTGTACTTAAATATGTTTGCAACGTAAATGTGTCAAACTTCATTATAATTTTTTTCTATGTTTGTGGAGTCAATGTGCAGTGGCTGGTCTAGCGGTGTATCATAAAAAAAATGACACTGCCGGCGAAGCAATGTTTGTGGAGGTATTGTGTACTTAAAATCTGTTTTCAGTGTAAACATGTCAAAAATATTCTAACAGGCTATTATAAATTTTCAATATAAAAGCAGAGGTGATTTGTGGTGGCTGGTCTGGTGGCGTATCATAAAAAAATGACACCGCCGGTGGGGCAATATTTGCAGTGGTATTGTGTACTTAGATATGTTTTCAACGTAAATGTGTCAAACTTCATTATAATTCTTTTTCTATGTTTGCAGAGTCAATGTGCGGTGGCTGGTCCGGCGGTGTACCATAAAAAAATTATATAACCGGTGGAGCAATATTTGTGGAGTGATCACCTTGCTGGTGTACTGAAATCCTTTTGCAGATTAAATGTGTGAAGCTTCTTCCAACAGATCATTCCAATATGCATAATTTCTGCAGAGGCAATGTGTGGTGCTTAGTCCAGTGGAGTGTTTCAGAAGCAATGTGCAGTGCTTAGTCTGGCAGAGTGATTCCACTCAAATTGTAGCAAACAGCATACATAGGTTGATAATATTATGCATGATTGGTATAAGCCAGACTTCTAATTCTAAGTATTCAACTGGATGATCGCCGCCGGCATGTCACCAACACCCCGGCGGAGGGCAATCCTGCAGAGGGTTATGACATTCAAGGTACACCCAGCCGCTCCAGTGGTGTGGGACATTGTTGCTGACGGCCCACACATAGTTACTGGTGGATTGTTCAGGGTCCCTTTGACAATGGGGTCCAGTAATCAAACCGGCCGTCTGGCTAGACCCATACCATTTGATGGATTGTCAGGGCAGGGTGGCCCATTACTAATGAGCCAAGGTGACTAACCTAACTGGTATACGAGTGTAGTTTGTGGCTCTTGAGTTGAGAGGCCTTAGCGTATGCATTTGAAAAATAATGGAGCGTGTGGAAGAGTGATCTGCGGGGTTGGACTGTCAAGATAGACGTAGTACCATCTTGGTGCTAAGCATCTCACCTTGATGGACAAATTTGAGACACGACGAAAGCAAGGGCTAGTCTTGAGTCGAACTTCTGCTTTGTGCCTGCAATGGCATGACTGGCGAACGAACGGAGAAACTTTTAGAGAGGAGACTTTTTACTCCATTGATCATGAATAGGATCCTGTAAAACAACTTTGAAACAAGGATGATCAGAAGTTAGGCTCAGTAGAGGCTATCGCAATTGGTGGACCACGCACCAGCCAGAAGCATTTACTTACAATTACCCTTCTTTGCATGAGGTTCTTTGCCCAGCGAGAGTCAAGCTCGCGTACCAGACAAAATGGCCAGAAGATTTGTCTGACTGGGATCAACCGGATACCACAAATGCACCCTATATATAACCTTCTAGCATGCTGCATATGACGGGTGCATGTACTCCATAATACAGACAAGGGTGTTCCCTTAAGGAGACTAGTCCCTGTTTTGAGGCGAGAGTCAGGAAGTATGATACAGTGCTTTGCATGTGAGATTGCACTCAAAATCTCATGAAAACTTGTTTGTGCTTGTCGTTTGTGGTTGATATCATGTGTTCTACACCCAAAATCAACCCAAAATGGCTACTTCAGGTCACAAAATACAAATGCAAACAAGTTTTTGTGGGATTTGCAGTGCAATCTCACATGCAAAACACTGTAAGTAACCATTTTGGGTGTAGAACACATGACATCAGCCATAAACCACAAGTACAAACAAGTTTTTGTGAGATTTTGAGTGCAATCTCACATGCAAAGCACTGTAAAAAGGAGCTTGCCTGCATCATACCGATGCCTTTGTTTGGGAGTCGAACCCAGCTTTCCTAACCAACAATACAATCAGCATATTGTAGTCGCCAATCTACTAACAAAGACCTTGAATGGATGTGTCCCTGATGGATTGTGAACCTGGATATGAAAGTGAACCTGGTGGCGGTTGGTAACTGGAAACTTGCTGGAAACCGTCTTTAGTGTTCACATATGCACAACGAATTCGCGCATTGATGTCTGCAGGAGTAAGTAGATGTACAATGTTGAGAATGCTCGCACTGGGATGTGAGAACTGTGATAGCCAGTACTTGCAATTGCCAATTGGAAAAATGTTAACTTTGTTGAGACAATGTGGGCGTACGCAAGGCGTTGCTCCAGCACGTGACTAAAGACTCTTCCTCTTTGTACCCAACATTCGATCCAGCTGGCCACATATCTAGTACTGAATGCGCCTAGATATGCGTCTCGAGGGACTCTTCATCGGAAGTGTGTTGCCACGTCAAACACAAGCCAAACTCGAAGGACATGACATTCCTCTCACAACGGGGTGACGTTGCTGGGACGTTTGGGTGGTAGGGAAGGTCTGAACATATGTCCTCTCTTCTTTTCCCCATATCTTATCCTTTTTCCGTTTCCTTTCCTTTCACCGTCCTTTCTATCTATGCCTCTCCACTGTCTCTACCCTTCCATTCCTCCATTCACTACCGTCTTTGCTCCTTGTTGTGACACTCTTTCTCCTCGTCTTCTCTTCTCGTGTTTCCGTGCGAGATGTCAGGCTGTGACCAACGATGGGAGAAGAGGCTGAGGATCGTGTTTCCTTCGTCGGAGGTTTTGCATGCTGTGATGCGAGAGAGTTCCGTGGGTGTAGAAAACTGTCATTGCATGAAGGAGGGTCCGATGACGACCTCAGTTTTCATCGGTGCGACCAAGAGTTGGGTCATCAACGTTAATTCAACTGGTGAGTATGGCCATCTGGGCTTGGGTGTACATTGCTGATGTGGCTTTGGATCATAGTAACATTGGCCTTTGAAGGGCATAGTCAGATGCTGCATTTTCGGAAGGCATTCGCATGTGGGATATCTAGATCGGCAAAAGGTCTCCAGGGTATTCCCTCCACTCCGAACGCGAAATACTGCTCGCTCAACGGCTGAGGAACTCGAAGCTTAGTATGATGCTGGTTTCCTGCCTATCCAGAAAGTTCCAAAATAGCCGTACGTCAAATAACTGAACTTCTCAATCTCGCCTTTTGCATGATACCAGTTGGTTCCCGGACTCCAAACCCCAAATAGTCAACAAGTTTAAAGCATGGTACAATGCCTCTTTTCCCCCAATCCCAGAAGACCTACTAGCCATCCCTTCTTCATCGGGACGATGACGGATCCCGCACCGCCAATATTCTCATGCTCTAGGAAACTTTAGTCACCTGGATAGGTTCGACACATGGCTGTCATGGGATCTCCATTCTTGTAGGCACGAGGGATGAAATCACTACATACAAGAGGCAGGAGGATGATCCATTGGATAGGACTAGTGATGTGCCGGCTCAGGCTTGGCCTGAAAGCCCCGGCTTTGGCCTGGCCTGGAGGGGCTTGGGCTCATCAGGAATACAGGCCAAGCCAAAAGCCGTGAAGGCTGGCCTGGCCTGGCCTGGCTTTGGCTTAAGCCAGGGCTTGGTAGGAGAAAATGTATTATATTTCAATTTCATCATCACTATCTACGTCGAGATCAATAATTAGACCATCCCATGCTTTGGGGTTCTCATCAACCCAGTCAGGATCACCATCATCCTCCGGAACATCAGCATACTCAGCCTCAAGAATAGAACTTGGTGCATGCTCTCGAAAAATGAGGTCCTTTCGAAAAAGACACTTCAAAAACTGCAGAGCCTCGACGATATCACCCTTCAATCGATTTCGCCGCTTGCTGATAGTAATCCCAGCAGAGGAAAATGCACGCTCACTTGATACGGATGACGCCATGATAGCGAGATAGTCACGAGCAAGCGAAGCCCAGACTGGGAAATCAGAGGCATGCATCTAGGAGACAAAATTTTATTCCTGCATGCTGAGAACAAATAAATAGATAGACGTACCCCCCACCACTTTATTAATGATGTTCCGTCAGAGACCCGATGCGTAGCATCAAGGTACAGCCTAAATTCACGCAACCAAGGTTTCTGAGAGTCAGCGGATGAAGCTCCAGCAGGAGGGACTGTAGGTCCCTCATCGTCGCTATCGCTGAGCTCATCAAGAAGCTTCGAGAGCTTTTTCTGGCTGCTTGTCTGGGTTGGGACAGGCGGAGAGGTTCCCTTGCCATGAATCTCATAATAACGTTCCTTGAACTAACATGCATTAAACCTTAAGATCTTTAAATGAAAAATAATAACTTACAATTTCCTCGGCCGATTCTATGACTTCCTTCTGCAGTTCTTCGCTCCAATGTTTCTTGAAATAATCCATTTTTTTCTCAGGATCAAGCACTGGCACAAAATCGTTAACATGTCCAGAAAAATAAGAAATGAGTACTCACACATCACAAGAGTATATGCATGAGAGGTGGAAGTCTTCTCATAATACTCCTCAATTTTTTCGGCAGCAGCAGCTAATGCCTCAGTGAAGTCCTGGTATTTGGGTCGCTTCGCTCGGCTGCTCCAGGCTTTGTGCAAAGCCTCAAGGGCAGGAATGCCAGAGTGAAGGGTGGGGGAGTCATCGTACGAAAATGCTTGTTGCGCACAGTCGGCGAACTGAGGAAATTGTTATGAATAAAAATAGAAATGAACGTATCGCTAACACTTACCCCAAGAAGTTCAACCACCAGCTTGACGAGTGTCCACTCATCATCAGATAGTATCAACTTATCGATTTTCGCCCGTTTTTCAAGATCGGGCTCCTCACGCCCAGTCTCGTAAATGAAATCCTTGATATACTATAATAATCGATAAGGAAGTTGGTAATTGATTATCATGAACAAACATACCTCTCGCAACTGTAGTGCTCGGGAGAGCATATTATATGTGGAGGACCAACGGACCTTCATATCGAGAAGGAGGGTCAACGTCGATGTCCTCCCTGCACAGGTCTGAAGGTTTTTGAGTCGCTCCTTACGTTTCGCAGACGAACGAGCCTATAAAAAGCGTAAGAACAGGCAAAGACAAGACAGAGTGGATTAAATAAATACCTTGACTGTTATTGCCCGTACCAGACCTATGACGTCTCGCATAAACCCATCAACATTGGGTTCATGCTCACTGGGCTGCGCCGGATCGAAATGCTTCGTCTTACTATATGTGGCAATGAATGCCTGGGCAGCCAGATTGATTACATGGGCAAGGCATCTATAACGGACAGGTTATCAATGCAGACTCCATAATATAAATTATCTTTCACCTTATATACGAAGAGGTATGGTCCCACTTTTTGCAGTCCTTTCATAGCGGCGAGGAGTTTAGTAAGTACTCAAAGTGACGTAGCATAGTTAAATTATTTTTAGCATTGTCGCAGGTCATCCATCCGACCTTGTTTTAGAAGTGTTTAGATAGATGATGATAGATGGGAGGATAAAACTTACTTTGTGAGCGATCCCAAGGCGCTTGACGATTTTGAACAGAGCCCGTGCAAGAGTAGCACCGTCATGTGCACTATTCATCTGCGTGAACCCAAATAAAGCGCTACGTTCCTCCCATACCCCATCCGATACTTCCTCAATCCAATGACCAGTAACTGCAAAATACGCGTCTTGGTTGGCAGCTTGCCAGGCATCTGCAGTGAGGCTAATCAGCCCAGTCTTATCACTCTAAACAATGAATATATTGTGAGAACGATATTAAAAAGGTAGAAGGAAGAAGGAAGAACTTACAGTCACCCTTCGCCTCAAGGCGGCTACGCTGGACTCAAAAAGGTCCATGACATGCTGCCTCGTCGCTTTCCTAGTGGGAAAATTAACCCCGTTGGTGGAGCGAGCTGCGACGTTGATCATTTTGTGAAATGCCGGATGTTCAAGAGCTTGAATTGGCTGAATAAAAAAATCAGCCAAGCAGTTGGCAATGTGAAAACGCATACCTGATCGGTTGAGACCAACCACTCGATGGTGGCCTCACGAAATAGAGCATCAGAGTACGCCACATAGGTTTGCGGCGGTGGTCGCTCCTTCAGGTGTGGGTGAAGCGTCGACTGTTTGGAGTCTTCCGCTGCAGCTTGAGCCTCCTTGCGACTCTTGACGGCCTTTGGGAGCTTGGACTCGAACTCGTTCTTGAGGCACCATAGATCGTACTTCGCCTGAAGTAAAAGATGTCAGCGTTCGAGCATCCTACCAATTGAAATATGACTTACTTTATGACAAGATTCAATATGTCGACGTAATGTTGTTGCTTCGGCAACCAACGTTTGGGGAGATCCTTTTTTTCTAAGTATAAAAGGGTCGTCAGTAGAGATGCAAAGTAGCTAGAATTTTCGTCATACCTGCACAGAATACACGCCCTCCTTCGCTTCCCCGCAACAAGCTCCGTTGGATGGAAGAATGCGTCGACATCCTTAGATTTGTCCTTTATCTTTATGGTGGGCGGCTCTTCTGGATCGGATTCCTCGGGTTCGACAACAGCTGCAAAATGTATTGAGAGATGTGAATAACGATCAGGTAAAATGATACTTACCTGCGTCGCACTCACGATCACTTCCTGCATTTGATGGTGCTGGAGATTGTGGGCGGGATTTCTTCGATTGAGGCTCTAAGACTATTTCTTTATGAGCAGCGTGGTGGAAATAGGTGAAATGAAGTACCGTTGGTGTCGTTCTCGTCATCGTCGCTATCGACAACGACGGTCTTTAGTTTGTTTGCTCTTGATCCTGAGCGTGAGGTGGTAGCAGACGTTTGAGTTGTTGACAGCGTGAGAGAACTCTTTTGAGCCTCGGTGATAGCGCGGTCATGGGCATCTTGGTGGGATTTTACTTGTAATTGAGCGCGATTGCGGGGGTCCGTAATTTTCGCCGATGCCTTGGGTTGGCGCTTCGCATTTTCGGGTACCAAAGACATTCCGGATATACATTCAAAAAATCGTGTGTATTCGAATTTCCTGTTAAACTATACAGTTGAGATGATATTTGAACTCAGACAAAAACTCAGTCAAGCCAGGGCCCAGGCCCCAGGCTTTGGCTTTCCAAAATGCTGAGCCAGGCCAAAAGCCCCCCTCAGGCCAACCTTCGGGCCTGGCTTGGCCCGGCTTTTTTTGGCCTGGCTTGGCCTGGCTTCTGGCCTCAGGCCGAAGCTGGCACATCACTAGATAGGACGAGGGTAAGGCCTCTATTGATGATCGGGGCGAGCTTCATCTTGTGGGGGGCCCATGTCGAATTGTATGGTTAACATGATGGAAAGGGAGGGGAGGGTGACTGACCGACTTTAAAAATATGAACAGAGATGCTCTCCAAGAAAATATGCCACACAATTATCCACGAAGGTTTTTGTCTGGGAATCGAACCCAAATATCGCGCGCTCCAGCCTCAAAGCGGGTGCATACATGGCCAATGCACTAACAAGGTATATATATTTCCTTTTCGGATGTTGTGCTGAGGTACTTACGCGTGTCCAGAGGTTCTTTATTTTCTTCTCAAAATGTCGGACACGAAAGTACAAAGCGTAGTAGGATCCTCGTCGGTGTGAGTAGGCTGAACCGCCAGTCATGGGTCATCAACAGGTGAGTTTTGGGCTCATTTAGGCTTCAGTTTATATTGCTGATATCGGATATCTGGATGGTAGTAACGTTGGCCGTTCAAGAGCATGGACAGACGCTGCATTTTCCGAGGCATCCGGACATACATGCAAGTGTATCTATTAGCGAATCAGACCTATCAACGAACCTGCTGTTACTAAAACCAACCATACGTCAACTCACAGTCAACTCCAACCTGAAATACTACTCAACGGCGGAGAAATTCAAAGCGCAGCATGACGCCGGTCTCCCAGTGCCTATCCCAAAAAGTTTACTGACCAGTCATGCTCAGTTCTCGTTGAAGAGATGACAAATCCCGCCCTGTGGTCTGTGACCAATATCTTACTCGCTCGTTTAGTCCAACAACAGTCGATGGAGTCCCCGTTCTCGTATGCACGAACAACGAAATTACTACGGACAAGATGTGGGAGGACAATCCGGTGGTATGGGAAAACGGAAAGGCTTCTGTTGTTTGAATGGGGTGAGCTTCGTATTGTGGGAGATAGACAGTCAAGGGGACGGATTGTAGCATGACGAATAGTGCAATTAAGTTGATGGAGTGGGAGGAGTGATTGATCTTGGGATGTTGGGGATAGAGGATCACGAACTTTGGCTGTGGGTCCATAAAGTATGAACATCCGAAAATTGGTTGATTCCTTTTTGCAAGTGTTACATCTGTCATTCTATTCATTTCAAATCACAAAAGCAAAAGCTTATATTTTATTTTGAAGGTTTTGTCTGGGCATCGAACCCACATATCCCGCATGTCAAGACTCAATCTACAGCTCCAGAGTGTACGCATGACAGGCGCATAGACAACCAATGCCCCAACACAGGTGTTGAATGTATATTTCTTTTTCCTGAGTTTGTGTCGAGGTACCCATGCGTATTGAGCCTTTCTTGGATTGATTTCAAGATTGCATGGCATTGAAGTATGAAGAATTTAAGATGTACAATAACATGTGAACAAGGCGTGCGCCGTGGATCAATTCATTTAGGAGTAAATTTATGTAACCTTTTCTTTTTTTTCAAGAAAAGAAAAGAAACCCTCGCCATCGCACTCTCTGTCTGGGAATTGAACCCAGTTCTCGCAGGTGAATCTGGGTCACTCAATGTTTCGCGCATCGAGACTGCATGTACTGACCAGTGTACTAACAAAGAAGTTACATTTTGACGTCTTGAACATGAGCTAAAATATTCAGTCAGAGGCATTCCACGAGGAGAAATAATTGATGCCGGTATGGAGAGGAAATCCTAATTTTGATAAAAACAATGATGGATGAATCGATGAAGTCTGGGCAAACCTTTTCCGCTCCCCCAAAAATGATGTCATACCTTATGAATTTACCTCTCTGTCTGGGAGTGGAACCCAGCTTTAGCACCTAATCCCTTAAGGTTTTGAACCATGACACCATATCCAGCAACACAATGACATCATATGCTGATGGAAGACCTGGTGAAGATACAGAAGCTGGAGGGATGGTGGGTGGGTGATGCGTGAGACGTACTGACTGCCTGTGGATCAAGAAATGTCAGTAAAGGAGTGTGCAAACACGGAGGCGTGTTCTGCTCACCTGGGGATCAAGAAATGTCAGGAAAGGGGTGACATTTCAAGAGTGCCCAGCGATGAGTTCAAGTAGCGACTAATGTTTCACCCATAGGGCCAAGGGTGGAAACAAAGAGCCACTACAATGTTGTGTTGCAGAAACAACAACATGAACATGCATGTCGCGCTGTTCAGGGATGAACAAGGCAGGCATGCCGGAATCGCAAGCACGTGAATTACGGAAATTCACACACCTCAGGGATTAGATTTGTGTAAACACAAGTTTTTAAATCCAACTAATCCCTTAAGGTTTTGCTCAGGCAGTCATTCCGAGGGATAGGGTTGCACAGCCACTGCCCTGTGACCAGCGGCAGGGCCTGCTAAACGTAGTGTTTGAAAGTCCGGTTCGGTCCGGTTTTTTGATGCCCAGGGGCGTTAACCGTAACCGTAACCGGTCTGCCTTTTCCCCAGAAGTCAAAAGACCAGACCAGACCGCAAAAAGACTGCAGACCGTGGTCTTTTGCGGTCTATAGACCGGTTTCGGTCTGCATCGGTTTTAACTGGTTTATGACCGGTCTTTAGGCCAATACTTTAAAATTATGAATCGGTATATTTATTAACATCTCTAATAGCTTCAAAACGAGCCCAAGAACGTTACATTCCGTTAGGAATTGGTGCTTCTATAAAATAAGTCTGGTACATCTATTATTCCCAAAAGTAATTTACATTTTAATTCATATCTCTCTCGTTTCTTTACCAAATCGTACGTTCTTGGGTGCGTTTTAAAGGGTATTTAAGGGGTTACAAAAGACCGGTCCAAACCGGTCAAGACCAGTTCACGTTAACCGGTTTTTTTGCGGTCTTTACATTTCAAAAATAAAAGACCATAACCGCAGGTCCAGTCTTTTGCGGTCTTGGTCCGGTCTGGTTACGGTCTTTTTCCAGTCACGAGACCGGACTTCCAAACACTAGCTAAACGAGTCTCATTTTTCTGGGTACGTAAGATACTATGGAGAAAAAGTGTAGAAAACGGAGCTTGGAGAAGAAAGGGTGGAGGAGAAGGTGGATGATAAGAAAAATGGGAAGAGGGAAGTTTAACAAGGGAGGGAGGAACGAAGCGGACTATTGTTTGAAGAGAAAATAAATGCAGCCAGAAGGGAGGGGTGTACGCGAATGTAAGACTGGAAGGCCTCTGATTTCCAATGACCCATTCCTTGAATGACGTTGGAGGGGGTGCCATTTAATGCATAGAAAGTAGCGCTGCCAGGTCAGAAGGAATGGCTGGCGGTTTCTGAACCAAAATGAGAACATGAGAGAGACAGGAACCAATGGCGGGTAGGGATGGAACCATCTGCATGAAGCCAGAGTTCAGGGTTGAAGGAAATAAGCGATCATGGGAGAGGACATAGGAGCAGAAGGCAGAGATGGCAGTGGGCCCCACTGTGGAGGAGTGAACGAGAATCTTGTTGCCTTGGAATAATCGATCAGCCTTGTGAGAAGGCAAGAGGAAGGAGAAAGAATCCATAGTGATGGAGTGTTTGATGACTTTGCGGTAGTCGCGCAGGGTGGGGTTGTCAGGCCAGACATTCTCGCCAAGACGCATAAGACCAAAGAAGGATGTGCATGCAATGGTGAGGAAAAGTAAGGTGTCATGGTCAGAGGTAGGGGAGAGGCGCGAGTTGATGGTGATGATTTCATCATGGGAAATGGCACGTTTGTGTACAGTGGTGGGGGAGCCGTGAAGCTTGGTGCATCCTGTGAGGGTGCACGTGACAATATTTGAGCGATGGGTGTCACGGACAGAGGGGTAAAATGTTTCAAGCTGGTTGCAGATTCCTTAGAGGTAAGACTTCACAGACGAAGGCTTGATGTGATGGCACATATAGACGACAAAGAAGCTGAGGGTGTCAGGGTTTGGTTCAATGGGGAAGTGGTGCAAGTTACAGAAGTTGATGTAAGAATGTAGGGCAGAGGTATTGGATGCAATGGAGGCAGGCTCGAGGGCGATAGTAGTGTTCGAAAGTCCGGTTAGGTCCGGTTATTGGGTGCCCAGGGGCTCTAACCGAGACCGAGACCAGTTAGCCTTTGTCCCGAAACCTAAAATAACCTAACCAGACCGCAACTAACCGGTTACGGTCAGTTATTTGCAGTTACTAACTGGTTAGGACCGAAAAATAAAGAATCAGTTATAACAAGGCAAATATGCTCATATGTATCTTGATAGATATTATTTCTGCATATTCTAGCTTTAAAACGAGCCCAAGAACGCTAAAATCGGTGAAGAATTGACATATTTATGCAATTATCCTTGAAAGTCTACACATTTGAGTGATATTTTAGAGATTTGACCATAACTTAGTCAAATTTTAAGCGTTTTCGACGTTCTCAAGTGCGTTTTGAAGGTGTATAATAGGGCTGGTTATAACCGGTTATAACCGGTTATTTAACAGTTAGTTAACCGCAAAATAACTGGTTATTCCATTTTCGAAATCAACTAACCCTAACCGCGGTTAGGTTAGTGTTGCGGTTAGGTCCGGTTATTTTCCGGTTAACTAACCTAACTTTCAAACACTAGGCAATAGTGTGTTCGTGTTGAAGGCACTCAAGGCTCCAAGCAATCCGTGGAGGTTGCCTGGAGCCAGAAAGGGAGAGATTCATGATAGAACAGCCCCCAGCGTCAATTGAGGGGGTGTAAAATCCTCGATGTAGAGGTTAGTGTTGCGCATGCGAGCCAATGCAATTGCGTGGGAGTTGTGGCAGCAGGAGATGGAATCAGCAATGTCATTCTGCTCTCCTGACACATGTATGACCCAGAGCTGGCAGTCAAAGTGCATCATGAGGTCTGCTGCAGTCAGAACAATGGGTTGAGATCAGGGGTAGCACGCAGGGTGCGGAAGAGGTCAACGGTGTTGGAGTTGTCAGTGTAAACCACAACTCGGTGGGGAGGGGTGTGTGTGAAGTGCAGGATCCAATCAAAAACTGAGAGGACTGCATAGGCCTCCCAGTAGAAGATGGTACAGGAGGTGAAGGTGGGGATTGAGGCCTGGAAGCCAAGGCCGTGACGTGGCGACCAGAAACCAAGGCCAAAGAGGCAGGCATTGGAAAGAAGGAACTTGGAAGTAGTCAGCATCTGCGGCTTCCTAATCCAGGGACTTGAGAAGGAATACTCCCTCACAGGATTCCAAGTGGTTGGCGGCCCACAGAAGCTCATGGCAGATCTGTGTGTTGAGATAGAGCTCTGCCGATGGTCTCTTCTTGTTAGTGCTTGAAAGTCCAGTCCAGTCTGGTTTTTTTGGCCCAAAACGAAAAGACCGAGACCTAGACCGGTCCACACAATTCCTAAAACGTCAAAAGACTGGACCAGGACTGGAAAAGACCAAGACTGCGGTCTTTTTCGGTCTTTGGACCAGTCTTGGTCCAAACTGGTTACAACTGGTTCAAGACCGGTTTTTCAACTAAATATGCAATAATATTTGCAATTATGAGTCGGTAAATTTATTGAGATTCTTTGTAGCTTCAAAACGAGTGCAAGAACGTTAAATTCTGTTGAGAATTGATGTATCTACATAAATACCAAGGTACATCTACTATTTTCACGAAATATTTTACTATTTTATATGTATCTTTGTCAGTTTTTGGCCTAAAAATATGATCTTAGGTGCGTTTTGAAGGGTTATTATGTAGGTACAAAAGGCCAATCTTAACCGACCAGACCGGTCCACGTTAACCGGTCTTTTTGCGGTCTTTTAATCTCAAATCTGCAAGACCAAGACTGCAGGTCCAGTCTTTTGCAGTCTTGGTCCAGTCCAGTTGCAGTCTTTTTGCAGTCTTGAGACTGGACTTCCAAGCACTACTTCTTGTTGCTCATCTTCACGTAGACTGCGCTCAAGCAGGGGTGAAGGAGGGGGAAGACATTCAGAGACCAGTTGATCCAGCGAGCCATCTGCTGGAGGTCTGAAAGCTTTGGGCACCGATTGCGGATGGCAAATTCACGGATGGCAAGGATAAGGTCTTGGAAAGCATCAGGGGGCATGGTGAAGGACATTTTGTTGATGTTGATGTCGAAGCCAATGATGGTGAGGGTGGGGCCTGAAACTTGTTTCGCCTCATCATGAGGAATGCTGATTTCATCCCACAGTTCGAGTAGATGAGCCTGTTTCGAGGGCATGAATTTCTGGTAGGGCTCATACCACAGAACATCACACTCCAGCTCAAAGGAGAAGATGTCATCACAATAGCCAAAGAGGTCGAGGATCTCGCATAAAGTGATAGCAATCCAGAGGACCAAGGAGAAGAAACTCCCAAATATGCCACCTGAAGCATGGCTGTCAAAGTTGCAGCAATGGTTGAGATTGTAGGACCCATTGATCTTCACCACTTGCTTTGATTGCCATTCCTTTGCCAGAGGGCAAAGGCGATGGGCATCCTTCGCATCTGACTTGAAAGCCACGATGGGAACATCGAAGCCAACAGCCCTGCGGTAGTCAAGCAAGCTCTGCTCGAACTGCTGCAAGCCATCCAGGGGCACAGAGACAACCTTTTTGTCAATGAGGTCGTTCAGAGTCAATGGCTGGGCACTGTGGTTAACGCAAAGGCGAAGTTTATCAGAGTGTTTCTTGGTGGAGACAGTGGTGGGTATGGAGAGCATGCATGGGAGGAGGGAGTTGAAGGACTCAGAGAATCGGCCTTTACTGATTTCGCATTGATGTTGTTCCTCAGCAAATTGAATGTGGGCGGGGTCCGAAAGGTACTCCTTTGCATTGAGCTTAAATGGAAGGCAGGTGCTTGCAGTATCTGCCCAAGGCCAGAAACCATCAGAGAAACCACAAACAACTGATGAGACAAAATCAGGGTTGGGATGGTGTACCAAGAGGGATTCAAGAACAGATGCACGGATGGGGCTGACGATACAGAATAGGTGGGGGTTGGAGTTGATGGAGTCCTGGAGGACTTGATTGTTACGCTCGTGATCTGGGACAGGGGGTAAGGGTGGTAGAACCTCTGAGGCCATGGCAAGGGTGAGATAGGGGTCAAGAGCGCCGTCTGCTCCCCACCAAAAATGATGGACATAGGAAGGGCATGATGAAAGGCCTTCAAACCTCGAGACCTGCTTGAGGTTGTCAGTGATGTAGTCCTGGACATCACTTCCCACAGGCAGGGGCGATGTGGCCCATCAAGCGACATTTTGAGCAAATGTGAGCATAGTCACATGAGGACTGGGAATTGGGGCAGGTGCCAGTGTTGTGACGCTGACAAGCTTCACGTCTGGGCTTGGACATGGAAGAGGGACAACAGGAGGACCTGGTGGCTTCATCTCGAGGTAATCCTGATGATCCACCACCATTTTGGAGCCAGAGAAGGCTGAGGTCGGTGAAACTAGTGTGGTCTGTAAGCAATAGGTCTCGTCGTTGAGAGACGTGTAGTTGAACAGCCTTATCGAAATGAATGACCTGGCTGTGCTGCTCTGGGGGCATGGAAGTGAAGAGCTGGCAGATAAATTTTGCATATGCGACGAGCTCAGAGTTGCAATGAGGGAAGGCAAAGAGCAGTGCCTCAATGTACCCGTCCCAGGCAATGGTCCAGTCAGAGTGGGATCAGACAGTCTTAGCAGGAGTGCAGGAACTGACGATGAATTCAAGGGTTCCAACTTTCTCTCGTTTTTGGTTGTCGTCTCCCACTGCATAGATCCTGGAGAGGTTGTGGTCGAGGTCGACGGTATGCCCAAGAATGATGTTGGTCCACTCCCCATCAGGGAATTGGGGGCATTGTGCTGAGTTGAGTAGGGACAACTTCGCGAATTTCTAGTGTTTGGAAGTCCGGTCTCGTGACTGGAAAAAGACTGTAACCAGACCGGACCAAGACCGCAAAAGACCGGACCTGCAGTTACGGTCTTTTATTTTTGAGATGTAAAGACCGCAAAAAAACCCGGTTAACGTGAACCGGTCTTTTGTAGCCCCTTAAATACCCTTTAAAACGCACCCAAGAACGTACGATTTGGTAAAAAAACGAGAGAGATATAAATTAAAATGAAAATTACTTTTGGGAATAATAGATGTACGAGACTTATTTTATAGAAGCACCAATTCCTAACGGAATTTGACGTTCTTGGGCTCGTTTTAAAGCTAATAGAGATGTTAATAAATTTACCGATTCATAGGTTTAAAATATTAGCCTAAAGACCGGTCATAAACCGGTTAAAACCGATGCAGACCGAAACCGGTCTATAGACCGCAAAAAGACCGCAGACCGCGGTTTTTTGCGGTCCGGTCTGGTCTTTTGACTTCTGGGGAAAAGGCAGACCGGTTATGGTTACGGTTAATGCCCCTGGGCATCAAAAACCGGACCGAACCGGACTTTCAAACACTATGAATTTCGGATCCCAGGCGAAGTTTTCGAGGCAGGTCTGTGTCTGTCTGAGCTCGAGTGAGAGTGGGGCCAGGTCAACCTCCTCCTGGATGATCCAGGGGAAGCGTGAGGGGTCGATACATCGCTTGGAAGAGATGGACTCAGGTCCGTCATCCGGTCCAGGAGATCGAGGGCACTTGGATGTGTCCTCATTCTCAACCTGGGGAGAGTGTTCGACCTGGAGCGGATCGCTGGGCTCGCCCTCAATGGTTTCAGCTTGTCCCCCAGTTGGATTCAGCTCAGCAGGGAGTCGACCTCTTTCCACTGCTCCCTCTTGGAGATGGTCGTGGTTGTCGAGCATTGTGAGGTAGGATTTGAGAGCCTGGACAGTAGGTCTGGCTTGGTCATTGTGGCATAATGACCGATAACGGTTTGGAGGAGCAAGAAGACAAGAACCTTATCCACTGAACCCGCACGATATTCCTCCACACACTTCTCACACTCCTCAACAGCTTCTACAGGGAGTAGCGCAGGTGACTGGGTGGAATCCTCTTGTGGGGGATGCTCAGGGGAAGCTTGGTCGTTAGAGGTGGTGATGGCTTGATCTGTTTGCAGCGCCAAATCCGTCATCAAATGAGGACAACAACTTGTTGGATGATGGGAGGTACGACAATGGTGATGTGTGAGACGTACTGACTGCCTGGGGATCAAGAAATGTCAGGAAAGGGGTCCGCAAACATGGAGGCGTGTTCTGCTCACCTGGGGATCAAGAAATGTCAGGAAAGGGGTGACATTTCGAGAGCGCCCAGCGATGAGTTCAAGTAGCGACTAATGTTTCACCCATAGGGCCAAGGGTGGAAACAAAGAGCCACTACAATGTTGTGTTGCAGAAACAACAACATGAACATGCATGTCGCGCTGTTCAGGGATGAACAAGGCAGGCATGCCGGAATCGCGAGCGCGTGAATTACGGAAATTCACACACCTCAGGGATTAGATTTGTGTAAACACAAGTTTTTAAATCCAAGTAAATCGGCCTGGCCGTATCTAATGACATGTGCTTGTACTGACCAATATACTAACAAAGAGGTTGTGTATGTGTCTCTTCAGTGGCTGTTTGTCGCGATGAAAATCGGCAAAGCGGCGTCCTCAGCGTTATTGTAAATGCATCCTGCAGTCAAGTCCACTCATTACTAATTATTCCTCTGGGAATTGTAATTGTGGCGGTCAAGTAGTAACCTGTATAGAATTAAAGGCCATGTTCACTTCCTGCCTTTCTTCCAAAAATGGCAGGTTCTTTATAAGCGACATCTCTGTCTGGGAGTTGAACCCAGCTTTCGTCCTTCAATGAATGTGGCTATTTTCCTCATATCACAGGCGTGTACCGGCCGATGTACTAACAGAGATATTGGGTATGAATGCGGTTTGTGGGTTTTGAGTTGTGGGGCCTCTGTGTGTGCATTCAGCGGTCGAAATTAATAGAACATGTATCTGAGTCATCTGCGAGCTTAAATGACCAAAGTAGACCGTTGAATTTTGGAGGTAGAATTCTCACCTGAAGAAAGACTTGAGTTGGAAAAAACGAGAACAGTCTAGAGTCGAACTCAGTTTTTTTTTGCATGCAATGACGCGACTGGAGAATCAACGGAGACGCTTCTCGAGGGGAGTTTTTTTCTTCATTGATCATGAGTAGGATCTTGTTCACCGGGGATGATCAGGAGTTGGGCTCGCTAGTGAAAGGAACCACGCACCACGCGGCACCAGCCAGAAGCATTGAAGACACGGCCGTGGATTGTTTACTTGGTTCTTGATAAGCGGTACGAGAAAGTAAAAGATGATTTCCCAAAACACACTCCCACCATGACCCATCATCCGAGATAGGTCCTAACTTGTGCAAAATTAGACGGGAAAATGTTGCGGTTGTATTGCTGATCTACCGGTGTAATATGTATGCCCTTGGTGCCCAGCATTCCGGTATGGCCAAGTAGTCCACATTCATCGCTCAATTCTATCTGGGACCTATGAAAGGAAACTAATTTTAACCTCTTTGCAACCTCTTTGTTAGTATATCGGTCAGTACACGCGCCTGTCATTGCCTCTGGGTATACATTGTGTGCGCGAAAGCTGGGTTTGACTCCCAGATAGAGAGTTGAATGGAACGAACTCAAATTCGCAGTGATTTTTTTTTCCTATTCTAAGCTCTTGCCTCAATACTAAGAGGTATGCAAAGTAGTTTAGTTATATAATAACCCACTTGGGAAATTGCATCTTCAACGTCTTTGTTCGTCACGTCGTGTGATGGCGAGTCATCATGCCTGTCATCTGATTCTCAGTGTCACACGGGAAACTTCAGACAGAGCATTTCTGCCATTTGAGGCAAAAATAATCGCAGCCTTTTCAGATTTCCTTCTAGCCGACTTGAACGACTGACCTTGTCATTAGCGGCGACGGGCTCTACAGCTGAGGTAAGAAGGACTATGAATTGGGTCCAAGTAGGTGCTAAATATACATACATACGTAAACACACGACTGTCACGGTCGACAACGACGATGGAGGTCGCTCCTCACCGCAAACTCGACTCCATTCAAGTACTCCCAACTTGAGCCACAGAATTGGTATAAAGTCAATTTGTTACTTATACTATGCGGGGACTTTGAGGCGTTCAAGTTCTACAGGTTACGGAGAGGCCGTAGAAGTATGAGGTTAAGAGGGTGTTGCATCAGTGAGTACCTCATTTGTATGCGGGGGCTGAATGGACGGTTAGATGAACTTTCAAGGTATCATTCAGGACAGAAGGAAGCGTCGGTGTTGACTATTTGTTGGCTGGAACCACGAGGCGTCGAATTATTTCTGGGGTTTGTGTGTGTCTCTCTTTTCCCCAGGACCACAGCTGATAATGATGCGCAATACGCAGATACCACGGCGGCTGGCTCACACCCGACATCTACTTCCTAGGCCACGTGGGACGTGTGCAAGTGAAGGGAATCGGATTGCAGGGATGTCGGGGATATATAAAGCAGGTGATTATCGACTTGGTGCGTTCTTCTCTTTCTTCTGCTGCTCCGAAAATCCTGCTGACGTGGGGACTCAAGTGTACTACAAACGCCTCCCATACGACCAACGCTCCATGCGAAGCATATACCATACTAGGCAATACAATGAGGTCTGTCTTCCCTTCTCTCCCTTCTCATCCCTTCTCATCCCATTGCAGCTAACCCAATCGAACACCACAGAAACCTCAAAGCCCTATTCAAACTCAGACCTGGATTCCGTGCCTCTGTCGACGCGGACACGTTGGGTTCTTCGCCGTTGATGACGTTGTGTGACGTGGGACATATGCATGTGATGTTTGAGGCAGAGGTGAAGCATGCGCGTACTGATGCGCAGGGGACGCAAAAGGGGGAGAGGGGCAAGCGGAATCAGAAGGCTGGAATAGGCAAGGAGAAGGACATACAAGACAACCAACGAACGACAAAGTTCTCTAGCAGCGCTGGATAAATGTCTCTCTTCCTCGAGGTATCCCCACCTCCCTCCCACTTTCTCCCTCCCACTTTCCCGTCCCTCGCTAACCTCCTTCCTCCGCTCCTTCCTTTCTACAGGCAATCGACTTCCCCTCCACCTTCTCCTCCCCTTGTTCAGTACAACTAACATTTGACCCCGAATGGCTCGCCATCACACACGTGTTCCATCCTTTCCTATCACTCGAGCACCAAGAGAATGGGAGGTTGAGAGGTGGGTGGGACAGAATATTTTTCAGGTTCCCGAAGGTCAAAATCAAGGCCAACATTTACCTGTACTATCTCAGTGACCCCACCATGCGCAAGGGCGGAGTGAAACAACTACCGCAGACTATTGGCGCAACCGCAGGAAGCGAAACCCAATGACGGAACAAGCCACCCATCCCAAATTGTTGGCAGAATGGACTATCACCGCCATGGTGTCAAGTTGGTAGAGGAGGTGAAGAAGTTCGTGAAGACTGCATTGGGGGTGGAAGAGATGCTTGAGAGGGAGCGGAAGACTCAACGTACGTTTTCTTTTCCTTTGCCACGTGTCTTCGTTTCGTGCACCCCCATCTTCCTTTACTTTTGTTGGTTGTGTGTTTCCTTTTCTCCTTGTACGCCCATTCATTTTGACTTATGTGCTTTTTTTACCAACGTATATGCGCACTTTTCGTCTTTTTCACTTGTTTTTGCCCTCTCTTCCTTTCCTTTATTCCGGTTTTCTTCTCTCCCACTCGCATTCCCCGCCCTTTTGTCTCCTCTTTCTGCCGCGTATGGCTTTGCTTCTTCCCCTCTCCCTTTCCTTTTGTGATGCCATCTTCCCTCTTCGAACTATCTCTTCATTCCTTCCCTAGCTGTCTTCGTTCTTTCCGTTTATGTTTACGTTTCCCTCCACTCTCTCTCGCTTTCCTTTCATTCCCGGCCTCCCTCCGTCCTCCCCCCCCGTCGTCTTTCCCCCACAACATCTCTTACTTTCGACATATATGTCTCCCTTTGGCCTGTCCTCCCCGATCTTCCCCATCCTTTTCGCGTTCCCTTCTCTGTCTCTCCCTTCTTCCCCTCCTTTCGGCCAACACCCTTCCCTTTCTGCCGTCCTCCTTTCTTTCCTTTTTTGGGGTCCTCTGCAACCCTCGTTCCTTTCCTTCATTCAGCCTTCCTTTCCATTTCTCGGTCTCCTTCTCTTTATTATCCTAACCCTCCCATCCGACCTACTTGTTTCCTCCACCTCCTCCGAACTTGTCCCCCACTTTTATCATTCAACCTAGGCCCCTCCCATTCAAACCTCTTTTCCTCACCTTTCACTTCTTCTATCCATTTTTCGTTCCCATCTCCCTTTTCCTCATTGGATCAAATCTGACAAATACATTTTGCAGAAAGCCCCGGTCTGGTGATTCGTGTACATGCTCCCGCTATTACAGTTCGCGCGCACATAGATGCATGGCAGGCGCGTGTATAGCCAACACTAACACAGATGTCAATGTCAGTTTCCTTTCTTAGGTTGTGGACAGCATTGATCGATGAATGTATAGATGGGGAAAACAACCGACCGCTTCTCCATCTTTCTGCCTGTTTCGGCACAAGCCAGGAACTTTTTCGGATGGCAGTGTGTGTACTGATTCTTCTGATTCGTACCAAGTATTTGAACATTTTTGCAATTGCGCTGTCAAGTTCCAGTACTGGTTAGTAGGCAAACACTCATGATCCTTACATCCAAGTGCGGAGATTTTTCAAGGTTGCACACTTACGCTTGTGAAAATCAACTCTCCCATTATGCATACGGAAATAGGTTCAAGTTACCAATAGCCAGGCCCACCTTTGTATCCATGCTCACAATCCCCCAAAGACACACCCCTTCAAAGTCTTTGTTAGTAGATTGGCGATTACAGCACGCTAGTCGTGTCGTTGGTCCGCAAAACTGGGTTCAACTCCCAGACAAAGGCATGCAGCCGATGATGATCGTCTTTTTAGCCGAATCGAACCTGCTGTACAGTACGCACAAAGAGCAAAGGATCTCGCGTCTCACTACTCCAAACCCTAAATATTATTCAATGGCCGACAAGTTGACAGCATGGTACGAGGCCGGTTTCCACCCAGTCTCAGAAAGCCACCTACCAGCCATCCTTTGACGATAACACTCACAGAAGGGGTGGGTCAACCATTGAAGATTAAAACTGTGGGTGTCGTTATATGTGCTATTCAAAAAAGGACCACATCTCAAGAGAACTTCTCACTCTGTCTGGGAATTGAACCCAAATCTCCCTAGCATTATTGGAAAGGTTGCATGTAGGATCTGGAAAAAGTTATATACTGTTCTCTATCTAAATTGATACCTGCTGGTGGGTATCAGGGTAATGGTGTTTGTTTATATGTACCATTAGCTAGAGGAGAATTTGTGAAGTAGTTAGTACATATGTACAGTAACATACAAATTTAGTATGGATGAGTACTTCAATATAAATCCTTAAATTTATAGTCATGGTGCACATGCACCACTATGTTGGAATGTGTTTGACTGTATGAATGTACAATAAGTCAAATTTATGAAAGTGTCTAATACATTTGTACCAGGATGCTTGGCTAATGGTACAGATCCACTGGCAAATTGAAAGTCTATATTGATGGTACATCCATACAGCAAAGGGAGATTTAGGGTGTATGGTACACATGTGCCACAGAAACCAAATTTGGAGTGCATGGTACAACCATACCAAAATAATTCTGTTTGTTCAGCGAAAATGAAATTTGAATGGCATAGTGTATCTGTACCAAAATATTTAAAACTTTTGGTCATGGTATGTCTGCACAGAAAAAATAAAATGTAAAGGGTCTGGTACATTCGTACCGAAATGTCTACAATCTTTGATTATTGTATGTCTGCACTGGAAAAAATCAATATTGAAAGGTACGGTACATCTGTACAGAGACATTCAAAATTTTTGATTATTGTACATCTGCACTTTGAGAATAAAATCTGTGTTCATGGTGCACCCACACCAAAATAATCAGGCAATCTTTTAGTACACAAAAAAACTTAGAAGTCAATGGTACATTCATACCAAGATATTCACAATTCTTGATTGTGGTGTGTCCGTACTAAGGGAAAAAAAATTGAAGTTCATGGTACATTAGTACCAGAATATTCAAAATTTTGAATATGGTATGCCTATACAGCAATATAACATTTGAAGGCCATTGTACATCTATACCATGTGAATGGCATGGCATGGTGAAATATTCGAAATTTTTGGTCATGGTATCTGTGCATGAAACTCAAGAAATTAGCAATGAAACAGCAAGTACAAACAAACAACTTACTGCCCAAAGGGGCAGTGCACGAAGTTGATGTTTGATTGACGCCATATGGAAATGACTCAGCTGATCTCAACAACTAATTTAATGACATCAACAGGTGTTTTCTCAGGAACTTTTGACACCATTGCATCATACTGTCTCACACAGATCCCGATTGCCAGCTGGTAGAAACTACTGGGGAAATTCTGTCAGTAAGAATTGTTCGAGTTTGCCCACTGCATCACGATCTAGCAGGCAGACACCCTACTGGGAGCAAAGCAGCAGCCAAGTACAAAGAAACAGCCCTAGACGAGATCAAACTAATCCAGACTCATTATGTTGTCGGCCACATAGATCCTAGTTGCCCCCTCGTCAAGACTCAAAGCCCAACCCACCACCCCCATCACCATCGCAGACCCATCCTAGACATTCTTGTGTAATCGGCTTCCTTGACCACTTTAAGCACAAAGGGCCCAACAGTACCCATATATGCATGGTATTTGACGTGCTGGAAGAGAATGTAATACAGTATACTCAGTCTCATGATCAAACACCATCAAAACAAAAACAAATGCGAAGCCCCCAATGCCCATGCAACTCGTCAAGCAAATTGCGAAGCAGGTTCTCCGAGTCTTTGGCCTTGACTACATGTGCAGATGTTGTGGCATCATACATACAGGTACATATGCCTTGGCTTCACCATCCACCTCTCAACATCACATATCACTCATAGATCTGAAACTGGAAAACATCCTAATATACGTTGACGACATTCGAATCCATCATCCAAGCAGAGCTTGCCTCCTCCAACACTGCCAGCTCCGAGTCCCCATCCACCAAGCTCGTTGATGTGCCACCTTCCAAAGGCCATGGCGGTGACCCAACGCCAAGATCAGAATCCGTCTTCATCACAGGCTCTCAACCCTCCCTTCCACCCCCTCATCCTTCGACAGAGAGGAAGCATCAAAGCAGCTCTCGATGCTTAAATGGCATCTGCCGATCTTGTGGTGGAGGTGGGCAATGTCTCGTTGATCCTAGCCTTTGATACAGAGTGTAACAATACACCCATAAAAATGCGAATTTTAGCAATTTCTCCTATAAAACCTCCTATAGTAGAAATACAGTCATATTGATCATAAGGATCGTTAGACGCAACCCGGTCTAGTCGATTAAAGTCTACATCCGAGAAATGTGCATGCCTTAGGCAGTAGGAATTGCGGTTGGTTCGTGACCGAATCACTTCAATATACTCGAAGTCTAATAAAAGGCTACACTACCATGAAATAGTACACTACAGAGTGTCCTAGAGTAAAAACACCTCAGCACAGGGTGTTGGAGTTTACACCAAACCAGGGTCTCACTTTACTATGGATTAAAGGATATTAATTCTAAAGATAAACGCGCGAGTGTAGAAACTTGACGCGTACCTGACGCAAGAAGTCATTCGGTCACGTGCTACGAAGCATGATCCAAGAAGTCATGTGGAGAGACTCATCACGCGCATCAACGCATCACAAATCATGGCATCATTGACCCAAGAAAACTAGGCTTCATGAAATATTCCGAAGTCAGCCAAAAGAGAAAAACTATGAACGATTTGCCATGCGGTCTGAGACCCAGGCATAGTATCTAATAATAGAGAGAAAATCTCCTGCGTACGCATCAATACTGATGCGTCACGTTGCCACAATAGAGAAAACACTACGAAAACTTAAAAGAAGTCAGCTCAGTTGTGCCACACACAATTGAGCCGCTTCAAACCTTTACTAAAAATCAGTATTAATGCGTCCGACCTCCCGGACAACGCACGGACATGTAAATATAAATAGAAAACATAGAATAGTGTAAAAAGAGGACGCGCGCAGGCTGAAACACAAGGAATTATCCCCCGCATTGACCAGCTGTCGCACTCCCAGTAGCACCTGAGGTAGTGGATAAGTGTGTAATCAATTAAAGGTCATTTTCTTCGCAGACATAAGTAATGTGTGCCCGGAACCAGCATGTTAAGTGGGGATCACTAAGCTTTTGTAAGGTTGTCTCGTCAATTAGTAAGAGAGCTCTCTACTATTACCGAGGAATCCAAGTGAGCATGCTTGAAGAGTCTTTAAGACTAGTTTGGATTGAATCAGAGGCATAATAAAAGCTCAAGGGAGTTACAAAAGTCTACAAAGCATAGTTTCCTTGTCATTTCTTCGTATACAGTTAGAACTCAATCCCAGAACACCGAGATAGTCCCAATAAAAGCTGTTTCCCTTCGAAAACTACTAAGTTTCGAATTCTATACTTGTGCCCACATGTAAAAACAATACAGTTTGTTCCAAAAAGGTCTACTAGACTTAGACAAGTGATATAAAATATACAAAATCGTTTCCCTGAACTTCTACTTAAGTTCTCACAAAACAAGCATGGTAATTCTATTTACTGTACAAACCCAAACTTGAAGCACCAAGCACATACCTGTGGTGATAAGTGTTTAAGGTGTTAGTGTGTGTGTGTGTGTGTTGTTTAGGTGTTCATGCATCTTGTCAGCGCGTCAGATTGCACTTTCCTCACTCCCGCGTGTCACGGACTTCTCACCTTAGGCGGGGTCTTCTGTGTCCCATCCCTTGGCGCTCCAGGCCCCACACTTGGTCCTCCAATCAATGTCAAACTCACATGTATTTGCAGGTTACAATGGACAGCTTGTTTACAGAAGATCAATGATGTCCCTAGTATGTTTGGCGGATGTTGATATGTCCTGTTGAGCCTTAGCAAGGTGGATTGGAGGCAATAACATTGAAATGGCTGAATTTTCAAAGGTAAGTCCATGTATATTCGCACAACAATGAAAACTTATGAGTTACTTTGAAAATCGACAGCAGACTTGTCATTAATTGAAGACAGACTTGCATTGAGGGCGGCTAGGGTGCATTTAGTGATGTTGCAAAGGCTGGAGAATTTTTGGAAGCATATAACACACGTAAACGATCTTTGAAAAAGTAAGTAACACCTCAGAACTCAAAGCAGTGTAAAACTCACACATATTTCAAAGCTATGACAGGCAGCATGTAACAGTGTTTGCACAGCATCAACAACATCCTCAACATGTTTGGCATAAGTCGTGGCAAGCCTTGGAGAGGTTGATGGGAGCGCGGTGACTTGGCAACACATGGAAACAATCAAGGTACGATCGATCCTTTTGCGTCGAATGCTGTTAGGGCGTAGTTGGTGACGTGGAAACATTTACAGGGCGATAGCATGTGTCGATGACCTTCAAACATGTAAGTGGACATTCAGTACTGGAATCAATGCAAGACTCACATATATTCAAAAGCTACAACATGTCACAGACATGCGCAACATCAACGACATCCCCAACATGTTTGGCGGACATTGATATGTTGTGTCAAGCGTTGGGAAGGTTGGTTGGAGACGATAACATTGAAATGGCTAAATCTGAAAGGTAGGTCCATGAATAGTTGCATAACAACAAAAACTTATGACTTACCTCAAAGATCAACAGCTGAACGTCATAAATCGATGACGGACTTGTGTTGGAGGTGACTGGGGCATAGTTGGTGATGTGGCAAAGGCTTGGAAATGTTCAGAAGGTGGCAATGTGCATGTACAACCTTCAAAGAGGTAAGTAATCGCCTCAGAACTAAAGCAAAGTAGTACTCAGAAAGCTGTAACATACAGCGATGTTGTGGAACATCAATGACGTTCCAAATGTGTTTGGCCAATGTCGATAAGTTGTGGTGGGCCTTGTGGAGATGGAAGAGAGGCGGCAAGGCAAGGAAGCGATCAAACGACGAAGGTACGTCGACCCCTTTGCCAAATCTGATGGTGTAGCCTGCAATGTCGATTGAAAACGAGAAATGAGTCTTGGGGGACAATGTCTTGCCTGGATAGCAATTGGCAGAAGACAATACGTTGCGCCAACACAAGGCGGGGCTGTGAAAATGGTGAGACTTCTGCTGACGTGCCTCTTCAGCTACCTGGATTGAGCACCACTTTACGGATGATAACCAAACAAGGCAATATCACTGTCCCGAAGTCATGGGGAGAAGAGCTGTCAGATCAGTGTGGGTGATGATGAGTAAGTACACACCATCCAAATTAGGCAATCCCTGGCCAAATATCCAGTGGTTTATAAATGAATGAAATTGGTTTGCACAGGGCAACATTATAGCATCCAAAATAATATTTCCCAGTCTTAGAATATATATATGAGTTATTGTGGCCTTATAATTGTATATAACTTTGGCATCCTATGAGATATAGGAAAGGGAGGATGATATTTAAACACATCAAATATTTACATACAAGAAATCCGTGAACACAAATAACTCATTTGTGCCTAGGGCCAGGCAAAATTTGTAGTTCATGGTACATTTGTACTTCAAAAACCAAAATTGAAGGGTGTGGTACATATGTACCAAAATACCAAAAATATCTGATTATGGTACATCTGTACTCCAAAAAACAAAATTGAAGGGCATGGTACACCTGTACCAAAATATCAAAAATATCGGATTATGGTATATCTGTACTCCAAAAACCAAAATTGAAGGGCATGGTGCATCTGTACCAAATATTTAAAGTTCTTGATTATGGTACATCTACCTGCGAGATATATTCACTGTACATTTTACCACTTGTACATTCCAAATTGAAGTATCATTGTCACCTCTGAACCCTGATACCCACCAATGGATAACACTTCCAACGTAGAACAGGATATCACTTTTTACGATATTCTACGTGCAACCTACCCCATGTATCTCCATCTCATTACGCTAACACGAATATGTTCAATAGTTCATCCTAATTAGGGGAACTGCTGGCTCTCGAAACGATGCGTTGTTGACACGAGCGCTGGTAAAATAAGGTGATTCTGGGTTAGAGCTTGAATAAAAAAACTTAAACATCCCGGCAGAAATTTCAACTTAGGTCCCGAAATATGTCACACAATAAATCATATCTCAATCCAGCCAAACAATGTCCAAAGCCTGACCTCTGCTGCCTCCGTCCTCAGAGTTGGTGGGGATGTTGGAGGTGTTGGAGATGGTGGTGAAATAGTCCATGTGTATGATGTTTAGGTCGATTTGAGCCTGGAGAAATACAGTGAGTCATTCAGGACTTTATACCTCGCCGGCGTCCAAGCCTCGGTATCTTTCGATTGAGCGCCAAGCGCATCTAACATTAGTTTAGGTTGCTTTGTCCCTACCAAGTCCTTATTGATTGTCACTGCTTAAATTTAAAGCTTGTCGGATGACATGGTGGTCTTATTGTTAAAAGTGGGGCTTTGCATTAAGGAACACTTCACAATAAAAGGTTATCAATGTTTGACAAATTCGCGATGTGTACCTTTTTCAAAACAATAGATTTATTCGTGTAGACACGCAAAAATCAAGCACACGTGTTAACAGACAGTGAATTGGTAGTGAAATATTGCAAATGGTTAATTATCGATAGACAGGGGGTCAACTCACAGAGTCACCAGTCAGACGATATTTTGATGATATTATCATTTTGGCCAAGGGAGCCTTGTGGCCTGGAGTGAGGTCTCATCAATGTCCCACATCATGTTGGTTTATTTCAGAGGCTTGGTAGTAAGTGGTTGAAACGGGGGGAAGCAAACATTAACGTTCATCCAGAAATGTAAAAAGGTCTGAAAATATTCAAAATATAAGTTTGATCTTCAGATAAAGTCTTCGGAGGCTGCTGGCTTCTGCCACAAAATGGCGATGATGCATAATGTTATGTCTAATTTCTATGCAGTAAGTATTTTATGGACCTGTAAATGGATTTGTGAACATGGGGATGGCAGAAGGAAACGGAAAACTACCACTTGAGATATGCCATCCTACCTCCCAACTAATTCTGACGTGTTCCAACCAGATAACAAAACCACCAACAACAAAATCGACGTCCAAGACAACCACCCTTGGCTTGTCAGAGACTTTGGTGCTGCGAGCACAGTTCTGTTGCAGAACCTTGGGGGTGGGTTAGGCACCAAAGGCGAAGACAAACACGATTCCAGCCTTAGAACCGGGTTTTGCCAACACACTGACACCTCTCCAAAGTCAATTGGAAGTCTTAGCAGATAATCGATCCTTCCCCTGGGATCAATCTAACCAGAAACCCCCTTTCCGCGTGGAACCCTGGGTTTCTTCTGCATTTGGTAGAAATCCCCCTTCCATCAGTCGATGGGTTATTTTGAGGAACCCCATGTTGGAGTTGAATTCCTAGATGCTGACGCATGTCGTGCTCAAATTTAAATTGATCTTGGCTCCCCTGGTCATCATGAGAAGAGAGCGACGAGTTGACCTCCATCATGCACATCCCTTGTCGCACACGTATCGTCGCGTGATGCGATGCACCTGCTTGATAAGTGGTTACCATGGTAAATAATATTGGTTCATGGTCTACACGATGCTACAAGATGAGGGTTTGGATGGGTAGCTATACTTACATAGATGTAGGAGAGCGGGAGTGGTTTAAGGATGCCACTGCTCCCTTCCATAGTCCCTTGCTACTTGAAAGGTTGATGACCCCTGCTGCCAACTTGAACTTATGCATGACTCTTGTGTGCATGTGGTGTACTTCAAATATTCTGAGCTCTACTTCTTGTGGAAACAAGGTTTCTACACAAGCACTTTGGAAACCCTGGGTTGTTTAGGGGATAGTTTAATCCCTTCCCCTGAGTCACCCCTTTCCTTCCACATCAATGGGGTGGCGGAACATGGAATTTGGATATACAGTCACAAGGAGAATTGGGGCACCCTCGGCCAACCCCCCACCCCCCTACTCCCCCCAAAAAAGGAAATTTTCCAACTTCCTATGTCAAGAACATACTCAATCAATTGAATCATGTATTATGTTACATTTTTTGAGTTTTTATGTGTGACAACGCTTCACCCCATATCCATACAAGTGGGACACATCCAAGACTTCAATGCACAGCTAACCTTCATGCATTTTATGTGAAACTAAAGTGAACGGCTTGATCAGCAAACAATTTGATAATCTCCAAAAGATTTACGCACCCATAGAGTCTCACAACCCTCTCCTTTGCATTCAATAGCATCTCCTCCCTCTCTCTCAATGAGACTGACCTCCTCCCCACAACTGTGACATCCTTGGTCCAATCATGGTCGTTTTTGACCACATGTACATGTGCGCTGGCTGCTGTTATCGTTGCCTTCTGGAAGAATGGCCTGGGGAACAGGCACAGGGTCGAGATTACAGCCAATGTCAATCCCCTGGGGGTTTATGTGGATTTCTGGTGAGGATCAATCTATAGGTTCTGTGTCAAGAATTGAACAAGCTGTCAGTGTAGGGAATGGGGGAGAACCTAGGTCACAATCATCCGTGGTCTCAAGAGCAGATTCAGCAGAATGGGCAACAGGTAAAGGGTCATGATTGTTGCCATCAGAATCGGGATCATGAATGATGGACCTGATTTGTTTTCTGACAGCCTTGTCAGTTGGGCACTCAACATCTTCACCCATTCCAGATTTCTCAACAGCGTTGTTGTTGCCACTCTCTTCACCTTCACAGACTCTATTCATCGCACTCTTGTCTTCTGATCCCGACTCGTCATCTTTTCTGGCTCTTGTATGTGAAAATATCAGAAAAAAGATATTATTTAAATGCAGGACTAATCTTACCGCAACACATGTCACAAGCTATGAGCCACCAAAATTTCCAGCAGTTTATGGGTACATTTTTTTAACAAACACTTCTTTTTTTCCTTGTAACACTTATCCCAGATACTCTTCATGTGTTCCCTTTCAAGTGCCGAGATAATGAATGGGATGGGAAAGTTGGCTGGTGAGAGCTTATGGCGCTCACAAAAGTGAGTGTCAAGTGAGTACATCCATACTGCAGCAGATTTTGGTGGACAAAGGCTGCAGTTGGTAGGGAAATTTGTGCAGGGTGAGCTTTCCATGCTTTCAGATGCTATGGAACAGCTGAAATGCTTTATAAGGTTGATGCAAGATGATCGTTTAGTGTCGACACTGAAGTTACAATCAGCACCTCGGGTTTTTTTTATGTAGATTTGGCACATGGGTGCTGGCCTCAGGGTAAGACCACACACCTCTTGATTTTGCAGATTAGCAGAGTCATATAAGATGTGAGCACCCATATGCTCTAATACACGTTGCTTTTTTGACAAATCAACATGGGTTTTAGAACTGCATCTTGAACACACAGACTTCTCCTCCAAGTCGTCGACGCCATCCTGAACCTTGTGCTCACCAATGAAGCAGGCTTTCCCCAATAGGCGATATGGGAAATGATCTGTTCATGAGACCATAGGTACTCCTCGAAGACTTTGATGGGTCAAGCGATCGAGGAGGTCAGCAGTGACACACTGTGACAGTGAGGAGAAAGTTGGAATCCAAGAGGTACATGGCCTTCCCATCCTTGTAAACAAATTCTGGGTTAATTGGTTGGATCAATTCACCAGGGACATCATGACATGTCGCTTCCATGTTCCAAGCCCAGCACCAGTCGTATTCTTTGGATGGATCATCCTCGATGGTCGTGGGGACAATGTGAAGAATTTGGAAGCTTACTTTCGCCGTGGTGTCAACAAGAAGGTGCGTGCAGAGGGTCATCAAATCCCCGTTCCCAGCAAAATGTAGCTGATTGATGTGTGCAACAGCGAGGTAGAGTTTTTTCTCACATTCCACAAGGACGGTGATAGGATTGCCAATGTGTATCGAAGGTGAGGAATCACTTTGCTTGGTGTCAATGGGAGACATAGCTTCCAAAGGATTAAAACATGTTAGTTCTTGAACCCATTTAAGTTGATCAGTTGACAAGCGATTCATGCAATGCATCATTCTTTGTCGTAATGCTTGAGGCTTTGTGGTTTTACGACCATTAATCTGTATCTCTGAAGAAATAGATCCATGTGGCAACTCCTCAGCAATCATATCCTCTAAATCACCGTCTAAGGTGTGTGTCCTGTGCGATACACATTCAGAAGCTTCCTGCTCACAGGTATTGGCATTGCTCGGGTATTGTGCAGAGAGCTCTGAGCAGTTGAAATTGTCCTCCTCCTCATCATGTTGGTTAACGAGGAGAGTCCCAAAGGGAGAAAGCATGGTAAGGTTTCACTGCACTGCATCATCAAAAACCTGTTCCACTTCTGGTATTAAATTGATTGCAGCATGCTCCCCAAGTATCCACGCCATGTGTAAGTTGATGCTTTCCACACTGGCAGATCCATGCCAACTGGCTGGATTTATGTGGTCGAACTTTGAGTTAATTTCCATTGTAATGTCCTTTGTAATCATTTTGAGTCCCAGACGGTGAGGTGATTGGTCCCATTCAGGGTGTAGCACCAGTATTACTGCAACCTCAACTAACCCAGATGCATGGCTTCCAAGTTGCATGATGTCGACATTTGTATCAGTTCCAATTGCCATTCTAATAAGCCCAAAGAATCCCTCTAGACAATCAGTCCCCAACTGGAATAGGTGTAAACCCCCCTTCAGATTGTCAACTTTACACTTTGCGACACAGAAGTATGCATTTTTCACCATGATCATGATGTCGACAAAGGATTGGTTCGGCATGAACCTCGTTTTGGTGGATCCGTCAGTATAGAGATAAAATGCAAGGTGAGCTGCTGTGCTTAGATGTGAAAGCTGCTCATCCAGATTTAAGTCGACACAGATGTAAGGCAGGATTAAATAATAAGCAAATTGACTGTAAAGTCAGAGAGCTTCTTGAGCACATGCAAAATCTGGGCTGGCAGGATTTACTGCTCCGTCATCTTTCCCCCAACCAAAGGCTTGCTTCATCAAAGGGTTTAATACTTCCTCCCAATCATCATGTTCATCGTTTGAGTAGGCTGTTGGATCCCCTGAAAAGACTGCCAGGGGGTGATCCCCATCAGTGGTCAGGACCTCGTTTGGTATTCTTTCAACACTGGCTCTGAGCCTTGAAAGTAAGGTGACGGCAAGTGGACAAGGCTCCCTTCGCATTGCACTTTGGGATATGGTTGTGCTCTCGAATCTGTTTGTCAAGCTGGACACCACCCCTACTGCTGAATGAAGGAGCGGGGGCGTGCTTGTCATTGGTGGGTTTTGTGGGATTTTTGGTCCAAAAAAGGAGCAAATGGATGGTATGTTTTGCTGCCATCTTGATGAGATGGTGGCTGTGCATGCTCTTGATCCAATATGCTGCTGCAGATTTGTGTTGCCGCCTGTTCCAACGGGAACATCTTGTTCACATTCTGGGCAATGAAGCTTGCTGTCGCTCATAAACCCCGACGCTTTTCTGTAATACAGTATTGAGTTAGAATATATATATAAAATAGGGACCCACTTCTTCTTAGCCATACTTTTTGCGAACCTGAGCGGCGTTAGAAAAAAGTTCGTTGACTTTTTTGGCTCAGTCACAATTTCAGACAGTAAATACGTAAATTAGGTGTTTGCTGTGCATTTGAACTTCCCAACTTCTTTTGGGAACTATTTGGCTTATTGACAGGACTTTTCTAAAGTAGGTCACAAAAAATATTTCAACCCCCTAGCGGACCCCCCCCCAACCCTATATCCGGGATCCACATTCTGCCACCCCCTTGCAAACACCTTTCTATTGTCCTCCTAATGTGGTTTGATGAAGGCAACCTCTTACATGACCTCACTGAAGCAATCTCATTGTACAAAAGACTTTTTGATTGCCTGGTTGACGATCCCAATTGCTCTTGGTCTTTAGAGCACTTGCTTCTGGAGTTAAGGGAGCGTGGTGCACTGATAGGTGACCATGGGGACATTTCTGAAGGCACTGATGCAGAGGGATTGTCATTGACATAGATCATTAATGACTCCCTGGTAACTATTTTGAATACCTACTGCTTTTTTCCAAGTGAAGGACGGAGGGATATGTTTCGATGTGGTTCGCTTGCAGTTTTCTTTTCTTTTTTTTTTTTTTCGAAGGAGGAGAGAATTTCTCAACAGGTCTTTCAATACATGCATATCTCTCAAACTTTTTATTACTGCTGTAAAACACGCGGTGAAGGACTCAATACTATTGAAATAGTCATAGCTTGCAATTGTTTCAGTGGCGGAGGGATTGATTAAGTATTCAACATGACCAAAGTCAAGGGGGTCCTAGGATGGGAAAAAAAATACCAGGAGTCAATTTTTTTTTTAAGCAGTCGCCAGCTTGACCTACCTACCTACGTAATCAGGCACATGTCTATATATAGTAATATGACATCATTCACATGATTATTTTCTCCCTTCACACCTTCACCAACCCAAAATGTTACAAGCAATACATATGTGATTACTACATACTAACACTGATAGTATTAGTGTTTGGAAGTCCGGTCTCGTGACTGGAAAAAGACCGTAACCAGACCGGACCAAGACTGCAAAAGACCGGACCTGCGGTTACGGTCTTTTATTTTTGAAATGTAAAGACCGCAAAAAGACCGGTTAACGTGAACCGGTCTTGACCGGTTTGGACCGGTCTTTTGTAGCCCCTTAAATACCCTTTAAAACGCACCCAAGAACGTACGATTTGGTAAAAAAACGAGAGAGATATGAATTAAAATGTAAATTACTTTTGGGAATAATAGATGTACCAGACTTATTTTATAGAAGCACCGATTCCTAATGGAATGTAACGTTCTTGGGCTCGTTTTGAAGCTATTAGAGATGTTAATAAATTTACAGATTCATAATTTTAAAATATTGGCCTAAAGACCGGTCATAAACCGGTTAAAACCGATGCAGACCGAAACCGGTCTATAGACCGCAAAAAACCGCGGTCTGCGGTCTTTTTGCGGTCCGGTCTGGTCTTTTGACTTCTGGGGAAAAGGCAGACCGGTTACGGTTAACGCCCCTGGGCATCAAAAAACCGGACCGAACCGGACTTTCAAACACTAGATAGTATACAGGATACCCCAGTCCTTGATGTATCTGGCTTTGTAGTTTTACTTGACCTTCAGCAAGGTGTTTTGAAATCAACATTACGTTGATTTGATAAGTTGACCATCACTCAAAATCTTAGAAGATTGAGAAAATTGAGAAAAAATATTTTCGAGGTCAGAAAAAATGGGCATGATGTGTGATAGCTGAATCAATCAAAATGGTACAGTGTAATGCTTACATATAGTTTAATAAGGCTGATGCGCAACTCTGGGAGCATCTTAGAGGCTGAAAATGACCTCTTGTGGCTATCCTAAGACTGTTTTATAGAGGGTTCCATTTTTTTTTCTCCACCTGCGGCTAACCTACCTACCCAACCCCTGGTCGGACTTTGGAATCCTAAGACCCCCTTGACCAAAGTTCCAAAGTTCTTCTCAGTTGCGAGAACGCGAGTTTATTTTGCGTTCAAGGCTGCGTGGTACTTTCCTTTCCTAATAAATCATTAACAGTGAGGGATAAAATTTAAAAGTTACAAGGAAGTTTACTCAGATGTGGAATTAAGCCTGATGCGCGGGGTGTGGGGGTGACACGGAGTTGTACGAGAGAGCGCTATATTTTGTCCACCACAACACGAGAAACATAGCGCAAGATCCCAAACTGGGATAGCCAGAGCAAGTGCGACACCTTTTCCGGGCTGGAATATTGCGGGGGCAGGTTAATAAATATGTAGGGTAATACTCTTTGTTGTAATTGCATTTTACCCTTTCCACAAAGAGGAAAGTGAATGGAAAAATTTGAATGTTCCCACTCGGAATAGTTGAACAGATCCGAACAAAGAGTCCTTTCTCAGAAATTTCATTCTTTCCCGCCCCTTTTCACAGCATGTATCAATTTTCCATGGCATGCGAAAACAAAGAATCCCTTTCCTTCGGCTTTTCTCTTAATCTTACTCAACTGTTTAACTTTTACTACGATATCACAAACAGGAAAATCTTTTAAATATTTCAGCTTTTGTTCGCCCTTTACCAGCTAAGAAAAGGCAAAACAAATTTCTTGGCCCGGATGTTTAAAAATCCCATGCCTTTCCCCACCAGAAAAAAATTGAATATAATCAGGATGCTCCCGGAAAGAAAAAGTGTCGCACTTTCTCAAGATATCCTGATCGGTAATGTTGGGCAATGTTTCTCGTGCAAGTCCTTGAAGCTTGAACTGACGCCGAAACGAAAATTTTCAAAACCGATATGGAATACAACAGTGTATACAAAGAAAGGAAGAGTAAGGAAGTTCAAGGAACAGCAGAAGAAGAAAAAGGCAGACAAAGAACTGATGTGCGTGTATGCGTACAATAACGGTGGCAATTAAGTACAGAAACAGGGTGCAGGGCATGCGGGGAGCGTGTGGAGTTCGGAATGACTGTGCAAACTGTGATACGGGGTGCGGAATCACTGATACCCGCGGGGTACGGAATACAGTTTGCAGAAAATGAATGGGACAGGTATGCAGGGCGCGGAATGGATGGAGGCAGGATTATCAAGGACGAGCGTACGATCAATCTGGATATCAGCAAGCAGGGAAGACGATATCAGCAAGAAGGGGAGACGGTATCAGGGTGCAGGGGGAAAGGTAGTGGTAGCAAGGTGGTAGGAGAAAAGAGCGATAGCAAAGCGCGGTTGTTTGGAGAGGTAACAGGGTAGCAGGAAACAATAACGGGGACCGATTCTCCGGGAATGGTAGCAGCTAGGACGGATTGGCGGGGATCGGTTTTCTGGGATCGGTTATCTGGAATCGCTACCAAGAACCTGTTCTTCGGGACGGGTTGGGTAGCAAAGAGCGAGTGGGGAGCAACATTCTGGCTGGGTAGAGAAAGAAACGTTTGACTGGAATATAATGATAAGACATGAACGGGGTCAGCGAGTACTTGGTGCGAAAGTCGTGGGGTTGGATATACGTGTTTGAAGTCATCTTGTTCTCATTCTTGCCCAAGGAGAAAGGACGGGATATACTTGGAGCGGGCTATGAATACGCGCAAAGAGGCGATGGGCGACGACTTTGAGGAAAGGGCGAGAGAGAGTGAGAGGGCCGAAACGGACTGACGACGGCATTTGAATCAAGTAACAGCCCGGAAAGATCGGGGATGCAAGTGCGTGTGTGGGCAAGGGGGCAATAACGGCGGGTTCCAACACAACCGCGACCGACAGCGCCTCAATACCGCCTCAAAACCATCCTAACAACCGCCCTCAATGGCGCCATCAAAAGATATCCAACCCGCATAATAATGCTCGACGTAATCCACATCGGGCGCGCCAAGAAAGGGCACCGATACCTCTCTTTCTCTTGACACTTCCCATTCACAGCCGTCGTTGAATCGTCTTCCTCGACGATAGTCTCCAGCAGGGTCGACGGAGACGAAGGGAAGGAGGGGTGCTGATAGTGCTGATGATGGTGGTGGTGGTGCCTCGATGCGATTGTGGATGTGGTGGTGGGGGAGTACAAAGAAGGACCATAGTACAGCCCCGTCGTATAATACGGCGCCTCAAAATCCAAAAGCCACTGCGGCAGCACATAAGCAAGCAACGAATGCGCATACGCCCCATCCAAACTGAGCCTGCCTCGCTCCGGGGCCGAGGGGGACTTGTTGACCTTCTCCTCAACCTCCCTAACCCTCCCCTCCCACTTCTCCCACCTCCTCTCCTGCTTCTTCAACGAATGCCATACCCCATCAACAGCTTCGTCCACATACTCATGTACCTCATCGACAACCCCTCCAACCCTCTTCCCCATCTTTCCCAATTTCCTCTCTAGCTCAAGCACCCTTTTCTCCAGATCACTGTGAACGGCGGAGGACGAGTGCGGTGTAGGGTAATGCACCAAATCGTGCAGTCCCGCCGTACGAGTGCGGATCCTCTCGACGAGGTGCCGTGGCTAATACGAAAAAGGCCCATGCTGAACCATGAGACGGATTGGGGGCCTGAGACGGCGGCTGTTGCGTAGCGCAGCAAGCAGCAGAGGGCGCCGAGGAAGGGGGAGAGGAAGGTTAGGAAGAGTAAGGAGAGTTCGAATGAGCGCAGATCGGATGCTGCGTATGTCCTGTAGGAGGGCGGTTCCGTGGAGTCTGGGAGGGGAGGAAGGGAGGGGGAACGACGGCGTAGACGGGATTTTTGATACAGGTCCCAGTGGACTTTATAAGAGGCGTGCGTCAGTTACGTTTAGGGAGAAGGGGAAGGAAAGGGACGGACGTACTTTCGATAATCTGGTGTAAATAGAAAATGAGCAAAATGATGAGAAGGAGGTTCTTGATGTGATCTCCCCCCGTGAGCCAATTTCCAATAGGCGACACGAGGGCGACGACAACTGCAAGGTCGAATTCATACCACGCGCGTGAGCCAGGCGACACCGAGCTTGCGCTTGGACGCCCCATTTGCGGGGAGCTTTGAAGTTGGGCAGCAGCAGCGCCCTGGACCAGTGACTTTGGAAGTAGACTCCTGAGGCCTGAGGCGGCGTCTTATCCTCATCCTCCTCTTCATCATTACTCGACGTCCGACTCTCGAGGCTCACATCCTGTTCCTCCCCGTCTTTTCCTCTCGGGCAAGATCTTAAGCTCTGCCGAAGCGAGCGAGTTCAAGGAGGGCGCGCGGTCGAGTATGTGCCAGTGTTTGTTCAGAGGGCTGAGCTTGGAGGAGGTGGGTTTTGCGGTGGTGTTTGCACAAGCCAGTTTCGAGATTGTGTTTGTCTGCGGGGCGGTGCTTGGGCCTCGAGGCCTAGTGAGCAAAATTGTTTGAGGTTGTTCGTTCTGGGACGCGTCGTCTAAAAGATGGTCGTGTTTGGTTTGGGTGGGAAGGGGAAATAGATGTGCACAGATAATCTGACACCGTGATGGCATGGTTTCTTTCATTCCAAACCCTAGGTGTCATACTCTGGAAAGGCCAAATATCTACACTCTTTCAAAAGCTCGTAGGCTCGCGAGCTCAAACTTTGAGTTCTGGACCAGGTTGTACGTACTGATCAGTGAACTCCGATCGCCTAAGCCTGTCTTTGAAATCCAACTTAGTTCAATCTGACCTGGAGCTCATGAGAGGACATCTCGATATTGGAATTTCCGGTGTCTGGTGTCCGGTGTCCGGAATTCAGCACGTGCCGCGCGTCAAGATGCGCCCAAGACGCGCCACTTGACAGGTATGCGTGGGTTCAGGTGGGTTCTTAGCAGCAGGTTATGTAGTGTAGAATCAATTATATGTTATATCACATCGTGAGGTTGATGTGGTCGCAGACTACCTGACTCGCCGTCCCCGCTCCAACTTCACGCACGCCGTTCTCCCTCATCTCTCACACGCCAACCGCACTCACCGCCTTTCGCCCCGACTTTTGATGTAACCCACTGTCTTCACCTTCCACGACTGTCATGTTGGTTACTCTGGCACCATGCGTATGGGACAAAGCAACCACATCGGCAGGTAGTTTTAGGCGGGTGGGGTTGATGGTCTGTTTGGCTGACATTGACATTGGGCGGGCTTATCCTTGGCTTATCCTGCATGGCGAGGGAGATGTTTGATGGTGAGGAGGTGGAGGTGTGCACGGGGAGACACTCCTTACCCTGACGCTCTCCTTCTGTCGCCTCCAACATGAGTCGGATCATGATTTAACTTTGCGCTTGTTTACTCAAGGCTGTTGGGAATTGTGAGCTTTGTTCAAGTTTGTTGTGAGTGACATGAGGTTGCAGATGAGTTTGAGGTTGTTGTCCTTCCACGGCAATAAAAAGAGAATCCGAGTCCAACCTTTCTTTCCCCCGCATTCCCAAAAATGTTTTCAACCCTCCAAGAGTACCATCAAGCAATCATCTCAGCGGCGTGGATGATCACTCTATCCCTCATCCCGCAAGACCTAGTGCGGGCTGGAGCCATCCTCTTCGGCTTTCTTATATATCTACAGACCTACCGCCCACGAATCCTCATAAAAACACTTCAACTTCGACTCTCATCTTTGGAGGTAAATTTGCAGGATGCCGTGGATAGTGGAATTATGCGTCAATCGAATGCAAGTTTCACTAATCAATTCGTGAGGGACATGGGGAGGTGAGTTCTTGATGTTGTATCATGAAGTAACATACTTAGCTATCAACAATATATGCTCTCTAGAATGCGCTACATGAGCTTGGAGCTCTACGAGAGAACGCTCATGACGTCCGGCGGAATTTTTCAGGAGATAATGGCCGTTTGCGACGGCCTCTCACTCAAGATCAATGAGTGCGTTCGTAATGTTGATGCCCTAGAAAGGGACCTCGAAGTATGTTCTTCGCAGCCATTGGTCTCCCCGATTTTACATGATGCGCAGATCAACCGCGCAAAAATTCTAAAGAATCAGTATCATTTGTGGTGTGACAGGCCCAACTGAATACACACTTTACTTTCCATTATTCATCACTATCCCGCTTGACCTCTTCTCGTCGCCATGTTGTCCCCGCTTTCCTCCTGCTTTCGATCTTCTGGTACTTGCTAGATTTTAGTTATATTCATCTTCTACATTTTTTACATGGTCAGGGCGTTCTGCCCTCTTTTTTGATTAGCTTTAGCCTTCGACGAGTTAAATGTTGTAGATGGATGAATATTGCGAAATGCAAAGCACCATGATGTGTAGTAGTACACGGTGTCACTTTCCAACGCTGCAAGCCATGTTGAACGGCTTCAGTATTTTTTTCTTGCATAAGCCACGAAACCCTTCTCAATCGCCTCTCAGATCTCATCCCCCAAAAAGTGACGGTTTATTGCCCAGTCCTCATTCCCGTCCCTTAGCCTTGCACACCCGAAATCAGTATGAGATGGGTTATTTCATTCCAAAATCAACCTCACAATGTGCTTGCGTCGCCTACAATTGAGGTGGCGGAAAAACTGGTTCCGCGAATTTTCTAACAAGGGATGCATGATCTCTAGCGACTATTCACGTTTAAAATTGGGTGGGTTCGGCTACAGGCGCCCGTATTTTGCGGGGGTATGACGGTTCCCGTGCCATAAACCTTCGGAAGCAGCATCCCTTGCAGGCTTTCTGCACGTTTGAGGGCGTCCACTTTGAATTCATACGATTTTTTCAAGAGACGGTAGTAATGCACTCCTAAAAGGATAGGCTCCGCATTTCTTCGTATAGAAGCTCTTGACTATAGAGTCGTCGGAATGCGCCGCTAGTGTTTCTGCGTCGAGCATACATGAGCGGGTGCGAGTAGTGGTTTTAGGGAGCGAAACACGGTCGTTGAGTGTTTGGGGATCGAATTACTTGGAATGGGAGGTTTTGAGTGGGGTCAAATGGGTTGGGGGAGACGAGGTAGACTTGGGTTTTTGTGAATGGGAAGAATGGCTATTGATTTGGAGAGATAGCGATGTTCCATCTGTGCCAGTGCAATGTGATACGAGAGTTAGCTACGTAAGACATTGTAGAAACGAAGGTGATGCTGGAAGTTGAGAAAAAACAAAAATAAAGCTTGGGAGGGCGCACCGTCAGTCGTTCTCAACTTGAAGGCATCATGACAACATCATGATCTAATGTTTGAAACTCTCCGGATCCGAAGTTGGCCACTCCAGAGTCAAAAAGATGGACTTGTTTATTTAAGCGGGAGAATTCAAACGCTAGCGAGTCAGATTGTCGACTAGCATTGCGCCAAGAACATGACTATTTGAGGTTGTTTGTTTCTGAGCACTTTTCCGACACTTTTGAGATTCCGCCTCAAACTTTAATCCCAAAACGGGAAGCCGCCTATTTTTAGGAAGGGACCAAACAAACCGATGTTTGGCGTCGTATTTTAAATGTATTTTCGTGCTCGCCGCGACCCTCCAAGGTTCCGACTCGATGACGACTACTTACAGGACCTCGCCAGCTTCATACCTATGCAACCTCCCTCGTAAAGGTATCTCGTTGTCTTTTCTATCCATTACTGTTACTAACAAAGCATTCTTTCGGCTACAGACTATACTGTAGCATTTCGTTCAATTCGACAGGGCCCGTGACGCGTGACAGGCCTGTCGAAATTTTGGTTTCGACAACCACACAAATTCGCCGTGACAAGCCGAAAATTTGGGCAAATTTTCGACCACTTAGTGCTGCAGGCCACGAAAATTTTCGACATTTTTCACATGAGCGCCAGATGATTTCGACACCTTACAAAAATCTGCGTGACCACCGTGACATTTCAGCAATTTGAAGGGCACCGTGACGCGTGACCGTCGAATTGAATGAAATGCTACAGTAATACAAGGAAGTGACACAACCGCCGCAACAACAACCTGCTGCCATCGATATCGAAACACGAGCCCCTTGCTACTATGCAACCTAGTAGAAGGAACTACTCAGAGGGATGGTACAGTGTGAGCGACGTCTCACCTTGAGCGGTGGGTCGCGAGGAAGCTTAGATTGAAGAGAATGGCGAGGAGGGGGCTTAGTGCCTCGTGGGGTACGGCTGAACTGGAATTGAAGGTCAAGATTTGGTGGGGCGGTTGAATAGTCAACTACAGGTGTATCCTACACTTATCTAGATCATCGGTCCAGGGCGGCGTCGACGGTCCTCATATTGTTATTGAAGATAGTACATCATGTACACATTAGTTACAATTATAATTCCTGCTTAAAGATATTGTCCCTCCTACTTCTTGAGTGCTGCAGGGAAACAAAAAAATGGCTTGTATTCAAATAAACCTTAGCGTCGGGCTACTGGACTTCGACGAAATCACTGAGGGCGGCACATTTCTAAAAATAAGGCAACTTCCCATTTTGGGATTAGAGTCTGAGGCAGAAAGTGAACAACTCTTTTCCGATTTCGACTTCAATTTTCCTTTGAGACACTGCCACACTGATTTTAATTCTTTAATAACAGCCCTCGATCCTTGGTGTTCTGGGCCATGGAGGAGTCCCGAGCTTTGTGTGTTTCCTTTTTCTGTACAGGCTGTTGAGTCCTACTGATTTTCTTTGCTTTTTACAGTTTCTGGTCCTGCATAGTGTTAGTACTTGGTCTGCCCTCGTCCACGAATGAATGACGTGTTGCTACCCCCGATTCAAAAGGCAAGAGGCAAGCTTTACCATTGTGCTGCGGCTGGCTGTTCTAATTCCCGACTTGTTACACGTCCGCAATTGATTTGGCAGAGCTGTCTTGGAACGAACATGTCTTCGAAATTGAACCTGGCTTTACTTTTGATTACTGCACACCCATGCTCGTCTTCCCAGTGTGTTCTCGTTATCAACACCCAAGAGAAATAAACGCTCAACTTGACCTGGAATCATTTAGAGACTATTGTACAGCAATCTTCGTCTCATGCTCAGGTCACTTAGACTAGCTCCTAGTCACAACGAAGTACTTTTATTCAACTTACTTTGGAGCTGTCAGGATTTAATAACCTTCGTATTGTGGGTTTGGACAAGGACTGGGCATTGGATCCGGGTTATAGTCTGGTTACAACCAGTCATTTTGATGGAGACGGCCTCCAACGGGAAAGAGAATTCCATCAGTTCTCCCCCTCCGAACTCCAAGCAGGCTTGATATGTCGAAGTCTTGGGCCAATTATCTGGATTTTTGGAACGAAATCATTGGTATGGCTTCGCAGACGCTGTGGTGTGTTCTGAAGCTTCACCACTGTTGCAAGGTTGCGATATTGTTTCAACATGCTCTCTATCCAAGTTCAGGATTATTTCCTGCCATGTCGAACCCTGGCATGACTCAGATATTTTCTGGGACTAGACCTCCCTCAGGTTTGCTTGGAATTTCGTCGACAGTGGCTGGCTCATGCTATTAGAATGGTCAAAGCGTATCTTGGATATCACATGTTAGGGCTTTGATTTCACAACCTCTTCAGGGTCAGCTTCTTCCGGTAAGCATTGTTCAGTTGACGATTATCGCCCACTCACGAAATACAAATGAAATCACTGGTACCTTCCACTGACTGCCTTTGCCACTAATCATAATTCATCTGACCTCAGTGGCATCAATATAAGTCAAAGTCGTTTCCTGCCTTGCTGGTGTATACCTCAGCGCCATTCTCAGCCTCAGGCTCGCTTGCGCATTACTGCTTTCTCGACCACCCGGCAAAGTGGTCGCGATTGGCAACCTACTCGTTGGCCACCGGATATTTACTCCCTAGTTTGGAGAGAGCTTTGGGACTCGGGAGTACTTGGATTTCAGATGTTGTTGGGTGTCAGGGCCTCCGAAATCATGAAACTTAGGCAGAGGTTGTGAGTGAGTCAAAATAAAATGCATGCACTTGGCAGACAGGGATGTCTTTTGCGCAACATTGAACTTTCTTATTTTAATATTTACGCCTCCTATACGCAAACCATGTGCCATCCATCCATCAATAACGTCTTTAGATCATAGATGGAGCACATGACCTCCCACTTGCATGCATCCATCATGACTACCACCACCGCCAAATCCACGTCCTCCCAAGCTCAACCCTCCCTCTGCAGAAGAATGCACAGTCACATGCTCGACCTCGCGCCCTCCCTCTCCAGCTTGAACACGCTCACTTCGGCTGAGCTCAAGATCTTGTTTGAGATTACTCACTGAGCTTGCCGAGGGAAAGACGGGGGAGAGGAACAGGAGGGCGAAGATGGGAGCCCTGAAATGGAGTATGAGAGTCGGATGTCGAGTGATGAGAGGATGAGGATGAGACGCCACCTCAAGAGGTCACCACTGGAGAGAAGGGGAAGGAGAAGTCGAGCCCGAGCCCAGGTCGACGCCAGTGCCCCAAGATCGACACGTTGGAACTGGCCGCGCTTCAAAGCCCCTCCCTGCAAATGAGGCATTCAAGCTCAAGCTCAATGTTGCCTGGATCACGTGTGTGGTATGAATTCGACCTTGCAGTTGTCGTCGCCCTTGTTTCGCCTATCGGGAATTGGCTCACGGGGGGAGATCATATCAAGAACCTCCTCCTTATCGTTTTGCTCATTTTCTATTTACACCAGATCATCGAAAGTACGTCTCTTCCTTCTCTTCCCTGTTCCCCTTCCAACGTTAACTGACACATTGATGCCGTGACACTTGAAAATGGAACACTTACCTCAGCACCTTCATGACAAGATGCTTGACCCCATCCACAGGCAGCCTTGTCTCCTCCGCGATAGTTTGGAAACTCATCGTCCGATTATCTGTGTTCCTCTTGAACACTGACTCAATAAGTGCCATGAGACAAATCTTCTGCTGGAGGAAGGCATAGTTTTCTTGGAGGATTGAATGTAAACGTCTGAGATCAGTCCAAGCTGATGAACATTGTACTTGAAAAATTTGGAACGAACCTTTTTAGAGAATAACGGAGCAAGCGCCTCAAACTTTCCAATATTCCCCTCATTATATAAACGTGAACAAAAGTTTCTTAATTCATTCATGCTGAGTGCCATTCAATGCGTCCAAAATGAGGTGCATCAACTATCAAAATTAAAATTCTCGTCAACCTCTTTCATTCTTCCTTTCAAAAAGTAAACACATACCAATTCACTAAAATTATATATTGTATCCCCAAGGAAAGCCGATATACCCAAATCATGAGCCCTCCCCAGCCTTTCCTCAGTGGACAAATCTTTCTCCGGATCCACACAAGCAAGGTAAAGAAGCGAGTGCTTGTAATACGGCACATACTCCACTTTTGCCTTTTAACCACATCCACATCAGCTTTTCCCTACGCAACGCAGGGGGAAAGAGAGTGAGAGACAGACCTTATAATAATCAGCTGCAACACCATGATAAGCCGCATTAACACCATTCTCCACGCCCTCCAGTGAATCAAGGATCTTCCACGCTTCATCCATATCCGTTTTCGTGCCTTCAACATCTCTGTAGAGGAGCTTGGCATGTGTGATGGTAGTGAGCAGTAGGACGTGGGCTTCTTGCAATTTTGATGTGTCGATGCGGGAGAGGAGGGATGTTAGGAATGTTAAGTGGACTTGAGGGTCTGTGGCAGTGTTAGTTTAGTTTGTATTGTGGAAGTGAAGAGAGGAAGAGGAGGAAAGAACATACTATCAATATCCTTCGAAACCTTCACACCCATCTCAACCAACTTCAACTGATTAATCTTCCCTTCAAAATCCCTCACAAACCTCTCAAACACATCGACCCTATACGCCCTTGCAAGTGGGTCGTCAAAGAACTGGAACAGCTTTTGTGTGAGTTGATGCCATAGCCTAAATCCCTTGTTAGTTCCCTTTCTTTTCTTTTATTTCACAATAGGGAAAGAGGAGAGAGAACTCACTTGCATATACAAATTCCTAAACGACTCAAAGAACAGATGAAGCTCTGGGAGCGTAGCTGACAGCGCAGTCCCTCTGAATCCGTCGATTATCAGTTTGGGTGGTTGTGAGGCCATCGTCGTGGAGGGGTGGGTGATCGGTGGCGGGAACGGTGAGCACGACGTCGTCTAAAAGATGGTGGTGTTTGGTTGCGATCAACTTTATTATTGAGTCACCTCAGGCCAAGATGTCCTTGCCCTGTCCTTTATGGACTCTTCAAGCGCCTCCGATTCTGGGAATGTTGCCGCTGAAAAGCGCAAGTCTCAATCCACCGACAAGCCTCCTGAAACAAACCCAAGACCGGGTCTCTACAAAGATGGGATATTAGACCCAGTATACCAGGAAAAGACAAAGATATTGGATCAGGCAATTGAAGAGATTGGGATGGGGAGATACCAGGTACAGTGACTCACTATAAGTTTTGCACCACATGAAAATTACTCTATCTTCCTCAAGTTCTGGGGACTAGTTACCATATAAATATGATAATATACAAATATACTATATACATCTTTGACATGAATATGAGGTCTGGATCTCATTCTCTGCTTCATGTAGAAAAAAGTGAAAAAATGAGGTTTTGACAGCTCCATAAATATGTCATATGAGAGTCTGAAAAAATATGAAGAATTAAGTACTACCATACTCAAGTATCAGAACTTTGAATCATTTCAATTGGAGTAACGGTTGTTTAGATATAGGTGTAAGGAAGGGGCTTGTTTTGGGTAGATCAAAAATGAGGTTTTGACAGTTTTACAAATACTTCATGTGAGAGCTGGAAATATATATAGTACTAGCCTACTCAAGTATACCAGAACCTTGAATCATTTCAATTGGAGTAGTGGTTGTTGAGATATAGGTGTAAGAATGGGCCTTGTTTCATCATCTACCCCAAAACAAGCCCTTTTCTTACACCTACATCTCAACAACTGCTAATCCAATTGATATCATTCAAAGTTCTGTATACTTGAGTCAGCAAATACTTAATTCTTCACATTTTTCTAGACCCTCATATGAAGTATTGGTAAAACTCTCAAAACCTCATTTTTCACTTTTTCCTACATGAAGCAGAGGATGAGATCCAGACCTCATGTTCATGTCAAAGATGTATATAGAATATTTGTATATTATCATATTTATATGGTAACTAGTCCCCAGAAGTTGAGGAAGATATAGTATTTTTTATGTGGTGCAAAACTTATAGTGAGTCACTGTATGTTGCTTAATTCTTTTGAGTTGTTGATGCATTATACAATGAAGATCAGTCATTTTATTTGACATTGCAGGATTTGGTTATTTTGCGCAAATCCCCTCTGGTTTTTTTTTCATGTTACTTCATCTCATAAATTCGTGAAATAGTGATAGTGTGTGGACCGTAAGTCAACGGCCTCTCATTCACATACTTATCTATAAATTAACCGCTCACGCAGTTAGTTACTAGCTTGATCTTTGCCCTGGTTGTCGCACAATTTCACTTAATGGGCCCTTTCTCACCCTTGCAGCTAATATCGGTTTTTTGGTTGGTGCAGCTACCTGGGGCTTAGCAAGCAAAATTTGGGGACGGCAGTCTGTTATCTTTGTCCTGCGGTACCCTCACTGACGCCCTGATCAGTCAGATGTCCACTTTCACCACCAAACATGTCAAGGCATTATTCGCGACATGGAAAATGGTGTATTCAACATCCCTGTTGATCATCCTTTGGTGTAGGTAGTGTTGCCACAGCCCAGCTTGGCTTGCCCCTGGCTCAGCTCAGGTGCCTGAGCCAATAATGTGGCTCTGGCTCACAAGCTGGGCTGATTCTCTTGGCTCCAGGGTGGCTCTGAGCTGGCTGAGCTGGTTAAAAATAGTGTGCTACCACCCATGTTGTTTCCATCATCTCCATGCACTTCCCCTTCGTTTTCTTCCATTCTTTTTGCTATCAATGCTTCCCCACAGTCCCTCCCTTCTCTATTCCACCATTATTTTGTAATTTGTATGTTTTCATATTCTCTCTATTCTATTTTGCATCAGTATCATTAATGTCTGTTATCTAGACTTGCTGATAAGAATGACGAGGACCTCTCCTCTCTAGGCATTGTCACAGGTAACCCCCAGGTACTTTTGGCCTTACCCGTACCCCTACCCCTGGAAACCCATACCCTCAACCACAGGTACAGGTTTCTGTGGGTAAGGGTACGGGTTCTGGCAGGTTTGGCAGGTCTTACAGGTTTGGCTCCATGGGTAGGTATCTTAATTAAGTAGTAATCTCAGAGTGTCTTATTCTTGGTCATAAGTCAAACAATGATACCATTTTGGCGTACAAGTAGCTATTGAACACAAAGACAACTGTAACTATACTAATCATCGTTGTCAACTATGGCATCCCAATCTGCTGTGAGATCCTCCTCAGCAGCATCAGCTGGAACCTCTGCCAACACAGTGCCTTCACATCGAAATCTTTGACATAGCCCAGCAAACTCCATCCCCTGAGGCACATCAATGCACAAGTTGACTGGACAGAGAGGCAGCTGCAGACATGGGAAAGCAACAGCTGTCCCTGACTGAAAACCCACTCAACATTGACTGACATAGCTAAAGTAGTTGAGTTGTTAGAAGATGCCATCAAGTCAGTTCATGAGATGTACCAGGGATTGTTAAATAGTCCAACGCCATATGGTGAAGGTGAGGATATTCAGCTTTTTTCCCAGCCCACCACTGAATTGGATCTTTGACATTTTCTGTCTTGATGTTGAGGTATTCAGCGAGCTCATTGCAAAGCTCCGTTTCATCAGAGGCCATTAATGCAGGTAGAGTGTTAAACATGTTCTCATCGGAATTGGAGATGGCAGCCTCAGGGGCCTGATATATATAAGTATGAGTCTATACATTACAATAGAAAACATACCAGTACAAGGCCGTCATCATCAATTTTCATGAATGTGTATGTTCGGTCAAACTCATCACATACAAGGGATTCAGCAGTCCTGATCCAGGTGTTGTCCCAACCGGCATTCTCAAAGTATTTGAGATTGTGATGAGGGTGAAGGACTATTGGAAATGGCAGAAAGGTTGCATGTAGGATCTGGAAAAAGTTGTATACTGTTCTCTGTCTAAATTGATACCTGCTGGTGGGTATCAGGGTAATGGTGTGTATGTTACATTTCATCTCTCTTTGTTTATATGTACCATTAGTAGATACTAGATAGAGGAGAATTTGTGAAGTAGTTAGTGCATATGTACAGTAACACACAAATTTAGTGCTTCAATACAAATTCTTCAATTTATAGTCATGGTGCACATGCACCACTATGTTGGAATCTGTGGTTGGCTGTATGAATGTACCATAAGTTAAATTTATGAAAGTGTCTGGTGCATTTGTACCAGGATACTCACCTAATGGTACACATCCACTAGCAAATTTGAAATCTACGAAATAAACTTTGAAAGATGTACATCTGTACTGAATGTTTAAAACTTCTGATTATAGTACATCTGCACAGCAAAAATAAAATGTAAAGGGTGTGGTACATTTGTACTGAAATATCAATTATTGTCTGTCTGCACAGAAAAATGTGTTCATGGTACATCCACACCAATATAATCGACAATTGTACCACAACCAATCTTTGAAGTGAATAATGGTACATTCATACCAAAATATTCTGATTATGGTGTGTCCGTACTAAAGTGGGAAAAATTCAAGTTCATGGTATATCCGTACAAAAGTATTTGAAAATTTTGAATATGGTACATATGTGCAGCAGCATAACATTTGGAGGCCATTGTACATCTATATCGAAATATAAAAACATATAAATGGCCCGAAAACAGAATAAAAGGCATGGTACTTACATCCGTACAAAAATATTTAAAGTTCTCAAAATTTGAAGCACATGGTACATCCATACCAAAATACTTATAGTCTCTGATTGTGGTACATCTGTACAGAAAAAGATAATTTGAAAGGCATGGTACATCTATCCAAAATATTCAAAACTTTAAGTCCGTGGCATGATTACTTATTTTGTACTATTTGGCATCACAGTGATTGTGTAACATCTATCGTGAACACAAATTCTCACTCTCAGTGATTCATGATCAATTCGTGGTTGTTGTTTCTTTAGCCAGTGTTGAGTTCAGATTCTTTGTTGTCATCAGTAGAATTACAACCTCCACTTTACACACTTTCACTTTCACATCGCTTTCGCATCACTTTCAGGCACCTTCAAGGCACCTTGGGACATCATCGATCATGCGACACGTCAAATGTCCGAATTTGGAATTTTTTGGATGTGAACTTTTTTGTCAACCTTCCACGCAGCCTCTTTCACACTTTCCCAACTCTCTCCCAGGCCCACCCAGCTCCTTCCCCCTCCTCTGATGCGCAGTGTCTTCATGATCTGGTATATGCCTAGCCAGCACAGACTCTCTCATGATGACATTGACCTCGACACATTTTGAAGGAGGCAGACCCCAGAACCCCAACAAACTCATCGACTCCAAAAGCCCATCTGTGGCACACAACACAGCCAGAAGACCCTGGCTGCCTGATGACAGATGTCAAGCATGCGGTGGATGGTAAGTATTGGAGAGTGCAACATGACCTTTGAATTACAACAAAGGAAGGTGATGTCGAGGAGGTGCCGGGGGTGGGGGTATTTGGAGATGATGATGTTGGGCCTCTGCCTCGATGTGAAGGAAATTGTTTATCGGTGATGGGAAGGGTAACGGAATTTCAAGGTACGTGGACTCACAACAATTCCATAGCTTTCACTGACAATGAAAGTTTAGGCCCTTGACTGATACTCACAAGATACTGGTATTCAGTGCAATTGCTTTGAATGTCACGAGGTGACCCTCCCGCTCCCCTTCTTTATCATTATGAACGTGTTTTTAAGTTCCTTCACTCCAGTGAGATGACCTGTCAAGCTCTGTGCATGTTCAATCAGGTACACCCTTTACGAAGCACATATATTCAGTTTTTTTTTTCCTCATCAAAATATTCAGTGTATCAGGAATGCTGCCATTGGTCTTGTGGGCATCAATCTTTCGCTATACATGTACACATTGCCCTCTGCTTGAATCTTTACATTGCTCACTGCGTCTTCAGGGCTCTCTCTCGTCACAAGTTTTGGCCATGACTAGTGTTCAAAAGTCTGGTTAGGTCCGGTTATTGGGTGCCCAGGGGCTCTAACCGAGACCGAGACCGGTTAGCCTTTGTCCCAAAACCTAAAATAACCTAACCGGACCGCAACTAACTGGTTACGGTCGGTTATTTGCAGTTACTAACCGGTTAGGACCGAAAAATAAAGAATCGGTTATAACAAGGCAAATATGCTCATATGTATCTTGATAGATATTATTTCTGCATATTATAGCTTTAAAACGAGCCCAAGAACGCTAAAATCGGTGAAGAATTGACATATTTATGCAATTATCCTTGAAAGTCTACACATTTGAGTGATATTTTAGAGATTTGACCATAACTTAGTCAAATTTTAAGCGTTTTCGACGTTCTCAAGTGCGTTTTGAAGGTGTATAATAGGGCTGGTTATAACCGGTTATTTAACAGTTAGTTAACCGCAAAATAACCGGTTATTCCATTTTCGAAATCAACTAACCCTAACTGCGGTTAGGTCCGGTTATTTTCCGGTTATTTTCCAGTTAACTAACCTAACTTTCAAACACTAGCCATGACCACATGTCACCCCGATCGCATTGCAGCAAGTACGGTGGGACTGCAATTGAGCCTTCCAGTGAGTTGTTTCACTTCGTAATTGATGCAATACACTGAAACTGTCTGTCATGGGTATAAGGTGTACGAGGAGAAGGCAAATTTTCGTTGGTGAGGTTTCCGTGTTTTGGTGGGTATGTAGAGAAACCGTAGATACAATCAGTATTATCATACAAATGGATATCTTTTCACCCTTCTTTCCATCCTGCTTTCAAAGACTCGACTTGGACTCTGAAAGCGCGGTTTCTGCTTTCAAAAGCGAGCAAAATGGGTTTTGCTGATACGGTTATTGCTGAATCATTACACTGGTCCATCAGGGGTACAAATCAGTTTGCCAGCACAATCTGACTTTGCTTTTTCAACGTCAGAGCATGACATTGATCACAATGCTGACAACACCGAGAAGACGAAACAGAATGAAAGGAAACTACACAAGGAAAACTTGCAAAGCAATCTTTTCATTCTGAAGAAGCTCAACACCTTGTTTGCAATGTTCCATGAAGCCCTTGACGCAGCTGGCTCTGCCAATCAGGTGTGCTTAACCAGGATTTCGACATAAAACATTGCTAAATAGATATCTTTCGAAGTCACAAGAATTTTCGTGATTGATTTTCAATGAAGAGTGGGAGGGTGCTCAAGCTGTAAGCACTTGTCACTGAGCGAGTAACCCCCTGATACTTCTCACAGGATGAATAAATGTTAGACAGAAGAGGGTTAAGGCAAAGCGTCGGGAAGCCAAAGAGTGTTCCCTTGCCACCCAGAGAATGGTTGGAACAAAGGAAAATGGAGGAGTGAGAATGGTTGGAACAAAGGAAAGAGCTCGCAGAACAGGGCATGCGCGGAACACGGGCATCTATGCGCAGTACAAGGGGGACAGGCATGCACCAAGGTTCACTGTTGGAAGTGTTTGCACCCCATATGAGTGCTTCATTACACTTGCCCTTTCTAATTTATGTGAATAGAATTCTTCCTTCACCACGAAGGTATGTCAATATACAATGACCTTTGATCATATGAGCTCAGTGGCATACACAGAAAAATTCCATTCTATGCCCGAAACCTTTCAAATGCAGATGGATGACGCTTACACCCACCCAGAAGACTTCATCCAAGTGCATAAACACTTGGCTGAAGTGTATGAAGCACTAATTTCAAAACACTCATTTATGGTGTTTGATACAGTGATCTTGCAGTGATCAGCCCAAAATTGCACTGTGGAATCACTGTCAAAACACTTGTATGTAGTGCTGTTATGGTTGCTTGTTACCACCCACAAAATTTAGCACATAACGGTGAAACCATATGTTTGCAGCATCAGTATGGCTACTACATGTCTACCTACTTTAATATAACCATGTGGTGACATTTCACTCACATGTTTAACCGTGAGCAAAGTAAGCGACCACCTGCAAAACCATGACATCACTGAGAGAAAGTGTTCAGTATGCACATAGATCCACTGAGAAGACGTGCACGTTTCGGGATAGAGGTGATGTGCGGCGTCACTGAGGTTATCGATGTCAGCAGAGGGGGTTTGAGGTTATCTTGCTACCGAATGACATGGGAATTAACCAGTGATAAGTCAATCTCGAGCCATGGATCAAGTGTAGTGTTGTTGGTATAGGCAGTGGACGAGGACGTGACCATAGGCGCTTGCTGAGAGAGAGAGGGGCCTGGAGTGCCATGATTATGTCCCATCCCACAGAAGACCCCGCCCTGGTATTGACTGAGCCATTTTCCACCTCTGCCGCGCAATCAGCAGACTCAGGTCATTTCACAGGATGGTACTATACAAATATGACCAAGTCTTCACGTCACGCGTCACATCAGGAAAAAAATTATTTTTTTTTATTCGCCTTAAATCAAAAGAAAATTTTTTGGCCATCTCGGCGAGAAAAAAATCCCAAATCAATGAAGAGTTGGTCGTATTTGTACAGTAACTGCCCTTAACGTAGTCTTCCCAGTGCTCCTCATCCTCAGTCATGCATCATAATGGAGGCAGAATGGGAAGAATAGGAACTGTGAGACATCTTTGTGAGACTTCCACTTGCACAAGCTGGCGATCATGATGCAATGGCATCAAAACTTCCAAGGACAAAAGACATGTTGATGTCATAGAATTGAATGAGATCAGCTTATTTAATTATTGCCATGTGGCGTCAATCAAACATCAACTGCATACATTTGTACCAAAAATTCCAACATGGTACATCTGTACTCCAAAAACAAAAATTGAAGGACATCGTACATCTGTACCAAAATATCTTGTTATCATACATCTGTACTCCAAAAACCAAAGTTGAAGGGCTTGGTACATATGTACCAAATTATTCAAAATATCTGGTTGGGTACATCTGTACTCCAAAAACCAAAATTGAAAAGCATGGTACATGTGTACCAAAACACCCAAGATATCTGATCATGGTACATCTGTACTCCAAAAACAAAAATTGAAGGATACGGTACATCTGTACTCCAAAAGCCAGCCAAAATTGAAAGGCACAGTACATCTGTACCAAAATATTCAAAAACCAGTATTGAAGGGCATGGTACATCTGTACTAAAATATCCAAAATATCTCGTTATGGTACATCTGTACTCCAAAAGCCAAAGTTGAAGGGCTTGGTACATCTGTACCAAAATATCCAAAATACCTCATTATGGTACATCTGTACTCCAAAAACAAAAATAGACATGGTACATCTGTACCAAAATATCCAAAATATCTCATTATGGTACATATGTACTCCAAAAAACCAAAGTTGAGGGCATGGTACATGTGCACCAAAATATCCAAAATATCTGACTATGGTACATCTGTACTCCAAAAGCCAAAATTGAAGGGCATGGTACATCTGCACCAAATATTTAGAGTTCTTAATTATCATACATATGTTTGCGAGATATGTTCACTGTGCACTTGCACCACTTGTACTTCTTAAATTGAAGTATTCCTATCATCTTTGAGCCCTGATACCCACCGACGGATAACACTTTCAACCTAGAACAAGCTATTACTTTTTACCATATTCTACATGCAACCTACCCCAGCATTATCATGGAGACTGCGTGTCTGGACCAATGTACTAACAAAGACATTACACATTAATGTCATAAACACGAGCATAAAAGACTCAGGAGTCGGGCAGACCTGTGAATCCACCATGAGAGCAATTGACGGTAAGGAGATGAGATCCTAATCTTGAGAAAAAGACTTAACGAATGACGTCCAGGCATGCTTTCTCCAATCCCCCAAAAGCGGCGCCGCTGAAATATTCATCTCTTTGTCTGGGATTCAAACCCAGCTTTCGCGCATTGATGTGCATCATTAATTTGACAACAAGTTGGCATGTCAAGTGCATGTACTGACTGATATACCAAAAAAGAGGTTAGATATGTGTCTGTTCAGTGGCCGAAGTTGAGCTGGGGGGTAGCAACCAAAATCGATGAAGTGATGTCCTTGACTCTACTGAAATGGCATCGTGCGGTCAAGTCGACTGATCAGTCTGGGGAATTTTAATGTGGTTGTTAACCCAGCTGTCCTGCATCAATGAACGAACAAATAAACAAGTGACAAATGTGTACTGGTTGATACACTAACAAAGAGATAGTATACACGTGTAGTTTGCGGCTCTTGAGTTGAGAGGCCTCGGCGTATGTGTTTGAAAAATAATGGAACATGTGAAAGAGCGATTTCCGGGGTTGGACTGTCAAGGTAGAGTCTAGATGTACCATCTTGGTGGTAAGTTTCTCATCTTGATGGACAAATTTAAGACACAACAACAACAAGATTAATCTTGAGTTGAACTCAGTTTTTGTGCATGCAATGACATGACTAGGAAACGAACAAGGAGTTTTCTAGATAGGACAATCTTTAATCCATTGATCATGAAAAGGATCTTGTCAACTAGGAGATCAGAAGTTGGGCTCCCTGGTAGAGGCTGTCGCCATTGGTAAACCACGCACCAACCAGAAGTGCTTACTATAAAGAGATTGGGTATACCCTTCTTTGCCTGGGGTCCTTGCCCTAGCGAGAGTCAAGCTCGCGTACCAGATAAAATGGCCGGAATGCAGAATGTGGAGCACACCAATTTGTTTGTCTGGGATTCGAAGCCAGATTCCGCAAGCAGCAAAATGCACCCTGTCTATAACCTTCCAGCATATGACGGGTGCATGTACTCCAAGACAGGAAACAAAGACGTTCCCAAAAGAAAATTTAGTTCCTGTCTTAACGCGAGAGTCGGTAGTATGAATAACTATGATAAAAAAGGGGCTTACCGATTAACTGAGCCACATATGCCTTTGATTGGGAGTCGAACCCAGCTTTCCTGACCAACAACATGATTAGCGTGTTGTAGTTGCCAATCCACTAACAAAGACCTTGAAGGGATGTGTCTCTGGGAGATTTTGGGCAGATTGTGAGCCTGGAGACAAAAGTGACCTGGCGCTTGGTGACGGGAAGCCGTCTTCAATGCAGAACGGATTCGGGTTGGATTCGAGTGTTGATGTCTGCAGGAGTAGATAGATGAGCAATGTTGAGCATTTCTCGCACTTGGATGTGAGAACTGTGATATCCAGTACTTGGAAAACGTTGACTTCCTTGGGACAATGCAAGGACAATGTGTGCGTTGGGGTTGGAAGGAACTTCAGCACGTGACTAAACTCTCCTTGCACCCAACATTCGATGCAGCCAAGACGCAGCTGGCGACATACCTACCAAAAACGCCTAGATATGCGTCTCGAGGAACACTTCATCAGAAGTGTGTTGCCACGTCAAACACCAGCCAAACTCGGGGGACATGACATTCCTATCCCAACGGGGGTCCAGTCAGTGGTAGGGAAGGCCTCAATGTATGTCCCCTTTTTTCCCCATATGTTATCCCTTTGCCCTTTTCTTTCTTCCTCAGTCCTTTCTGCCTTTGACTCTCTGCTATCTCCTCCCTTCCATCCCTCCCTTCGCTACTAGTACCTTTGCTCCCTGTTGTTTCACTCTTTCTCCTCATCCCCTCTTCTCATGTCCCCTCCCTCCTGATCAACAAATACAAAACTGACGTATTTGGGAGATAGCGAGCAGGTACGTGTCCCCCCTGCAAAGGTCGTTCCGCACAAGATGTTGGATTACCACCTAAGATCAGAGGAGGCTGAGGATTGCGTTCCCTAGGGGATGTCGCTTGATGATTGGACAGAATTCCATGGGTGTAGAAGAGAGTTATTGCATGGAGAATGGTCGGATGATGATCTCAGTCTTTGTCAGTGCGAGTAGGCTAAACCGCCAGCCATTGGGTGAGTTTGGAGATATGGGCTCATGTGGGCTTCAGTTCATATTGCTGACATCGGATATCTGGATGGTAGTGACGTTGGCCACCAAAGTGCATATGCAGACGCTGCATTTGTTGAGGCATCCAGACACATGTGCAAATCTATTTGTTAGTGAATCAGTCATACATCATGCTCATTGAACCTGCTGTTACTGCAACCAGTCGTACGTCGAATACAATGATTGGTTGAAGATCTCGCAGGGATTTTGCTATATTCCGAACCCGAAAGACTACTCAACTGCGGATAAATCAAAGCACGGTACGATGCCAGTTTCCTGCCTATCCCCCAACCATTCATCCTTTGTTCTTTGTCGAAGCAATGACGGGTACCGCCACACAATCCATGGCCAACATCTCCATGCCGTAGGAGACCATAGTCGCTCATTCAGCCAGCTTTAGACCAACAACAGTCGACGGAGTCCCCATTCTCGTACTCACGAACGATGAAATCACTACGGACGAGATGTGGGTGGATGACACTGTGTTATGGGAGGATGGGGATGGCCACTATTGCTGATTGGGGTGAGTTTCGTGTTGTGGGAGAAGTTCAAGGGCCAGATTCAGCATGTCGAGTAGGACGGTTAAGATGATGGAATAATGGGAGGAGTGACCGATTTGGTCATATGTTGTGGATGAGAGGATCATGAGAGATATCTCTGTCGCCTTACACAAAAATCTACGTGATCTTCGATGTGAGACGGTTTTGTCTGGGAATCGAACCCACATATCCTGCATGTCAAGACTCAATGTACAGCTCCAGAGCGTACACATGGCAGGCACATAGATAACCAATGCCCCAACAAGGGGGTTGAATGCATATTTCCTTTTCCTGAGTTTGTATCGAGGTACATACATATCGAGCGATTCTTGGATCGATTTCAAAATTGCATGGCATTGAAGTATGAAGAATTCAAGACGTATGATAACGCATGCACAAGGCGTGTGCCGTGGATCAATTCATGTAGGAGTAAATTTATGTAACCTTTTTTTTTTTCAAGAAAAAAAGGAAAGAATCTCTTGCTATCGCAATCATCCTGACTCGCTGTCTGGGAATCGAACCCAATTCTCGCAGGTGAATCCGGGACATGCAACGCTTCACATCGAGACTGCGCGTACTGACCAATGTACTAACAAAGAAGTTACATTTTGATGTTTTGAACACAAGCATAAAGAGGCAGGCAGGGGAATCCACGATAAGAAATAATTGATGGTATGAAGAGGAAATCATAATCTTAGTAAAAAAAAAATGATGGATGACGTCCAGGCATAGCTTCTCTGCTCCCTCAAAAATGATGCATGCACTTGGTTTACCTCTCTGTTTGGGAATCGAACCCAGCTTTAGTGCGTAAATCGGCCTGGCCGTATCTAATGACACGCGCTTGTTGCGCACTTGTACTGACCAATATACTAACAAAGAGGTTGGATATGTGTTTCTTCAGTGACCATTGAGCTGTGTGTGTGTAGCGATGAAAATCAATGAAGCGGCGTCCTTGCCTTTATTTCAATTGCATCGGGTGGTCAAGTTGACTCTCAGTCTTCTGGGAATTGTAATTGTGGTGGAGTGTGCAAATTTTATTGAGTAGTAACCTGTATAGATATAAGGGCCATGTTCACTTCCTGCCTTTCTTCCAAAAATGTCATTTTTTTGAATGCGACATCTCTGTCTGGGAGTTGAACCCAGCTTTCGTCCTTCAATGGATATGGGGATTTTCCTCATGTCATAGGCATGTAAGTACTGGCCGATGTACCAACAGAGACATTGTACACGAGTGCGGTTTGTGGGAGTTGACTTTATTTCCTTTTGTGAGAATAAGTTGCTGACGTTTGAGAAATGTATAATCTAGCATGGTGGCAGGATGAATCCCAGGCCACTGTAACGGTGTTGGAGAACAAAAAAAGCCAATAGTGATCATCTGAATCAGACTCTCTGTATGGGAATCGAACCCAGCTCCCGTGCTGACAATTTCACAATATCAATGATGAGCACGTGTACTGGCCAATGTACTAACAAAGACATTGAGGGGGGAAATAGTTAGTTGAGCCATGTGCATAAACAATGAATGACGAGTTTTCTAAATTTATTTTGTGCGTGAGTGGGACTTCAAAGTGTTGGAATTACTAAGCAAGTCCCATTATGGAGGGGTATCATTGTTGCCTGTCGAAAGCAGATGAATGATCATTGTCTTCGCATTCTCAAACCTCTGAGACTCTCATTTCCTTCATACCCACTTCCAAAGCATGACTTGAATCATTACTCCGGAAACTAACATGAGTGTTAAAACCACTGCATATTCATACATCTACACTTACAGCACGACAATATAATTTCCAATCTGTAGGTGGAGCTCCACCTCATTGTCATACCGATCAGTCACAGTCTCTTGGAACATCTCCCACCACCAGGGAACCAACCTGCCATCTCCCAATCAATAACCCAAATCTTTCTGTCCTTCCACAGAACATTGTGCGGTCCCATATCTCCATGCGAGAAAACACTCCTGTACCTCCGTCCAGCAACTTTGGACAACACATCCTGTAGAAGAGGATACTTCTCTGGAAACATGTGAAAGAACTCGTGTCCGAAATACTTGTGGAACTCGTCGTGGTTATTAAATGGGCCGTATTCAGAAGCTATCCGAAAATCGGAGCACGCTGACCCGTCTATGGACTGCACGCGCTCTGGTTTGGGAGGTTCTATTGTGCGAAGTTGGTCGAGACAGTCTTTCAACTGATCCATTGAGCTTTGCTGCTCTTCAGGTGATAGCGTACACCATATGTCCTCCAAAACTGGTGCAGCAATGTTTTCTTGGACGATGTATATTTCTCCGTCGACGGTGAACACATCCAAGATCCATGGGATGGGGATGGTGGTGTTTCACGCAACGTAATCCATGGATAACGCTTCAGTGAGGCGTTGTGTTCCTTTGATGAATTGTTTGGTCTTGATCAAGAACACCCTTTTAAACTTTCTGATCTGGTTGTCGTATTTGCAGCCAAAGTTGAATAGGAAAAGTTCTAGACCTCTAAGTTCGCGAGGGGACGTTAAAAACACTGGCAGACTAGCAGCATCATCAATCAGTCCTATATCTTTCAAGAAACTTCTGATGTACGCAGACGAAGCCTCCTTCTGCTTTATAGGCATGAAGATAGAGGGGGCCCAGCTGAAGTCTTCTACTCGAGTACGGCAAGTGGGGTAAAGTTGATGGACGTGACCGTGACCGTGATGGTGAACAGTGTGGTTACCTAGTTAGGAACTTATGTGTATACATGTTTGTAATTGTGTGCACACTATTGGCCTCCGTGCCGCATTCTCGATGACGCGCCCCACTTTTGAGTTTCCGCCTCAAACTCTAATCCCAAAACGGGAAGCCACGCAGAAACCATAGAGGGCGAGCAGGGGCGAGCACGAAATCACAACCAAACATCAGTTTGTTTGGTTCCAACCCGACGACGACTATTTACAGGAGCTCGCCAGCCTCATCCCCTATACGATCTCCTTAGTAAAGGTATACCTTTGTCTTTCCCATGTCTTCTACTACTAACGAGCATTTGTTCAACAGATCATAATACAAGAATTGACAAAACCCTCGCAACAAAAATGCGCCGCCTCAAATACGAAACACTACCCCCTCACTACTGCGCCACCTCGTAGAATGAACCGCTTTGAAGGATGGTACGGCGCGAGCAATGGCTCGCCTTGAGCGTTGGGTCGCGAGGAAAAGAGAAGCGGCGAGGGGGGCTTAGTGCTGCTTGGGCGTTGAATCGGAGTTGACAACGTTGAAGGGCAAGCTTCGGTAGAGCGTTTGAATGGTCAACTGCAGGTGTAATTTTTACACCTTTTCTAGATCATCATTCCGGGGCAGTGGCATTGACAGTCCCATATTGTTATTGAAGATACATCATCTACACATCATGTACACATTAGTTACAGTAGAAGACTAGGATTCCTGCTCATAGGTTTTGTTTCTCCTCCTTCTTTACAAGTGCTGCAGAGAAACAAAAAAATGGCCTGTATTCAAATAGATCCACCAAACTTCAACAAAATATGGCATGTTTCTAAAAATAAGGCAGCTTCCCATTTTGGGATTAAAGTTTGAGGCGGAAAGTGAACAACTGACGTGCCCTACCACAGGGAACGAGGCTACGTGGGTGTCCCGAGGAGTGTGTTGCCATCTCCTGTAACGTAAAAATGTGGATCCCCGTTGGTATATGAATGACTCTGCATGACCATTCTAAACGTATGTCCTCTCTTCTTTTTACTGCCTGTATTTCTTTCCTTTCTACTTTTGCTTTCAGTGGTGGAGTAGTGCATCCTGGCAGATGCATACTCCATCCTCCTGGTGTTCGGGGTCTCGCTTAGGTGTCAGAGGGTCATTACATACACATCTACATGTCACGTTGTGTTTGTAGGTTCTCCAGTCAATACCACCATCTTGTTCGTGTCTACGCGCTCTCTGTGTCACTCGGCACCTCTCCAGCAGTCTCCACCCTTCCATTCCTCCGTCCACTATCACCTCTGGTCACCCTTTCCCCTCGTCTTCTCTTCTTGTGTCCCCTCCTTCCCGACCTCCTTACATACAAACACAAAAACTGATGTATTTGAACAGATATGTGAACCCTGCAAAAGTCAGCTCCGCTTGAGATGTTTTTCACCTGATGGATGGGAGCTGGCAGAGTGGATGTTGGTGATCGATGGAAGAGGAGGTTGAGGATCGTGTTTCCTTCATTGGGGGTGTTGGGGCTGGGGTCTGCAAGTTGGCCTTCGCTTGCTGTTACTATGATGCAAGAGAGCTCGAGAGGTGTAGAAAAGTGACATTGCATGGACAGTCGAGGGTGGGACTCCGGGATCTCAGTCCTCGTCGGTGCGAGTATGGGTTATCAATTGGTGAGTTTGGAGATATAGGTTCTGTGGGCTTCGTTTTACTCACTGACATTGGCTTTGGATGGTAGTAACGTTGGCTGCCAGAGGACAAAGACCTTCGCTGCACTCCTCTGAGCCATCCATACCTATGTGCAAGTGTATTTGTTACTCAGCCAAATCGGACACGCATCATTGAACCTTCTGTTACTGCAACCAGTATGGTCAAAAAGTCGCAGATCGAATAAATGGATTGCCCGAAGGATCTCACCTCTCTCAGGATACTTGTTCGTTCCTGGTACAATGCCTGATTTTCCCTACCGGCCATCCCTTTTGTGTCAGAGCGATGACAGATCCTGCAGGTCCGCCGCCAATGCTTCCATGTCACAGGAAACTATAGTCGCCCGAATAGGTTTAGGTATGCGACTGTCATGGGATCCTCGTTCTTGTACGCATGGAGGACGAAATCACGATGGACGAGACAGTGTGGGAGGACGATCCGGTCGTATGGGAACCTTTATTGAATTGGGTGAGCTTCGTGTTATGGGAAATCCAGATTTTTGCGTGACGAATTGTATGGTTGGGGCGATGAAAGGCGAGGGTGGAATGACCAATTTTGGGACATGTTGTGGAGTGGGTTGGGGATACGGGTTCACGAACTCAGCCATAAAATAGCAACAGAGATGCTCTCCGAAAATTAATGCTCCTGTTTCAGGAACACCTCCATCGTCCTATCTGTCTCAACTCACAAAAAAAAAAGCAAGATCTTTGGCGTGGGTTGTTTTGTCTCGGCACTAGGTGGGGAATATTATATTTTGCCTCATAAAAAAAATACTCATTCTTCCCATAGATTACACATTGCGATTACTCCGAGGCGACTGATTCCTAGTCTCAACCCCGGTATCCCGCGCGTCAATCTAAAGCCCCAAAGTGTATGCATGATAGGTGCGGACACAACCAAGGCATAACAAGGGAGTTGAATAGATATTTCTTTTTCTGACCCTGTGCCGAGGTCCTTACACATATCAAGCAGTTCTTTATTTTATTTTGAAAGTGTCAGAGGTTGAAGTGCAAAGAGTTGGAAATGTACGGCAAAGGTGTGGATCAGTCATTCATGTGTAAAGATGACAATATAGTTATATACATACATGTTTACTTCTTTTACATAAAAAAAAGAAAACAACCATGTTTGGAATTTAACATTCTCTGTCTGGGAATCGAACCCAATTCTCGCGCGTACATCAAGTTGACAGCAAGCCATCCTATGGAGACCGCGTGTACTGACCAATGTACTAACAAAGAAGGTCAATATTGGCATCCGAAACATGAGCATGAAAGAGTCAGGCAGGAGAATCCACGACGAGAGGCAATTGACGGTATGGAGAGGGAATCTTAATTTTGAGAAAAAAGAGTTGATGAATGCATGGCAAATTGTATCTCTTTGTATGGGAGTCGAACCTAGCTTTCGTGCGTAGAAGTATATTCGTGTTTTCAAATGACAAGCGCGTGTACTGACCAATGTACTAACAAAGAGCAAACAAAGAGGTTGAATATGTATCTTTTCGGTGGCTGTTGACTCCGGGGCGTGTAGCGGCGAAAATCGACGAAGCGGTGTGTCCTTAACTTGATTTAACTGCATCGGGCGGTAAATTCGATTCAATGAAAATCACAGCTCTTTTCGCATCGACATATGCAGAATTGCATTCGCAAAAAATCTGCAGCTTTGGTCATCAGCCTCAGTAAAAAGCGAAGTCAAGAAAAATCATACGAAGTCAGAGGTCAGTCAGACATGTGTCACACGTCTGTAATTTTCACGCCAGCCTTCCCTTGGCATCAAATGGGAGGTGAGTTTAGTCATAGGTTAGTATCAACATTGTTGTACATTTTATATACATGTCTGTGCCAAGAATTCTCGAAATGCTTCATCTTTTTTTTCCGGTATGCATGTGCTACTGTAGGTAGCATACTTGCAGTGTGCCGACGCGTGTGAACAACTTCAAGTCATGAGCTGCAAGTCTGTTGAAACTCCGACATCATGTTGAATTTTGAATTTCCCAGCACGGAAATTCATTGTTCTTCCTTCCCAGCACATTCAACGAACGGCCTCCTCCCTCAATGAACAGCCTCCTCTTTCCCTCGACGAATCGTCTCCTCAGCGAACGGCCTCCCCCCTCTCTCGACCAATGGCCTCCTGCCTCTCTCGATGGATGGCCTCCCCTTGGCGAATGGCCTCCTCTTTCGACAGATGGCCTCTCGGCAAATGGCCTCTCCCTCTCTCGACGGATGGCCTTCTCCCTCTCTCGACGGACGGCCTCTCGGCGAATGGCCTTCTCCCTCTCTCGACGGACGACCTCTCTGTGAATGGTCTCCTCCCTCTCTCGACGGACGGTTTCCCCTCTCGGCGAGTGGCCTCCTCCCTCTCTTGATGGACAGCCTGCTCCCTCTCTCAACGGACGACCTCCTCCCTCCCTTGGCGAACAGCTTCCTCCCTCCCTCAATGAATGGTTCTCATACTTCCCTTGATGAACGGCCTCCCCCCTCCCTCAACTTGAAGAACAGTCTTCCCCTTCTCTCAGTGAACGGCCCTCCTCGTGTGTCTTAGTCCCCTCATACTATACTCCTTAGGCTATAGGCCCACTACATGTATTCTTTAAAATAGTCAAATACAATTTTATTCAGTCTATTTCCTGACCCAAGTTGAGCTCAAGCAATCAATGACTATTATATGACTAGTACATGACTGGCATAATATATGATTTGCAGTGTACAACTAATGTATGACTATTGTTTGACTATTGTAGCATGAGCGTAGTCAGAACCGCTTAAAAAAACGACATTTAGTCATATAAACTCAAATTCGTGACTTTCTTCTGACCAACTTCCGACTTCGCTCTTTACTGAGCATCAGCATTGAAGGCAAGAGCAAGAGCAATAATTATAATTTACGCTGTGGTTAGGGTTGTCGTGCACGTGATCACTGCAAATGTTCATATTAAAATTATTCTCGAAACCTCTCTTCGCCCCGTCCACGTCCACGAGCATCCGACTGTTTGATCACCATCGATAAATCTTTTGAGTGAAAATGCTGGGGTTACTCATACATAGCAAAAGCTGTGTACTTTGAAAAGTGCCGACGCTCGCATCTCCCACAAGCTCAATCTTATCTTTAACCTAAGCAGGCACTTCGAACGTACTATTAACTACTGTAGTGGAAATCGATTGGGGAAATTAGAGAGGGCCATTCGGGCATGGGCGAAACGAGAGACATGGGAACCATGTATGTTTTCCCTCCTCGTCATCCCCGCCCTCCCACCAGGCTGCTTATCTGTTTCCTTTCATCTTCAACATTCCCTCACTCCTCCCCTTCTTTCAGCCCTCTTTCCTCCCTCTACGGCCTCCATCCCCATCTCCCCTTCCTTCTCTTCCTTCCACTTCTTCCGGCTTCTCCCCCCGTTTCTTTTCCGTCCATTACTCCCTGTCCTCCCATCTACATTCCGCCACCTACCATTCTTTCAACCTGCCAATCGATCCGTGGATAGGTAACTAGGAAGTTTGCGAATCTGCAAGGGTGGCATTCTGCCAAATTGGGCGGGTGTGACACTTATGCCTTTTGGAGGAGGGTGCTGGTAGCGGTGGAAATTTGCAGTTCGGGCGACCGTTTCCGCAACATGGCGCAGCTAGACAGGCATTAATGGCTCAGCGAGAAGCTTGCACAAAGATTCCACCCAGATGTGGACGTTTGCGGGTATGGATTCCGGGTTGCGAACTTCGAACGCGTTATGACAGGTACGCCTGTATTCCGCTCATTCGCTCTGTTCATTCTTCTTGCCCATTCCACCTGAATTTATATAGCCACGTTTGTGTTGCACTCATAAACCGGCGTTGCACGTACCACAATGCTAGGGTTGCTGTGAGGAGTCTCGTCATCACTACACCCTCCTTTTCGAACTTGATCTTTTCGCAGATCCTACGCTCCTGTCCTGTGTTCGCTGTTTCCGACGCCTCTAAAGCCAAACATGGATTATCGATGTAATCAACGGGGTCTAACATAACCTAGCTTTCACTCCGTTACGCGATGATGAGGACGATATCGCTTAAATGAGACTAGAAAGGAGCAGATGTTGAACACGACCTGGAGAGGTGTTGAAGTGGCACTCGGTACGCCCCCGAACGATTTCTCTCCAAAAAATTAGTGAATTTGCCTACAGAGCTCACGAGTCTCCCCAGTTTGCGAGTAAACGCCGTTCCATTCAATCACCCAGTTATCCTCAGCTATCATGCCGATGTCGTGTCGAGCTTGATCATCTGCGGTTCAATCAAGCCTTGATCACGCCTATTGCATATCTTGATTGTGAACATCCAAGACATACCGTTGGTCCATATTCTCGTGATGGGCGTGATCTCCGATTATCCTGCGCAATCTGGGGGAGTGCGGGTAAGTCGTTCATAGCCAAGCAATATTCACAACCCGTGTTTGAAAGATGATGTTAGGAATCGATTTGCGATAAGGATGTTCACGCTGACGAACCATCCACTACTTGATAAAGTTAGAAGAGCGAGGCCTGGCGTAAGTGTGATTATAGTTCTGCTGGAGTGGTTACATCTGACGCGGACTACCTAGTAGATTCTCCATATTGTAAAGGGAGCGAGTACACTTGGTGAGGCGATCGTAAAAGGGGAACGCGAGTCAACTAACTCTTCCTAAAACTTCCGAGGTCTACAATATGCGTAAGCTTGACATCATCACAGTGAGCACCGAAATATCTCGGCATCTCAAAGCTCCACTGTAGATTTCCGGCGAGCCAAATACCTAGCGCCTCAAAGAACGCCACAATATCGGAATCCAATGGCTTTCCCCGCAAGGGCAAACGTGACCTCCCATCCATAAAGCGATCATAGAGCTCGCGGAACTTGATTCCACTATAATCCGCTGCGGCTTGGAGATCTATTGACAGCTCCTGCATGACAACGCTGAGGTAATTCCACCTCCCGTGCCCTTTCGCGAGTTCCTTTCCGTAGGAGTGCACGTCCTGGAATGTAAGTTATTTCATTGCAGATCCTTGCATTGGAAAACAAAAAAGACTTACGTTCGACAACCAGCTCATGTCCAACACAGCCAAATACATCTCGTTGAAGACTGAATTTTCGTATACCTCGTCGGGAAGTTCGATTCCAAGGGCATACTCGATATGTGTGAAGCCCACGCGCAACGCGCAATTTTCTCGGCGAACTAGGGTGTATTCCTTAATCGATAGTACTTCGTTGGATTCACGAAGTTCAAGCTCCTTGGGCAAAGCCTTAAACGTTGCCTCCCAGTCTTGCAAAAACCTCCTCCAAAGAGTTGGCCCAACGGATTTGAAGAAACGAGCTCGGTAACTACCAATGTGTCAATATTCAACGCCTGATACAGAGGGACTGAAGACTTGACGTACTCTTTGATCATCCGCTCTCCTGCAGACGAAGATCTTGTAATATCGCTCTGCATTGCGTCGACAGATTCTTTGCTTGTAAGCGTTCCTTTATTTTTGTCCTCGTCGTCCGTGATGTCGTCAAGCGCAAACACGAGGAGGCAGAAGTCGGTACAATTTCTCAACTTCTCATACCCCGCATAAGGGAATGTTCGCGATGCGAAACGCGGAACGTCCGACCTCAGGAATTTCTCCCATTGATCATCGCTGAAGAGGCCGTAGCTGCGTATCCACTCTTCGGTTTCTCTTCGCACCACGTCCTCCAGTGGATGGGTGTTGGAGGGAAGGTTACAGATGGACAAGAAGTCGGGAATATAAAGAAGTTGCTGATGCGTGGAGGCCATAGCGGAATGAAGTGCACCAGTGACAATCAACAATGAGGTATTTATACGAATTCAAGACCGGTAACGGCTGTATCAAAAGCTGTTGTGTTGTAGGCCTGAAGATCTTCCAACAAGCGGCTGTCGGGTTGTAACACAACCGGAGTCATAGGTTTTCGGCGTTGCTCACAGGCGATGACAGGCGCCAACAGCTTTGATTTCGGCAATTTCTACTTGTGGCACAGGCACGCGTCATGTCACAGCTCTTGTTCTAGTATGTCCTTGACTTTTAATGTGGATTCCAAGTTGAAGAAACTTTTTTTCAAAGGAATCTTCACATCCTCACCATCCGAATTCTAGCATCAATTTTTTTTTTACAAGTGATTAAAGTCCTATTGCTGATTTGTGACAATTTTCAATCGAGCGGCTCTTTCTCTAAAAATAGAACGCCTCCATCTCAGAAAGATCGTTCCTCAATCTTCATGGCGTGATGGCTTTCCATCTGTGGGTGCAGGCGATATGTATTTGTCGAGAAGCGGTCCAAGAAGTAGTCGCTAACAATATCATCATTCAAACGATCAACGGAGATCTTACCCTTTCCAGGCAAGAAGGACGGAATGTGAGCATCACCGATCAGATGCATAATGAAGGTCAATGTAGTCGAGTTGAATGTTTCGTTTCAGTGGTGCCAAAAAATAGATAGGCATGAGTAGATTTCATTCTGAACGGTTGCCAGTAATATTTCCTTTTGACATCGATGTCCCAGAGGTCATATTCCCCTGAAACAAGGCCGCGGCTTATTGTAGAAGAAGATTGGAGATAAGGAGGTCACGACCAGTGCTGTGACGTCGGAAATGGCTTTGAACCGACAGATAAATTGATTATGGGCGCTACGATGTAGTTGGCAAGTGAATACCTGACCAGGCAAACTGGAAGAAACTCGCGAACTCCAATAACACTCTATTGTATACAAAAAAAACCTTCCGCCAAGTAAGGGGTATTACGGAAATCCATATGTTCACAGTGCATACATAAAAACATGAAAATTACAAGCCACACCTACATAATTCTCAACAAGCTTCAAGATTGGTGCCTCTTCGTAAGTTTCTAGGCCCACGAAGGTACGAGGGAAAGTGACAGCTTCATACACGTGTCGACTGTTGAACAATACCTTAAGCTTCCCGATCACCCCCGCTACTAGCCATATAAAACACCTCCACCGCTTGGCCATCGTGTCCTGCACCTCTCCTGGACACGGCAACATCATGGAAGCGCTCATCCCAGAAATCAAGCAACTTTCGGACTATGTAAGCGCTGCGCGACTGGTTATGGTCAGTTAAATTCGATTTTTGCTCGTCTTGAATTGAGTTAATGATTACTCCTGACCGTTGAACTTAGTGCTTTGACGGTGGGTTCTAAATCGGATATCAGCTGGACCTACTTGAGATTGGACACCACAGTTGCTGGAGCAACAATGTTTTTATGCGACTACTTTTTGACGCTTGGAATGGAGGGGGCATATAGAAATCTGCGTGCCACTTGCGGTCACTTGCGGACCACCCGTTCGCAGGTGACCGCAAGTGTCTCGCAGATAATCAAAAAGGATCGCAGGTATCGCAGGTGTCACGCAGATAGATAGTCTACTACAACATAGTACTTAGTAAATTTAAACTAAAGAAATGTAATCTTCACTTGAGAACTTAAAATGTGGCCACTGCTATGCGATACGAGTCTGGAATACAGTGTTCAATTTTCTACACAAGAGTTTTAGTTCTTATTTACTCATGCTTACTCGCAAGTTGACCGCAGGCTCGCAAACATCCATTTTGTGCGCAGATTCTCGCAAGTGTGTCTCGCATTGGTCTCGCAGGTGTATCGCAAGTGATGCGCAAGTTGCACGCAAGTGTACGCAAGTCTCGCAATGGATACTAACTCTCGCAAGTGTATCTTAAATGTGTCGCAGGTGTGTCGCAGATGTATCTCAAGTGTACCGCAAGCTGAACGCAAGTGTATCGCAGGTGGAATGCTGATTGGATGCAGGACATCTTGGTCATTTCGTAGAGCAATATATGTCGCCAGTATAATTTATGAATCCCATGAATGAAATGGTTCCAAAATTAGTGAATGTGAGGGAAATGTCATTGAAATACATTGTAAAAGTGAGGGAAATGACAGTGAAATACATTATGAATGTCCCAAGAATTTCCTTCAAATCCGCTGACACCGGTCTAATCGAGAAAATTGGGGGAAACACCGGAATCCAGGTTTTCTGGGGAAGTAGTCGGGAAATAACGAGAGATTTTCGTCGATTTCCAAAGTTGGTTTTCCCTAATGTCCCTCGTTTGGTGTGGAATCAAGTTGGGATGGGAAGAAGAGAGCGAGTCTGAACGAGAGGTGAGACTCCATCACTCGCCAATGGCAGACATTGGCTATTGAGTCCCGAAGTCTCTGGAAAAAAATCGACCACAATCACGTCCGATAAAGAAGGAAAATAGTGGTAAGAAGCCGGTGGCTGACTAGTCATAGCCTCAGACACTGCGTTACTTGTACATTTCAGCATAAAAATGGTCTTAGTACAGACCTATAGGTACAAACCAACAAGTCAGAAAGAATAAGAGAGATTCAGATACGTTAAACTAGAAGGATAATTATGGTGCTCATTGAAGAAATCTCAAGAAATATGAAATCTCAGCAAGGTGCGCTGATGCTCGCAGATGCCCGCAGATACTCGGCTCACTAGGTCTAATGTGCACGCAACTGGATTGGTCTGCACGCAAGTGACCGCAGATACTTCCTTTCGGTTCGCAACTGGCACGCAACCTGTGTCCGCAGGTGTCCGCAGATGGCACGCAGATTTTCCTGTGCCCGAATGGAGGTGGACTTGGTCTGGTCATCTACCTGGAGCCTCAAGAAGGTTTTGTTTATCGCTCAGCGATATCTCCCATTTTTTGATGCAGCCACGCTGTGTTTTGTCCGTACGTGGAAGATTTTGACCTCGCAATATCATTCTTACCTTTGGCCTTCCCAGTTCAAGCCTCAACAGCGATAGACCCGTCCCATTGTAAAATAATGGAACTCATTAGGGGCTGTAAGCATTTTATATATTTCAATTTGAACATCCATGCAAGGCGTTACTGATTCATTACCCTCTAGTGTTGATGGTTGCTGGCTTTTGTTTGTCAGAATGTCTGTCTCCCCATTTGCTTCAATTCTATTGACTCAAATGGGTCTACCATCAGTAATTTTAACGCTACGCGTGTGGGCGGTCTGGAATCGGAACAGACGATTAGGAGCAGCCCTGTCGGTTTTCTTTTTCTCGATGGCTGCTGCTGGTTTCCTGGTCATGATTATGTTCCAACGTGGCATAGAATGTGAGTTACTATCTCTGTTCATGATCTTTTCGCATTCTCATCGAATTTTTCAGTCAGCGACAGGCCCTATCCTTCCTTTGAAGGGTGTTTCATCACAGGCTCAAACAAGTTGGTCTACATAAATTGGGTGTTGTTAATGATATACGACGGGGGTAAGGCCAATTAGCAGTGAAAAATCTGTAAATCTTGATTTTTGAACTTCTAGTTCTCTTGATCCTATTGCTCATTCGCGGTATTACGGCTTGTTCGTCCCCATTCTCCTGCAAAAAAATTCACTCGTAATCTAATCTATTGTCAGATCGACGGGGAGGGCATAGTGCACTTTATCACGTTGTTTACAGCGAAGGTGAGTTTCAACCCACTCCTTTTTCAGTCAAATTTATTCAGATGGCTAGGTATCTTCGGTAGAGTGAGAGTAAATGTGCTTTTGAAGCCATATCTAACCCCCTTTTTTAGTCTTGTCGGCTATCAACGTGGTTGTTGTGAATACCCTTTCGGTTCGTCATCTCGTGAATTTTCAGATTAGAATCTTCTAATTGGTAGCATAGGTGAGATACTTGGATATTCTATCCTCGTATGTCTCTCCTCCCTTTTTCCTTCGTGCTACAACAACACTCACACCAGCTGAACAACCAGTGTTGTGCGATGCGTACATTCCATACTGACAAGTAGGGTGCTCCTTCACATTCGTGTTTATATGAGAGATGTAGAACTCCCAGTCCGGTCTGGCGGCATTACAAAGAACCAATCGAACCCGAATTTGGTTTACGGGTAGAAGCCTCTTTCTAAAAGAGCAGGATTTGAGTAGTGAAATGTTCATCACGGCCTATCATATTGGGTGCCTCAACTTGTGGTACAACTCAAGTCGGCCAAGTTATCGGAGAGGCCAATCTTGTTTCCTTTGTATTTTTGCGCGTAGAAGGGAATCACCTGCATAGAGAAAGAGTGGAATAAAAGTAATTTGGGTTCACCCTTTTTGAGACACTCTGTCCGGGAATCGAACCCAGCTTTCGCGCGCGGAGGAAGATACACGAGACGCGCTTGTAACGGCCATTATATCAACACAGAGGTTCTAAATATTTTTCTTTCAGAGGGTGAAGAGCTCCAGTCCTGGGACTTCTGGATCAAGCAACCAATGTCTGATTGGAAATGGGCATCCTGCGTTACGGCGCAGGCGACGTACAATTGTCGCCTAAAACGGTAAATTCTTAGATGCATCCTGGATCTCTTTGACTGGGATTCGAACCCAGCTTTCGTGGGTGAGAATTCACAATATGATAAGCACGTACTTGCTGCTGTACCAACAAAGAGGATTAAGGGAGATGTGATTTCCAGGTGGTGTTGAAGTTGCACGTGAAGTCTGGTGGGAGAGAGCGAATCTGCGACTTGGGAGCAACTCGGGAGATGTTTATTTTGCGTGGCGGTAAATATAAGGACGACGTGCAAATTCAAACATTTTTTGTAGCCGGCCCTACGGTGCTCATATGAACTTATGTAGACTCTAGAATCTTTCTGGAACTTGCGTATGAGTTAAAATTGCTATCGTGAATATGCACTTCTAGGTAACAAAAATAAGAGTCACGGAAGCATTTCTCATTCTATGCATGGGAGTCGAACCCAGTCCTTGCGCCTCAATATAATACAACCATCTCAACGATGGACGTAAGGATGTACAGACCGATGAGCAAACGGAGAGGGTTATGGGTTGAATGTTTCCTATGGTCACGGAGAGCAATGCCAGCCTAGGTGGCAATTTGACAGTAAGTTAGGTCAATGAGTACCAGCTGGGTTTCTTCGTGACTACGCCACTGAAACGTCGTGAATAATTCTTTAGAATCAAAAAATTAATACTCTCAGTACGTAATTTTATTTCTCCGTCTGGGAGTCGAACCCAGTTATTGCTCGGGAATAGAAGAGACAATTGAACAAAGCAACCGCATGTACTACCAATATACGAACAGAGAAGGTTGGAATGGGGAGGTTTTCTATCATCGTTACGTGATCCTGGCGAGCTGATTGAGGAAGATTCAGGGTCAAGGTGGGAATGATACACACCTTGAAAACGTTCCGACGTGTAATCAACATGAAGGAAGATAGTACGATGGTGAATTATTTCACTTTGCCGATTGTTGGTAACTGACAACCAAAAAAATATGGACTTGCACACATTGTCGCTGTCCGACTGGCAGTCGAATCCAGTAACTGGTCTGCCCCTTAACCGCATGTTCTGAACCGTATACAAACGGAGAAGGTTGGATATGATAGTTTGTTGGCGTCATGAACGAGAAGCACGCGATATCATATCTAGAAGCGGGAAGTAAAAATCGCACAGACTAATAGTGCATTGCGTGGATGTAAAACCTACAGCCCTTTCCGGTCCCATTGATTTCCTAGGAACCGAATTGTTCCAAACAGGAAAACGCAGACGTTGGAAGGGAGGCTGAAGGCAGGAAAACGTGAGCGGAGACACCCCTCGCGTGTATCTCTCCGTTGTACATACATCTCCAGCGCTTGTATCGAAAGACATTTACCTCTGGCTTGGGTGGCGGCGCTGCTGAGGAAAACTCAAAATCTACCACGCCGTCGCGTGAGTGTCAAATCTTGTCCCAAAGTTCAGACTCTCCGCGTCTCACGAGGCAATGCCAAGATCCGGGGTAGCTCAATATCGACGTCATTGGGAACGGCGGTTTCGAAATCGAGAAGGAGTCCATCGTCCGATTTGGGGCGCGCGTTTGGAATGTCTAAGAAAAAAAAAGGAAGAAAGAGTATCGCACGGAGGAGAAGTGGAAGTACCATTCTCGGAATGGAGGGTACGATGCCCAGCAAGCGAGGTGCGCTCCTGAGAAATCGGACCAGATAAGTCGGGGACGGATCTCTAAACACAAAGTTATATCTGAGGATGCTGAGAAAGTAGGAATTGCAAGGGGCCCGTCTCGTTTGGAGGTGACCGACGAGTAAGGGATCCGTGACGATGAACGCAGCATAACTCGTTTGAGAAAAAAGGGAATGGTTCCACGCGTCCTATCACAATACCCCCAACTACGAACGCTCCGTACAAATGAGCTGGGAGGATGACTTAAGAACAGCTCGCTAAGGTTGGTGCGTCCTGCACTTCTCAAAGTATCATCTTAAAATCTTTTTACAAAGCGATTCGGACACCTCATGATGGGGGTGGTACCTTGCGCGGCGATGTGTAGAACCTAACGGGCAAAAGTTATTGAGAGAACGCAAACATGCGAGTCGGACATGCCAGCGGAGGCGAGGAGGTCACGGATGATTGGGATAATTGGGTATAATCCTATCTGTGGTGTCAAATGTGAAAAAAACATACGCCGTCATGGTGTAGAAATATTTGGTCGCTTCATTGTTGATCGAGAGGGCAATACCAATATAGGAGGACGCTTTTGGGCAGCCTCCGTGAGAGGAAGGTGATTTGTCGGGGAGGAGACACAGGGATCGACTGCAAGGGATACTTGATGCTGGATCCGTAGAACAAACGGAGGTCGTATAAGTGTCCACAACGGCCGTGATCTAAGCGAAGAATATCAATCTGGTATCACAAGAATGTAAAGAACTTACCCACCAGATACCAAACCAACCAAGTTGACAGCGTCAAGCAGTGGCCCCCTCCTTCTCTCAGTTTCAACATAATACTCATACGCATTCCCACTCCACTCTACCCCCCATTACCCCTCATATCCGACAACGAAGCCTAAAGGAATATTTCCACCGATCTTTTCCACTTTGTGACCGTGTTTTATGGGAAAAGCCATCCAGTTGTACGGTGCGAAGGCATGAGGAGAGACGTTTTGCAAAAATGGGGATGCGGCACAGACACGTCAGGATGGTCGCCGTAGATCGGAAGTGCCGGGGTAGATGGGCGGGTAAAATGAAGCTTTGAGGAGGGTTGGGAGAGTGATTGATGGTGATGAGAGTTTGAAGGAGAGGAACGTGAGAGGAGGTAGAGAGGAGGTAGATGGCGCTTAGGGACGATGAGCCTAAGGAGGGTGGTGCATATGCGCGTTACGGATGGAGCAAAGGCTGGTTCATGTTTTGCGTAGAACCAACTCTCTTCCGAGCCGTGCTTACTAAGAGACACATTTGAGCGTTAATAATATTGCAGGTAGACATTTCGACAATACCCTCACCTTTTGCATTGTTCGACGGCTATGGGCGCCTTTTCCACTGGTATACAAGTCTTGAACGATGAAAAGAAGTCAGACGCTGTTGTTTTTAGAAGACGGGAACCAAACATTGAGATAATTTCAAACATATGTACATACTGTACATACAGATATATACAAATATAATCTTACGCCTTCACGTCAACGTATGACCGGAATCCTCGAATGGCTCGCCTATCGCTCCTGCGTCCGAGCGCCGCGCCGCGAAGCGCGAGGTTTACATAACCAAGAAAGAAGTTGATACCAGGCAGAAAGTGATCTACAGGAAACGGTTGGGAAACGGATGTAAGACAATACGTAACACACATGCAAGGTGTGCGATTTCTACAGGCCTATGTTATGAATGTTTCTACGCAGACAGAGCCCCAGTATTTTCTCAACACTTTTTATAATGGCGATTCAAAGAGGACCTCGTCGCGAAGCTTTTCCCGCAGCTACCGCATTTGTGATCTTTTTTCTTCAGGTGAGAGTTCATATGATCTGATTGAAATTAGACTCGAGGTTGTGACAAAAAAAGGAGTGCTAACTCCGTAGATTGTGCTTGGCGGTAAAATCTTGTGGGCATGAGCCACACGCAAATCGTCTGGGGCTGGTTCTGCGTCTATTTGCTGCATCAACATGTGCTGGCGACGCGACTACTGGTCGTGGGAGTTGTCCTGCTGCACCAACGCCGGAGATGGTCAGGTCAGTCGGCAGCAGAGGTGGCTGCGAGTGACCTCGGAGTCCTATAGGGCTGATCGTGTCGCCCTCTCCAAATTCTGGGATAAGTAATGGTAAGGTTACAGCCACAGCGTTGTAGAACGACTGCGTACCAGATAGCAGGTCCGACATGAGATGCTCGTATGGTGGCGACGCTATCACTGGTTGTTCCATGGTTCCAATCTCTACATCAGCGGGTGGAGCTCTTTGGAACAGTTTGGAATAGCACAGGCATAATGGCAGAGGGGAGAGGCACAAGTTGCAGTAAGTGTCTAGTTGCATGGTGTTCGCCCACCCTGTTCCATCTAAGAAAACACCGCCTTCAGATTATAACGGCAAGGCGACGAGCGAGATGACTGCATACCGGAGAGTTGAGATGGTTTGTAATAGCACTGGCATAGTGTCAAGGGCAAGAGGCACAGTTCGCAAGAAGTTCCTCGTTGCATATTCGTGCTGACTCTGCTGAGGGCTTTTTGTGGGGTGAAGTTTGCTTTATACCGTATGACCCTGCATGCAACACCTTTGTTGAAAGCAGAAATCCGTGTATCAATGCTGGCCTCAAGGTCAATTACGGAAGGGGCGTGAGCGTGGCTCCAGGGCGTCTATCATACTTAGTATCAATCCGACGGGAAATTCCCACTAGTACATATACAGTCGAAACCCTCGTAACCCATGCTTTGATAACCCATAACCCCTGAAATCCCATGCCATTTTGGATCCACCAAGTTGGTGGGCAGGGATTTGCACACCATAACCCATAAGTCCGTGAAAACCCATAACCCATAGCCCTTGGTCGGCAAAACCCATAGGTTTTGGACCCTAAGTTAGGGTTATACCTACCAAAAATGGTCATAGAAACCGGTATTTTTGCGGTATTTTTCACTTTTTTTTTTCGTGATGCTCAATAAAATCTACCACAACACCAAATTTATTGACCTACTGATCACCAAATTCTCTGAAATCAACCTGCAATGCCCCTCCTCCCCAGATCAAGCTTCCCTCAATCATGAAGTCAACACTGTTGAGTAGAAATACGTCAATGATGACTTGCCCCAGCAGTGCTGATTGTTTTCGTTGCAGTTCAGCAAACAAAGAAAATTAGATTTTCGCGAAATTTCCATGCTTCTTTTGAGCGCTTATGTTTTTCCCACCCCCTCCAACCCATAACCTCTGAAAACCCATAGGCTGGACTGTCCACGGAAGGGTATGGGTTACGAGGGTTTCGACTGTAGCCGTCGGATGCGATTACATCGCGAGATGTTGTCAGATTGGGAAATTTCTTCCAATTAAGGGTTCCATTTGTCAATGGCTCTCGAGATAAAAAGAAATATGGCAGGAAAAACCATCCACTTTGTGCACGCCGACTAGACCTAAGTAGTAGCCTTGGTAGTAGTAGACCAGGTCCTTAAACTTACTTTGCCAAAGTGTTGATGGGGGACCCCCATACCTTGCGCAAAGCTGCAAAGTGTACGAGAGGAGATCGAAACAAGTATGTGAAGCTTGATCACTTGCGTCACGAACAGTCACACTTCAGGCAGCGACCCATATGAAGGGCCATAGAAGGGCCATATATGTGCCTTCATATTTGTCGCTGCCTGAAGTGTCAAGCCGAGCCAGGCGGTGTTCAGGGAAGATAACGAAGACACCGACATCCCGCGTGAGGCTGAGTGCCAGGCGGTGTTCTGGGAATATACCGAACACTAACTTCTCGCGTTCTGGACAAACATACCAAAGACACTGACTTCTCCACTCCGGTGTTGCTCCGGTGGAGATGTCTTCGGTATCTTGTCGGTATCTTCCCAAAACACTTGTAAAACACCGCCTGGGCGTTGATTGTTGGGAGTCATGCAGATTTAACAAGTCCGCCAATACGGGGAATCGAGGGCCTAGGAAAAACATTATTGAACAACTGGTCATGAAACAACGTCACGGTACACGAAACGTTCGAGTGTCAATGATTGTTTAGTCATGCTTGGCAGGAGCTTTAAAGTTGATAAGCACATCAGATCCAACTCAGATCACATTTCCGCGTTTGCGCCTTCTGCGTCTTCCATCACATCACTCACCTCTCCAATGTTACGTCAACCCATTTGGGGCTGCCAATGAATGTAGATGCTAGTGTTGTTTTGTATTGTCCAACCGGTAACCCTTTACCGGTACCAACTGTACGTCACTGTGCGAATACCTGATCCAGTCCGGACAAAAATTGGTCAATAACCAGATAGTTTTGGCGAAAAGCACTGGCAAAGGAACAACCCAGGGTTCAAGTATTGCTGCTATTTCGAATGGAGGTCTTCGAGCACATGCACAGCCGTCAATTTCGTCCTAAATCTCAAGGACACGCTCTCCACACGCGAAGATTTGCTCTGCTAACGTCTGCTCAGTTTCTTTGCACCCTCTGCCATTCAAAGACAGTTCAATGTTTGTATTAACGCAAGAAGTCCACCATCAAAGCATTGAATATTTGCCGCCCAGACATCAAGAACTTGGCCATTATTGCATTGCAAGAAAAAGGGTGAGGATGCCGAGATAGATGCAGATGTCAAAAATCAGTAGATGGTTAAGTATGAAGTCTTTAAATTAATACCTTTGCATGCTTACGGCTCTGGGAGCCCTTTTGAGCGAAAAAATTGGAACACTGCCTACTAATAGGCCTGATATAGTGTGCGGACAAAATTTTCGGATGTGCGGACAAAAATCACCCGATTTGGGGATTTTTGGATCAGCCATTTGACATGACTTTCACAGGTTCTGGACTAGCATGAGAGGCACACCTTGAGGATTTCTCAGAAGACAACATTCTGGCTCAGCTTCAACGAGATGTTGTATCTTGTTCTTTCATATCGCATAATGCACCGCAAGATCTCCCTTTTTCCGCGAGTAAAGGTCTCAAGATCTCAAATCTGAAACGTCGTGTATAATATTAGGGACTGTCATGGATATACCCGGGTATTAACCGTACCCGATCCACGGATTTTCCCACCCACGGATCAGATAAGGCACAGTACAGATATATCCGTGGGTAAACAGCCTGGGTGACCAAGCAGCTATATAAATGAGTGTATCTCGTTCATTTCCTGTCCGTTCTTTATGAAAAAAATTGTGTTAGAAAGCGAAAATTCAGGAGAATTCATATTAAAACAAAAGTCATTCATATAGTATCTAAATTGAGTATATCGAAACTAAAGTTATTTATATATATCATCATCTGAGGTCTTTCTCCTTGTATAATGCTGCTGTAACTGAGCCTTGATCACAGAGAGTGTTGGGGGTGTGTATTAGCATGCCTTGGCCATCTTGAGAGTATTTATTTTCAGTTTCAGAGAAATGCTTTTGAGAACAATTGATATTTCAGTCGGGTAGCAACAGAAACAATCAAGGAAATGGGAGGTTATATGATGTACGGGCACAATGCATCACATTCCTGACTCCAACTTTCATGAATGGGTTCTGATTTCTGCTCAGCCCCAGGTAAGCAGCATTATTCACATTTATTTTCCTTTACTTTCAATGATTGATGCAGCTACTTCTGTGGATGCAGAGTGGGCATTCTCCACTGGTCGCAATCAGATCAATTTCACCCAGCACAATATCAACTTTCAAACATTCAGAGCAGAAATGGCTCTTAGATTCTGGATTAAATTCCCCTTCTACCCAGCTTCAATAAAGGTACACAAATGATTGAAAAAAGATGGACAATGATTTCTTTTCCTCTTAAATAGGTTTTTGTAACACTTTGTGTCACCAAAATTGTTCTTTCAATACCTCTGGGTTCATCAAGGTAAGTTTGAATGTTCTCCTGTTTTTTTATTGGGGCATATTGTGATTGCTTTCACTAAAAATTGAATTCATTAACAGGATTTCAAAGATTTCTGGTGACAAGCTTGGGTGACAGCGGGGAACAAAGGCCAGGTCACAATTTGGACCCATTCCACAAGCAGCAGGGGCCAGGAAGTTGTTGTGATAGCATTCTGTCATGGTGGAAGGGAGTTGGGGGTACAAATAACACTCTTATCTATTCCGGGCATGTATGCTCAAAATATCTCAAGAAGGTCTAAAAATATCTAATTTACCCACGGATACCTGCAGATAGTCCGGGTAGTTACCCGAATCCATCAGTTGAGTCCAAATATGGGTGGATTTCGGGTTCACCCGGGCTTTAGCTATCCGTGACAGTCCCTAGCACTGTATATCTTGGTGACTTATACACTCTACCCATCGTTATGCCTACGATGGCCATGAGGGTAGGTATTTCCCAGGTATTTCAGGAATCCAGTGTTAGAACGAAGGTTGGAGATTACTGAGTCACGCAGTGTGGATCTAATCTCCACGTCACTCAGGGTCCCAGGAATGGGTGTCTATCTGCGGCCTACATACTTTCCCGCTCTCTCTGCCATCTACAGAAATTGAAATACGGTGGTAGCGACTTAGACGAAGACGAAGTAATGCTTGCTCTCCATCTTGCTCTCCATACCCGCCCCTGTACTAATTTCTCAACGCTATACACAGCTTGGCTATACTTAGCATGCGAAAGGGCGTACAGCGAATTCGAAAGCAAAGCGAAAGGCCGACCAATCCGCAGTATTATAATGGAGTTCGATAACTGCGATACTCAGACGGCACCCTTCCAGATTTCATTTGAATTCCATAAAAGCACATCTATGCCCTGATCTTTGCGACGCACCAAGATATTCGCATGACCCACAGTTGGCAAACAGTTGGTAAAGGGGTTGCGAATGGCCGAACAATACGAAGCGACATCAGCATTTATATCCATTGGCAGCCCCAGTCAGTGGGTTGACGTTGGTTTTATGATGCAGAATCTAATGTTTTTCCTTGGCCCTCTTAGCCCATATCGGCCGACTTGGTAAATCCGCATGACTCCCAACAATCGACGCCATCTCAAGACCTACCGCACAACATCAAATCATCATCTTCTTCTCTGATCTTTGCGCCTTCTGTGTCTTCCATCACACCACTCGGCACCTCTCCCTCCGAGTCCACCCTCGATCCCTCTAACTCGATCCCATCAAAGGAAGCTTGTTCGTCAGGATGCTCCCGCCGACAAGTTTCGTTTCAGAGAGCTGAGCTACTAAAAATTTTGATACAATATTTGGCCGGCCAAGCAAGGGTCAAGTGTAAATTATTCGTCACTCGCACACTTGCTTCCCGTCTTTCTAATCTGAAAAATACATTGAATGATGCAAGAATGACGTTGTGCTTTGATAGGCAACATCTCAAGCAGCATCTACATAGTTTTTTAAGTAGCTTCTTTGGATAAATTATGATGAATGATTTCGCATGGAGTCTAAACTAACAAAATACGAGGGGTCACTTGTACAAACCCTATGAATTATGGAAACAGTCTTCCGCCAGCTTCATTTTCGTAAGCTGATGGTCAATTTGTAAGCAGTGACCCCAGAAACTCCGTGCACCTACATCAAATTTCAAAATATTGGACACTGAGTATAGTGTTCCGCACCGCAACCAGCTTCAGCGCAATGCGGAGGAGGCCCCATATGTTGTATAGATCATAATACATTAAATAGGACATAATTTCGGGAAGGTATCAGTAACCAGGACTGTTCGTCTTGACTGCGCTTTTAGTGTTTAGCACTCAGGGCCATTATCATGCGCATATTTACGCGACATCAGGTTTCGTGGACGGTGGTGGTACTGCTAGTGCTCTGCCAAGCACAGCACGCAGGAAGGAGCTGGCATGCATTGTACGTGGTCCTTGTTCAAAGCGGGGCATATAGGATGTTGAAGCCTGTTGGACATGAGGGGGCTAGATTGAAAGGAAGGCATGCCTTGACGTCAGTGAGTATCAGTGTGTCGTGTTGCCCAATCTGATACAGCAACACGAGGCCGAAATCTTTCACGAGCACAACGCTTCTTCCAATCGACTTCAAGTTCCAATTTGGTTCCAATATGCCACGAAATTCGACGTGTTGCGTCATTATTTCCAGTTGTTGCTAAAGGTGGCGAGAGGTGTGCAGTACTTTGAGCACCTGCATTTCTTTTTATATTAGCCCTTGCAAGTTGCATTTTCAATATATGAGTATCTGTACTGACACTCACCTTTTTTCGAAGATTTCCACATTATTTTTTCGAGGCTTTTGCCCTGTGGTGAGTGGACCTCTTTGCTCTAAGCAATCCTTCGTCATCAACCTATGTGAAATTGCGCAGACGCCCGCCGTTGCTCGTCACCATATCGAATCAAGCAATGATAGTGTTCTTACATTGAATGAGCCATGGGATTGAAAGGTTGACATTCAAGGCTGTAAGTTACGGTCAGTCTGTAACCGGCTTCTCATATCCATTTCCGACGTTTTCATAACAATAACTCCCCAGAGAATCGACAGCGTTATCCAGCATCCACCCAATGGTTACGAGCCCAAGAAGGACGGGTAAACCCAGAAATGAGCTTACGGAGGGCTATCGCCGGAACTCGATAAATTGGTTTCAAGTTTGACTGGCGAGGGAGTATGAAGCAAATGCGGTAGAGCCATCACTCCTACTACGTACCGATTTCCGGTGTTGAGATATTGAATTACATGGAAACATGTCTAGAAAGATTCATTGGTAAGAGAACAAATACTAAAGAAAAACAACTTAGATTTGAAAGACACAGCCTCGGCAAAAGTGCGTTTTTGGAACGCGATACGTTGCGTCGGGCCAATCCTGAGGTAAGGTCGAAGGAACAGGCTGGCACGCCGCGTCATATCAATCCGCAGACATCGAAAAATCGAATTAGATCATCTACAACGATAGAAAGTATTATTATTTCGTGGACAGGGGTGTTGCTTGGATAGGAACTTACCCAGTGATCTTCGGATGTTCAAAAATCGAATCTGCGTGGGTGTACGAGGTGTACGAGTGATGTATCGACGTGCATCGCCGGCCTCTGAAAAATCAAGAAAATGTCAGGAAAAAGCCTGCAACAAGTTTAGTAACAACGGCAGGAACACACGTTAAACTTGCATGAGAAGACCTCAGCATGACAGCGATTCCCTGAACGCAATAAATCGAATTAGAATTGTGAGCGGCAATCGAAAAGGATCACAAACCGAATTTTGTTACGCGTGCAATGGCTGAGCTGCTGAGACAACGAGCAAGGTGGTGGTGGAGGAAAAAGCTGTTTGTTCGCAATCGTTCACGTCAACTTTATGTCTTCCTTTGGCGCCCACCACCTAATTTCGGACCCAGGGACCACAAAAGCTGTCCGTACTTGTGTGATGGTGTCACGGCGTGGTATTCATGAATCATAGAAAAGAGAAGCGACGTAGTAGTGCACTGTGCAACGCGTGTACTTGCCATTGAAGAGAGCTGGGTAGTGGACAAGAGGCCATGGATATACAGGTTGACCTTTGATTGTACCTACATCAGGAAAACTACACATTCACTTATGACACTTGGGTCACTTTGACAAGTGGCCAAGAGACGTAAGTGAGCTCAAGTGACCAAAGGAGATTCACTTGGCTAAGTAGGTTGCTGCCTTGGCCAAGTGATTCCTCTTGGCTCAAGTGAAGACTCAAGTGGGTAAGTTGTATGGCAAAAGTGACCAAGTGATGAAATAGCGGTCTCAAATTGTTCCCGATTTCATCCAGGACAGTAAAATTAGTGGGTAAAAGAGTATATTGAACAATATATATGTACATCCATCTCAAGGAATATCCGAAATGTATAGAAAACGGACCATCCCCTCTGTTTGATGGTTGCGGGAGCACCCCAACATCTCACTCATCAAAGATCCTCGCACATCGAGGGGAGAGGCGTTGGCATGTTGAGTGAGCGAAACAGGTGGTTTTGGTTCCTCCATGAGCTCGATTGCGGAATCTGACCCAGAACTTGAACACGCGCTCAGCCTGGACAAAAATGAGATCATGCAGCAGGGGAGGTAAGAGGAGACATACCCGGATCATCGATAGAACAGGTCCTCGTTCTGCCGCCGATCCCTTCTCTTTCCCAGCCTCTTCACACTCGCCGTCGAATTGAAAAATGGTGGTGGCCAACACCGGTCTCACTTGGAGCAATCACAATGGACCCTGTGGTCGGTACGGTGCATAGGGGTAAGTAGAGATATGAAGAGGAGGTTGCCATGGCACAAACCTGGGCCAGCGTCGTTCTGGAGTCACCGTCTTCATCTGGTTTACCACCTTGTCACTAGGTGATAGTATGAGGTTTGTTAGCACAACCATGCATTGAATATCAGCACTAACTTACTGAGTTCGTAGTGCGTGCACAGGGCTTTGGCGAGGATGGGTCGGACACCACAAGCAACACGTCAATCATGACGTGTCATGACTAATGTGTCGCTTGGTGTGCACAGTCGATGCATTGAAATCGCCGAAACGGTATGTTGGCAGGGGCACCGCCCTTTCCGCATTCCTGGATAACGCGTTAACTCCACCAAAGAGACAGCTGAAGTGCGTACTTGCCTGACAAGCAAGCCTTCCAACAGCCCACTCCAACCCAGACATCTTCGTTGGGCATTTCGGAAGGGCCCATACAAGGCTTGAATTTGGATGGCTGAGAACTTGTGAGAAGTGCTTTGAAAGCCCGATTGGCCTGGCTGATGTAGAGATCAATGGGGTGCAGGTGTTCAAGAATCTAAGGACAGACCTCGTAAAAGATGTCGACAGGCATGGAACAAACCGGCGCCACTAGATATCCAACAGGTGGCCGAAAAAAACCTTTCGGAATTGAATGTCTCCATTGACGCAGCATGTAGATAGCCAGATGGTTAGCTAGATGTATAGTCGTCAGCTAGCACGATCCAGACGAACGGTATGGTCAACGTACCCGTGTCATGTCGATCCACCGTTCGCACCACAGGCTCATAGACCAACGCACTTGGCAGCTGAAGATCCTGTTGTGGGTGCTACTTAACCCATCTATAGAAGTGCCATCGTCGGCCCTTCAATAGCCTGTTTGTCACAAGTTCTGCCGTGAGGATGAGAAGGGCGGAGAAAGACGGAGAAGAGAAGAACCAATGTTAGGAATTTCAACATCGTCACTTGATCGTCACATGTCATCGGACTTTGAATGGACTTAGGAATATTTTCTAACGTGTTTGAGCAATCCAATAATATGACTCTTGAGGCCTTGAGGCTTGAAGCTTGAGTGTTGACTTACTGACTTGAGTGACTTAAATCCCCCACTTGGAGTCACTTGGAGTTTGAACCAAAGTTATGGCTGTACCTTCAAGTGGCAAAGCTTTTCAAGTGAGATTTCAAGTGAATCCAAGCGACGTAAGCTCAATAAGTGAAGTGTAGTTTTCCTGATGTACCTGCACGTAGGGCTGCTCACCGTGTCCGTCTTAGACGGATAGATGGGTCCGTCAGACGGGCACCGTCACCGTACCGTCTGGGCCTGTCGCAAGTCTCCTGACGTACGGTAGACGTACGGGGAAAGGCCGTCTGTTTCCGTTGAGTGACGGGCGTTAACGGGGTTGACGGGCGTCACTGCATATGCGGAGTTTGAAATGAGAATTGCACCAAGGCCGCTATCGCCTTCCAACCCCCACGTACCCCGTGAACTTTTTTTCTGAAACCGGCGATCTGTCCTTCAAATATCTCTTCATGTACGTGCAGCCCCTGTTGCTTTTTCAATTTTCGGATACTTAATTTATTATTATTATCTAATTATCACTAGTTGATCACTAGGAATGCAACCTTTCAGCAAAAGCATTCATCAAGACCGAAAGATCGATCTCATCATGGACCGTAGTAGGTAGGTATTGAGTAAATTTCTGCGTTGTATGTACTTTGCAATCAGTACTCATCTGTTTATTACATTGTGCTACTAGTAGTTTCCATCCTGTGTGCCAATGAAGTTCGCTAAGAGACGACACGCGCACAGACAAATGCCGCCCTAGTACGAGCTAGTACGCTGCTAGATAGTAACTTTTAATACCTTTGTAATATCATTTATTCCATGTATCACTAAAATTTGTCAACGTCAATACAATTGACGTCCGTCTACATCCGTTGACGGCCGTTTTATATCAGTCCGTCTCCGTTTGCTTCTGCTTGGCCCTTGGGTGACCCAGACGGACGGTTGCTGGTTGAACCGCCCCTGTCAACGCCCGTCGATTAGACGACCGTGTCCGTCAGACGGACGGTGCGCAGCCCTACCTGCACGGGGTGGGTGAACATCATCCAGATAGAGTAAAACGCAACTGTGAGTGACGGTACCGTGGTTTGGAATGGAGCTTGGACGCATCTTTCTCAAGATCCAGTATGGTAGGCCCCGGGAAGCTGCCCTTATGTCTGTGCGTCAAAATGGTCCAAAAACGGCCTCAAATATGCTATTTTTCACGTCCAAAATATGCTATTGCGTACAAGGATGTCACATTCCCACGAGGTGACTCTCAGTAAAAACGATTCGTCGTGTCTCAGTCATATGGTAGTCACGCTACTACACGAAAATGCACGAGATGACTAAAAGCAGTCTTTTTTACAAAATTTTGACTTCGAGTTGACTTCGCCAAGTCGTGTCAAGTCGTGTGGCTGATGCCCACCATCTGTCGGTTACAGTCATTCGGTAGTCATGTAGTCACCTTATAGTCCTTCCATAGTCAAATAAAAGCCAGAACACAGTCATGCTACAGTCATATAATAGTCTCTTTCCCGTCATGCTCAGGTCATTTGATTGATGTGTGTTAGTCATGTATCTCTCATCACAACCTCAGGTAACAGTATCGGAATCATGGAACAAATCATATATTTTCCAAGCCTACTGACTGTGCTCTATATACACCTCTAGCACCACCTCAAGTCCAAATTCTCATCTCCTAATTAAGCCACATCTTCGTATGAAAAGAAGAGGTCGTTCTCAAGAGGGGATCATTTGTCGAAGGAGGGATGAGACTGTAGGGGGAAGGCCGAGACCATTCATCATAATAGGGGGGGAAGCCAAAAGGCATTCATCAAAGGAGGGAGGAGGCTATTGAGTGAGTCAGTAGGAGACCATTGAGTGAGGGAGGAGGCACACATCGTTGATGGAGGAGACAGTTCGTCGAAGGCGAAAACAAGTCGTCGATGGAGGAGACAGTTCGTCGAAGGCGGAAACAGGTCGTCGATGGAGGAGACAGTTCGTCGAAAGCGGAAATAGGTCGTCGAAGGAAGAGAGAGGTCGTAGAGGGAGGAGACAGGTCGTCGAGGGCGGAGACAGTTCGTTGAGCTTAGATCTCAGAAACCATTTGTTGAGGGGATACCAGTTGTCGAGGGCGGAGACTTATCATCAAAGGGGAGAACATCCGTTGAGGGAGGAGATCGTCTGCTGAAGGAGGAAGAGAAAGGAGGCCGTTGGTCGAGGGAGGGAAGAGGCCTTTCGTCATCTCTACCTAGGGAGGAGACCCTTCGTCGCGAGAGGAGGCCGCTGGTCGAGGGAGGGAGAAGGTGTTCGTCGCGGGAAGGCTGTTCGTCGACTTATGAATCGGAGCTTGCGTGGGTGTGGTGGGAAGGAAGAACATGGAAGAACTTGGGAAGAACAAGGAATTTTCGCGCTGACAACATGATCACCTGATGTCGGAGTTTCAACGGACTTCAACAAATTGTCTTGTTGACTGAGGACAAAGGCGATACAAATGATAGAAATTCGGATGACCAGGATTAGACTACAACATGACTTGTAACTGACTATTCCTCGACTTCAGTTAGGCCGTGAAAACTTTGCAGATACATAACTGAGCGCCACATGACTTTGCATTTACCAACGTGACTTCACATGACCTTCTTGTGAGAGGTAGATGACTTGACCTGACTTTCGTTTTTACTGAGGGTGACTACTTACATGTGACTCTGCCAAAATGTGACAATCTAATTAGCTCTCATACACAACTAGTATTTTGCCGCAATACGGGCGCCAGGAATGCGTCTAGGAAGACTTAGCTACCTCCTTTCGACTCAGCGTTAATGTTGTCCAATGTAGTGTGGCATCAGTTGACAATGACATAATGGTCCCCGATTTCTGTTCAAATGGCATGGAGAGAGGAATGAGGGCTGTTGACCTGAGATGACTCTACTGGCTCTTGCTTGAGTGCCGGTGTCGTCCATGTTCAAGGTGCACTTTGAGATATTCGTCACGGCACAAGTTGCAAGTAGCCATATTGCACCACCATTTTGCACCGCCGCCGCCAACCTTCCTTGCGTTGATTTTTTTTTTCTTAGAATGAGTCCTCAAATATGCTATAAGTAGATAGGAATATCGCGAAAATCTCCAGAAATTGTCTCAAATATGCTATAAACGCAGAGGAATATTACGATTTTTGGCCTCTGAAATATGCTATTTTCGCACAGACATAGGTGGGAGCTTCCCGGGGCCTAGTATGGTACCCACGAATTACTTCCTGGTTGCTGATGCCTTACAGAAATGTTCTATGTAACTTAATGTGATTTAAATGGAACATACCTATGGCCAGAAAACGCCCTGGGCCTCCGCATCCATTGAAAGTAAGTAGGTATTTTGTTGTGGAAAACGATACTCAGGGTCCAAAGTTTTGACATATTGATGTAGCTGAACGGGGTTTCTGGGGTCGCTGCTTATAAATCAGATCATAGCTTACGAAAATGAAGCTGGCGGAAGACTGTTTCCATAATGAATAAATAAATTTACCATGTGTCAAAAATTTAGACAGAGCCAAGTGCCCTAAATTTTAGAAAGTTATCTGTGAAACCCATGGATTTCACTTTATTTTTCCAAAGATAGAAAAACAAAATCTTCCCTGAACTTTACCACTGTGGCAAAGTTATGGTGACAAACCATAAGATTATCCCTTGATAAGAGATGATTAGATTAAATTAACCGTAACAATATCAAAAAGGTTTTGAGCGTTTTCGCAAAGCTGTCATGCCGTGAGAAAAGCGGCTAATGCCCAGAAGAGGTTTGATGCGCCGACTTCTTTTACTTTGATGCAGCTTTGTAACGCTTCGGGCCCCGCCTCTACGCTTCCTGATTTCATTTGGAGCTTATCGAGTTAGAGTCATTGACCCTCCTACCGTTGGCGGCTGGGCTCAGGTCTAAAATCTTTTCGGAAGGAAGGATTTCAAGATGCTTCTTGACGTGATGGGGTCCTCGCTACATTGCGACCATGACATTGGTCGACAATTCGGTGTGACCTCGTAATTAATCAAGTGTGACCTCTACCATTATACACGCCAAGATAGTATGTTTCGTCTTTTTGCTGCTTGTGCGGAGACTTGCATGCAAAAACTAGTTAGTCCAATGATATGTCTATAGAAAAGAAAGATGTCTACCGTTGGCCTAAAAAATAGGCGGATGTTTATGAAATAGCAGGTTGCCAGTAGTTGCACTGGGCTTGAATCGAAACCCCAGCCTTTGCATGATAGATGCGGTTGGTTATACAGCCCGATCAGACCACTTCACCATAGCTCAACTTATAGCATGTAAATAGAAAGAAGTATTATGGGTCTAAGCCTGCTTGATATCAGCGGCCTCGCGCGGCATAACGAAGTTGATGTGTCATCATGTTTCTGTAACACTTCCTTCTTAACCGACCATGGCCCGCTCGTTACTGGCTGGCATTTAAGTGGATGGTATGCCGTGCGCCGCCTGCGTTACTCTGGTTTTACCGTGTGACCTCGAGGGTGCGGTTCCCCCCACAAGGTTTTCTCTTCGCTTGGATTTGAGTAAGCTTGTCGATAACATGGGTACGCGGGTTGATGCCAATTCTCTATGCGCATGTATTGACTGCCCTCCAGTTCCTCACTCCCTCATGACTGGCTTTGCCCCCTGACAGCTCATGGCAGCCAATGATATGGCACCATGGCAGTGCCCGAGCTCACACAACAAATGTTCGACGCCGACAACGTGCGACAATCTCAAAGCCAGGATAAGACGATGAAGGAGGGTACGTACCGTCTGGTGTTTCACAGGGGTTATTCGTTTATTGTCATCCAGAATCCTCAGTCCCCTAATCAACAGCGTTATAGACCAAGAGATTCGAAGAATTCTCTTCGCTACAAGCAGCTCAAGGATGGCCGCATCCTTTTGGGTTACAATGTCCACAAGGTGTCTACTCTCCTAGCCAGCACTAGAAGCCCTTAGGGGTCTGATGCAATCAAATAGTGCACAGAGCACTGCTGCAGGTCGGGTAGGCACGTTTCACTGTAAACAAAATGGTAAGTACTCCCTGTCGCGTGGAGTCTTGAATAACTAAACGAACCTTTGTATTGGCAGTTCTTGAACACCCCCAATGCCATTCAACATACTACACGGCCCGCAATCCCTCAGGCTTCGACACGGTGTATCGCCGTCTCTACGCGCGGGTCGCTTGCGGACATTGGATGGCGTTGGGTCGCGGTTGAGAATCTCTAGAAGAGAAGAATAAAAACGTTCGTTAAGTCTTTCAAGACGTTAAGCACAAAGAAGTACTTACCCGTTTCGTTTTCAGCCATCACCACCTCTTGAAACCTGCCTTGTGGGTCGACACGCCACCGCCTCATATCGACGTCCGCCTTCTCTCGTCTTTTCCTTTTCCCTTCATGTGTTGTCGATTCCACCACGTTGTCCTGCATCCCTCCAGGCACGAAGACGACACGCTATCACACCTGGGCTTGCCTTCGAGGCACAGGCGTGCACTAAATCACCTCGAGAACAGGTTTCTTGGCACGTCTCGCAGAAGACGAGGACTAGCCACAGAAAATTATGTACGTGTGCCTGGTGTTCTCCTGCCATGGGCTTTCCAACTTGTCTGGGCGCTTGCACTGGTACTTGGGATGACGACGAAAGTTGTAGTTATATTATTTCGCAAAGGTATGACCTTGTGCATCCCAACCATCTCAACCTTCGTAAACTTCCTCATTCGTACAAGAGTAATCCGCACAGGGATCCTTTCGGAACCATAAGTGAGATTTCAAAAGAAAGATAGGAAAACATACGGCTGAGCGCTCCGCAGAAAACGTATTGATAGAAAACACACACTGCAGCTCGCTAGAATAGGTCACTTTACATGGAAAGGACTTCTTCAAATCGAGGGTGTTGAGAGAGCCATAAGGGAACATCTCGAGTATACGTGTGAGCGCTACGCAGAAAACGTATTGATAGAAAACACACTGCAGCTCGCTAAAATGGGTCACTTTACATGGAAAGGACGTCAATTGGCTGGGATCATACAGCGAAGCTTTTATTCAATTCACGGTTAATCCATGCGTGCACGTTGGAGTCGCCGCAGCTTCTGAATATCAAAGAAAGTAGTACCTAGAAATTTACGTGTGAGATTAGTGAAAAGAACGGTGGAAACAACACACTCTAACTGAAATCAGGCCATGCTTGGTGCGAGGGCTTTTGCTCATTCAAATCGAGGGTGTTGAGAGAGACATAAGAAAATACAATCGACGACGGACGTGGCCAAAAACAGGGTGGTAACATCACATGACCACACCATGAGTTATGACTTCAACTTGAAGTTCCAAAGATATCGTTCAATATACTTCGTATAATGGAAATAAAGTGTTTTCCAAGTGTTTTCTTTCGCAGAAAACATATGAAAGTCCAATCTACGGCTACAGACTTTCCAAACAATCAATATGAATACTTATGTGGATATGCAAAGAGGTTTTCGTTAAGTTTTCGTATGACTTTCAAGAAGAAATACTGAAACAGTACTGAAACCAGCTGTTTATTCACGGAAAACATACGCGTTGTCACCCATGCCTACAGGCAGCTATTAGTTTTCATTTCATATTGTCACGTACTCAGAATTCGTGAAGAAGCGGTGCCAGTTCCCCCAAACACCCCTCGGAAATCAACTTCTCTTACCAAATACAGACCTGAGCCCAGCCGCCAACGGTACCCTCCCCTGTCTCCAACGTTACGTCAACCCATTTGGGGCTGCCAATGGATATAGATGCTAGTGGTGTTTCGTATTGTTCGCAGCCCTTTACCAACTGTACGTCATGCGAATACTTATGTCGGTGCGCCGCAAAGATCAAGGCAAAGATCTGCTGTTATGGAATTCAGGATTAAGAAATGAAATCCGAAAGGGTGCCATCTGAGGTATCGCAGTTATCAAACTCTCAATACTGCGGATCGGTAGCGACGAAAGGCCGCTGTGCGTCCTTTCGTATGCAATGGCCTTGAGAAACCTAACAGACGGGTAGTAGTTATTAGAGGGCAAGCATTACTTCATCTTCGTCAAAGTCGCTACCGCCGTATTACTACTATTCAAATCTTTGTAGATGCCAGGAAGAGCGAGAAAGTAGGTCGCAAATAGACACCCATCCCTGAGGGGGAGGGCCGACCATGGCGGCAACTATGCCCATTCACAAATCAATGAGGCTCGGAAGTTAGCCTGTATATTTCCGAGGTTGTGGAGCACGAACAAGGAGATCAGCAAGTAGAAATTTTAATCGAAAAGTGCGATGAAATTTTCCTCTGAATCCACAGCATAGCTCAATCTTACTGTTGTAAGTTGTTCCCCAGGAATTTTTTCTCGGAAGAACACATCCAAATCAGCCAGCTTGCCGATGGAGCGCCCTGCAAAGTTGTCCCACATGGAACATGTTCCAAACCAAAAGTTCACATATGTTTTTCGGTTCGGTAGAGTCCTTTTTAGCCAGAGGCGCACAAGATGAAGGTACGCCATCTTTGGCCAAATCACGCACACCGACGACCACAAGCTGGAGATGGATCATACCCAGGGACGCCAGTGCGAATAAATATGGCAGAGATCCAATGCGTTCGTGCTATCGTTCGGGTGAGCAGCAATGCGCGAGGATCAGTGGAGGGCGTCCGGCACCAGGATTGTCGTCCAACACATAGTGTCGAAAGACCTCTGACAGAATCTGGGGCGAAAGGGACACTGATTGGATGGAGAGGGTGTATCAAAGTCACGCAGAAGGAGTCAATGACGCGAGATTGGTCAGATGGATCGTGCAAGGTGAAGTTTTCGGCGGGACGGCCTGAGAGGGGTAGGTTCGGGAAGAATTTCAAAAGAAAGCGCTATGTGCTCGAGGCGAGTGGCCCTAGAGGGCCCAGACGAGGAGGGCAGCTGTTGGTTTGGTTTCGGGGGGAAAGGTGTGAAGTGATTGTGGATCTGATAAGTGATGTCGACGAGAGGCAGCCAGCGTTGGTTTGACGGTGAAGACACGGATGAGGGAGGTTGAATAGGTCATTCGAGGGATGGTGCGCCTCTACACGATACAGAGACCGGGGCCGAATATGGCGGCCCCCGACATGTGGAGGACCGAGGTAGAGCCTGGTATCCCCATCCATTCCCTTCAAGACGACCCCCTCTTCATCACCAGCTTTTCACAGCTCATTAACACCCCTGCCATTGCAGCCGCACTTTCAGAAAGGGCCACCTCCCTCCCTGCGCGAAGAGAGCCGTTAGATGCGAAGTGCATCGGGTTCCACTGTGGGTATTGGAAAAGTGACGTTGACATCGCGAGGCGACGCGGGTGTCAAAAATGGGGACTAGCATGAGGAGGCACACCCCGAGGATTCCTCAGAAGACAACATTCTGGCTCAGCTTCAACGAGACGTTGTATTTTGTTCTTTCAGTATCGCATAATGCACCGCAAGCTCTCTCTACCCATCGTTGTGTCTCCTACGATGGCCATGAGCGTAGGTATTTCCGGTGTGAGGGAGAAGAAAAAAAGGGGAGAAGGTCGGAAATTACTGTGTCACGTGTGGATCACTCAGGGATGGCGACATTTGGGCGACCTACTTTCTCGCTCTTCCTGCCATCTACAAAGATTGAAATATGGCGGTAGCGACTTTGACGAAGAGTCACTGAAGTAATGCTTGCTCTCCATCTTGCTCTCCATAGCCGCCCCTGATACTACTTAATCTCTCAACGCTATAGCAGGCAAAAGGACATACAGCGAAAGGCCGACCAATACAGGACCAATCCGCAGTATTTAGAGTTCGATAACTGCGATTCTCAGACGGCACCCTCTCAGATTTCATTTGAATTCCATAAAAGCACATCTATGCCTTGATCTTTGCGGCGCACCGAGATATTCGCATGACTTACAGTTGGTATTATAAAGGGGTTGCAAACTGGCGAACAATACGAAGCGACAGCATTTATATCCATTGGCAACCCCGGCCCCCGGTTGGGTTGACGTCACGTTTTGGACATATCCTTGTATGCACGTTGGTTGATTCATGAACAGTTTGTCAATCAGGAATCTAATGTTTTTCTTTGGCCCTCTTAGCCCCATGTCGGCCGACTTGGTAAAGCCGCATGACTCCCAACAATCAACGCCATCTCCAGCCCTACCGCACAACATGCATACCAACGCCGTTTCATCTCCTTCCCATCATCTCTCACTGGCTGGAACTTCGATGATGGCACTCCCGCAAGACGTCTTTAACCTCGTTATCGACGAGCTGGGCCGCTTACCTGATGTCAAAACGCTCCGAGCATGCTCCATGACGTGTAGCTCCTTCCGCTGCCCATCACAATCACACATCTTCCGTCGCGTTGACCTGGGCCGCCGTACCCCCAGAAAGAAGTACTTTCACCGCTTCGCCTCTCTGATATCCAAAACGCCTCGCATCGGCACGTACGTTAGGGATCTGCGGATTGAGGACGACTGGGGCCGGGACGTTGTGAATGGAGTCGTCATTACGTGGATTGCGCATTCTGAGCATCTTGTTCAGCTGTTACCCATGCTCACCCGCCTGATGTCGTTAACGCTGAAGTTCAACTCAGGCTTTGCGCCTTGGAACTTATTTACGAAGGACGTTCGTACGGCAATCATTAATACTCTGAGATCTCCTGGAGTTGTATCGGTGTCTCTTTCGCACATTGAGGCATTCCCACCTGCGATCGTGTCGTCCCTGGTTAGGTTGAAGCATTTGCAACTCTCGGCAATCAAGCTAGACAAAACCTCTTCGCAAGATGAAGCCTCGAATGTGCGACCGGAGTTTCTTCTGAAGTCCCTTGATTTCGCAAGCACTTCGAGTACCACGGTCAGGTTATTGCATGAAATCATTTCTTTTTCATCTGCGACTACGCTCCGTAATCTTTCTCTTGCACCGCCCGAGCAAGATGATCTTGGTCCTTGTGTATGGTCCTTGATGCAACTCCCAAATGTTGCACAGCACCTGACGCACTTTGAATGGATGCCAGTACACATCCGTGTGTTCTTTCCGATGTCTATACACTTCTAATTTATTAATGCTTCTTTATAGACGCTAGAATTGGACCCATTGACATCAGTATTCTACCCAATTTACGCTCGGTCAGGATTCTTGTCAGCCTTCGACAGGACATGCCTTTCGCCCAGCTCCTTCGCCTCCTCAACCAACCAACGTCACGAGCAAATAAGATTCAAACTATTGCCATGATCTTCGACCTGACGGATCTCCCGCAATTTCGCGGCGCCAGCGGTTGGGTCATGTTGGAAAACACTCTGATGAAACTAGCTTACGGGAGATTGAAAGAAATGAGGTTGGGTTTGACGGAAAGCGCCTGGTTAAGTTTGGAACGTAAAAAATGCCCTCTTTCGAAAGCAACGGTGGTTGCACTTCTGGAGGACTAATTTCCTACCTTGCGGGCGAGAAAGGGCGTTATTGTTGTAGGTGATGAAGGTGGCGGGCGTTCATGATGTCTTCAGAGCTATACATCACATTTCGCCGCTGTCAGGGTGGTGATAACGACTCTTCAACCTTCAATCTTGATCCTATGTGACGCAGTGCCAAGCCGCTCAATGCCCTTGATCTGTTCGTGAGAATATCCGATGGATGAATGATCAAACGCTTTTTAGGTTTTTGGTCTTCTAGGGTCACCAAAGTGTACCCTTGATCGAAATTTTGATTTCCTCGCAGCTCTTTCCTTCCATCAGCCTCCATCTCACACTCACAGGACTTGCAACAAGTTTTTCCGTCTACCCGGTCGAGTTTAGGGTTGAATCGCATCTGGGTGCAGTATCACGAGCAATAGCACGGTAAGCTTATTCATGCGCGCATGCCACAACAATCGCCCAACATACTTATCAGAAGTGTTGTCAGGCAACCCTCAGGTCTACCCCCGACACATAAACTTCTCCAATATGGTCGAGTTTCCCTACGAGATTTTCTACCTCATCATCGAAGAAGTAGAAGACAAGTTGACGTTGAAATCCTGCGCCCTTGTGTGCCGCTCTTTTGTTGAGCCCAGCCAGAAGAACATATTTCGCGTCATCGACCTCGGTGACCGCTGTATTACCGGGGAGGTATATTACAGACGGTTTTACCGCTTAATTTCCACTCACCCTCATATCGCGAACTACGTCCGCGATTTCCGCCTCGTCGACAGTTATGTCTGGGATCGCAAAAGCGATTGGCAATGGTTGGTGAAGGAACCCACCCTCCCGTTGACGTTTCAACTGCTTCCACGGCTTCAAGCGTTCTCCTTGATATTCACCACTGGAGAGCCCGCGTGGAATTCATTTGCGAGCCACGTCCAAGCCGCAATTTTCAAATTACTCACTAGGCGCACCATCTCTTCGCTATCCTTGCGCCGTATACATGGCGTTCCCGCCTCGCTCCTCGTTCACTTCACGCGCATAAAACATCTAGAGCTATATGAAGTTGAAATGGACCCTTTGAAAGCGTCTTTCAAAGATGATCCGAGCTATCAACGAGACTTGCGTCCTGAGCTGCGGTCCCTCACTCTGAAATCTCCATCTTCGTCGGTGGTGAAGGCGATCTTTGAATTGCTATCCTTTTCATGTCCTTCAACTCTCGAAAACCTTAGCATCATTTCCGCGAACGAGAAAGACGAGGTGTTGCGCAACGACTTGTGGACGTTGATTGAATGGATGGGGTCTTCCATCTCTCGGCTTTGGTGGAGACCGCGAACGCATCCTAAATTTCCGGCACTTGGTAATGCACTATCTACTCATACTTAATTGTCGTTAACAGCTTCTGTTCTGGACAGGTCCCCTATCTCCGATAGACTTGGCCGTACTGCACAATTTGCGCTCTTTGCAATTTCTTGTAAATTTTCATGCGGATGATCCTGCAGTCTTTGCACAACTGCTTTTCCTCCTTGGGCGTGTGGCTTCAAAACGGAATTTCGAGCAACTCGTTATCGAATGCGTATTTCTTAATCCCTTGGAACTTGCGGTAGCCAAAGATGGATGGTCCGCACTTGACGCAATGTTGATGAAGGAGGAATTTTCTGGGCTTCGGTCTGTCATTTTTTCAGCCCAATGCAAGTCCGCTTCGATGCTCAAGACTTCGGCGATGGCTTTCCTGCGTGAGCAGCTGCCCTTAGCTCGAGGTAGAGGTATCACCGTCGGATTCGACATGAATGGTCCTTGAATTGGTCGCTCGGTGATGGAAAAGGATGCCGAACCTCGGGTCGAGGGGTCGGGCAGATATCATGACGTGACGTCGTTTAATGTTAGCGAAGGTTTTCAACAGTTCTATCTTCTATTTATGACGAGGTCGGTGGGTTGGTCAATAAAATTAAAAATACCAATAGACTAGAAACAAGCCGTTTACGAGAGCTCCAGTGAATATTGAAATGACTTGGAAATGACAGGTTATAGTAAGGACACGCATCCATTGTTCTTACCGCTACTCTGAGAAACAACTCAACCATGCCCACATTTAGATAGACACCTCTTAAAAAGCTGTACATACGAAGCGCAAGCATCCCTCTTTCGTTCTTGCAAGTAAATGTCCTAGTCTGGCAGATTGGTCTCGACCGAGAGTTGGCCAAGCCGAGGCTCGTCGGTGATCGCGTTCTCGACCGACTGATCCGTGCGTAAACTCGTGACTCCAATGTTACAAATAAAACGACCCTTTCCTTTCCTCCTGGCGTTCACAGGATCTCTTGTACTCTACTTAATGCCGTCGATACCAATTCCACAAGAGATTCTCGAGACAATCATCGCCCAGCTAGGGTTTATAGGCGACGACGATTCCCTCAGAGCTTGCACTCTCGTCTCCCACTCATTTCTGTCCGCCGCCCAACCTTATCTGTTCCGGACCGTGCGCTTGGACCACATTGACGACAGAAGAAAGCGGCATGAGCATTTTCACATTCTTCTTCTTGAGAAACCCCGCCTAGGCACATACGTCTACAACTTGCGTCTTGGGGATGAGCATGACGGCAGTTTTGGCGAAACCCCTTCCTCTTGGATTACGGATACAGAGTACCTTTGCAAGATCCTTCCATTCCTCAACCGGCTCCAGACATTTTCTTTGTCATTCAGCTCTGAGATGACAGAGTGGAGTTCAATGAGCAGGAACGCTCGTGTGGTTTTAGAAAATTTATTCGAGCTTCCATCCCTCCGATCCGTTGCCCTGCAGTTTATAAGTGGAGTCCCCGCCCGTCTACTACTATCCTTGACAAAACTGGTCGATTTATCCCTCTCCTCTGTTCATGTCGACGTCGAAGACTCCTTATCAGAAACCACGCAACCAGCGAATCTTTCTGAGTTGGTCCTTCGTGGTTGCTCGCCTCGCACTATCCTTACGCTCCATTCCACACTTCGAAATTCTCCGAAATCTTTGCAAAGACTTATCCTCACCCCGACCCACGACACGAATTTTTGCGCATCTGTTTGGGAACTAATGAGGGAAGGGGGCAGCGGAATCACACAATTTGAGTGGCTGCCGTCCGCGCACTACTGTAAGTCGTTTCGTTTTAATGATAGCTCAACCAAATATCTAAAACATACAGTCTCATCCATCGGGCCTATCGACATTGGTGTCCTTTCCGATATTCGTGTTCTCCGGTACTCCGCAAGCTTTCGCCAACGAAGCCCTGTCAATCAACCTTTGAACGACTTCCTTAGTCTCTTGGGGCAGATGTGCAAACAATCTAACCGGGTCGAAACCATCATACTGGAGTGTCATTACATCAAAGGGGACGATGCGAAACAACCTTCTGTGGATTGGAAGGCGCTTGATGCCTTACTCAGGCGAAAAGAGTTTTGTGCGTTGCAAAAAGTATCGGTCCGGCTCTCAGTGTCTTCGTGCCCAACTGTGGAGCGCTGGAAATTCAAAGGCGCATTTGCTTATCAGTTGAAAGATACGCGGTCTCACGGTGTAGACGTATCCATTGAGGACCATTGGAGTTCAGCTATGAGATGGTTGGCGTGAGGCGCCCAGTCACTGGTCGGTTCTATTTTTACGCCGAGCTCCCCATGCATAGTTTGTTTACACGAGTCCTCAAGGCGTGAAGCTACAAGGTCGTCAAACGATTTCTACTTCGTCAGTGCTAAGCTAAGAACTTATTACCACAATGATTAACCTCATTATTCAGATTTTTATAGAATTTTTTCTGTCTTTGTATCGGATCTTTCAAATACTATTCCCCCCCCCCTATTTTGTACCGACAAGTTTTGGAAACGGAATGCAGCCGAGTTCGAATTACTATCATCTCCCTATTACAATGTTTCTCAAGTTCCAAATCTTCTTAAATTGATGATTTTCACTCAGTACCAGCCTCCGACTTTCCTATTTATCTACTTTCCCAAGTCACATCTCCAGTTTGATTCTTCGCATTCTCAATTTTCCACACTACTTTCCACGCACTTACCCCACAAAGCAGGTACCGCTCTTAGCTTCATTTTTCCTCTTAAATAGTTGATCCACCCCTTATGCGAGTGTTAAGTTTCGTTCGCCTTCGTATTTCAATGTCCGGACTCCGGCACTTAAAAAATAAAATAAAGAACCCCTCGATATGCGCAAGTATCCCAGCACAACATCGGAAAAATGTATACTGAACTTGTTAGTGCATTGGCTGTGTATGCGCCAGCAAAGCGACACGCGCGATATCTGGGTTCAATTCCCAGACAAAAACCTGAAGATTAGAGTAGCAATTTTTGCAAAAAGAGTATGAATTGATTTTCCGAGTCGGAGAGCCATATTTGATGGAACCACAGCTTGGGTTTGCGAGCCCGTCCTCTTATCCCCAACCCACTCCACAACATATCCCAAAGTCGGCCACTCCACCCCTCTTCCATCACCTCAACCATACACTCCGACATGTTAAAATCCGGCCCCCTGCTCACCTCCCACAATACGAAGCTCGCCTCGCACCGGTTTGACCTCGTTCGATAATCAAAACCACTTTTGCTCTTCTCAACCTGATTTTGTCCATCCAAGGAATGAATCTCTTAAATAGGGTGTCACAAAGTAGGTCTCTTGCCGAGATCTCAAAGTTAAAATTCGTCACGACCACCCTAATCGTTCTACCACTATTAGGGTAAGCTACACACGTATGTATGTACATTACGGGGACAGGTAATCATAAATAATAGAATGACGCCTTTATGAAGGTACTAGGACAACAAAGACGAGTCAATCGAACCGAGCTAATCGGGGTATATCGTGTTACCGCCATGCCATCGTAGGGTTTTCTAAAAGTGAACCTTTTCCTCCGTAACCTCGCTCTCCAGCTGATGCCACAGTGAATCATCTATTTCGGCAGATCTGAGCGTGGAGGAACAAGACCGGGCGTTGCGTAGAGCGCCACGGCAATGATTTCTGGAACAGCAAGCAGAGGATACCAGAAATGTTCGTTGGTTTGCTTTAATAAGTCGTTAACGGTCGCCATCGAAAAGGCTTCTCGAACCAGAAGAAGTGCGGCGACGAGGAGGAGAATGTATACTCCATACCTCATCCCGAATGATTCGTTGTCTTTCCTGTACTGGGACGTTCCTGAGACGGTAAAGGTGAGCCAAAATTAAATATTTGAAGACGAGAAAGCCCACCCACCAGAAAGTTCTGATCTTGCCAAGTGAAGAGTCTGCAAGGCTTGCAGGATCGTGAGCACCAGGAACATGACCGTGCTGATCACATGGAGGGTTTTTCCGGTGTGCGCAGTGCTAGAGCTCGAGCTTTGTGACATGGATGTACCCGCGCTCCCAAGGGCGACAGCGAGGACCAAAGCTAATCTGAATATCCTGCGATTGCGTGTGAGGGCGATGATTGGGTTTCTAGGTGGTGGGCTGTCGTTGAGTAGTTCACTAAGTCCCCAGGTCAGCTAAATCGTATCTCAAATTGGAGGAGAGGGGAGGAAAGGACCCACCGATCAAGTACAAGGGTATACGCAGAGTAGAGTAAACCGAAGAATCCAACTCCAAATAAGATTTCATCTCCAATCAATAGACCCAGATTTTCTCCTGCTGATGAGGCGCTAGCTAGCAACGAACGAATGACGAACGCCGTGATTCGAACTTAAAAAGCAGTGGTTCGTTAGCAACACTGGGCGATATAGTTTTAAAAAAAAACCTTACTAGCACAGAAAAGCGAAAGTACAATATGCACGTAGGTCGGGTGTTTGAACGATTGCAGTATGAACCAATGGAATAGGGGAACGTAAAGGGTAGCGAATATGACTGCTGCTGCAACAGAGTTGAAGCCGATGGCATGTGCGTAGTTGACTTGGAGTCCCGATGCGGACATCGTCTTCTGTGAGAGGCGGGTTGATTGGGTTCTTGTTCGTTGGCAACCTCCTGTTCAAGCCCTCTTTATTGACTTTCGGATGTTCGGTTATTGTGGCGGTGTGATGCGCGGTCTAAAGAAAGCACCATGATCTATAATTAGCCTGCCTGACGGCTACTCGCTTAGCCTCACTACTGTAAATCGCAGCATCTCCCGCAGCAACCATTGCCTGCGAAGCAAGTTTAGACCAGCCATTCGGGGCGCTGCAAAGGGAACGGACATGGGGCGTGGGCGACATTGTCTTCTTACGGTTCATCTCTTCGGCATAGGATCGGACACAAGATTGTAAGTATTTCGCGTCGGTCGGAGGCAGGAGCCACTTCAGCTACGGTAGGGTGCAAAATGGCTTGGACGTTCAAGTTAAGTATATATAGATATCCTGATCAAAACTCACCGGTGGGGAGGGAGCTTGTCGCTTGAATGTTGCTCAATTCTCTCGGACGACGAGACTGAGCGATATAAAGTTTAAAACGGTATTAAACAAAGCAAAGCTCACATAAAACGCTGATCCAGTATCCTTCTCCGTCCGGGTGTACATTTCCAGATATATGTCTGCGCTCTTCAACGGTAAAAGTTCAGGGATTTTCCTGGATAGGACCCTCGGATCATAACCTGCACACGGGTAAATCTGAAGACCGAGGTCATTGAAGCATCTGCAAGTGACGCGACTGCGCGTCGGTCGGAGGCAGGAGAGGATCCAATATCCTTCTCCGTCCGGGTGTACATTTCCAGATATATGTATGCGCTCTTCAACGGTAAAAGTTCAGGGATTTTCCTGGATAGGACACTCGGATCATAACCTGCACACGGGTAAATCTGAAGACCGAGGTCATTGAAGGCTTGAAGCATCTGCAAGTGACGCGACTGCGTTCAAAGATGAAGTGATCTCTTGTGGAAGGAGGTCCGCGAATGGTGGATCGATGGACAAAATTTCAGAGGCGCACGTAACTCGTGTGTCGACCCCCGCCCCCCCCAAAAAAAACGCCAATGGAAAACAATCCACTTTCAAAACGAGCAAAGCGACGGACTATAGACAACGGAACGGATACATGGGTAATATGTACACGTAGAATGCGGCATGAGGTGGTGCGTGAATAGCGTGGATGAAATGAAAATGCGAGGGAGTATATGCAAGAGAAGACGACACGTCACACTAAACGCGGACGGAGGGGAGATGCGTATGGATACAAAAAAGGGTGACAACTCGAGCTTAAAGCCCCAAGTTTTCTATAAAAGAGCGGATAAGAAATTTTTAAAGTTGACAAGCAACGATAGCAGAGATTCGTTAGGGCATCGAGCGTGGGTTGGTTCATTTCATGATCGTGAGGAGGGCGTCAAGCGTAAGGATCATGATGAGGATAAAGATAGCGTCAAGCGTCAGGCGCCGAGTTGTGGGTTTTTGTGTGTGGCAAGGACAACGGTTGTGCGAGTGAGACGAGGGCGGCTGTGCGAGTTGATGCGCAGGGACTTGGACGTCAAATGGGTATGGGACAGAAAGACGTCCGGTCTAAAGGAACTGAATGGATCATCAGCTCAAGCTTCCACCTATGCTTATAAAAGAATATACGCACTAGAACGGGGAGGCGGGGAGTAACCGCTCGAACCAACGTCAAGACTCTCCAAACACCCCAAGTCGGTCGAGAAACCCACCAGCGGTCGTCGAGACCTCCATTCACGAAGTGGATGGAGTGTTACACGGCTGGATGCGGAGAAAAGCGGGTAAGCGAGGGTGAAGATGATTGTGAGGAGCTGGAAGAGGGCCAGTGAACCTAGGCAAAGGAGGATGGGAGGAAGATAGGCGTCGTGAACTCATGGCAAGATGGAACATCTCGAAACACCCTCAATCCAAATCAACATCCATCCCCTCATCCTCAACCATCATAGCCATCAACACATCCTCAAGCACCGATCCCTCACTTCCCTCCTCCCATCCACCCTCCTCTTTCTCCCATTCCACCTCAGCTCGCAAAAAGACACCACGCAAAGGCGATTTCCTCCCCCTCGCCAACCCCAACCCCGTCCCATCCAAAGAAGAGGGACACCGAGCGAGAATGGAACGATAGCGCTGCCTCTGCTTACCTGCGTTTCGGAGGAGGAGGATGGCTGTTAAGTGGGAGGGAGGTGGGAGGGGGGGTGCCTTAGTTGGGGTGGATGGGCGATGTGTTGAGGAAGAAGGGCGGGGAGGTGATGTTGACATGGTGCGTGGTGGTAAATCAGACGGGAAGTGGACCCGTGGAAGTGGAGCAGAACTTGGAGGGAGCGGAGCGTTCCGAAGTGCCACTGGCGTACACGGAGAAGAAGGAGGGACGGAGGGAATACCAGACTCAACCTCCACGTCCATCCTATCATCCTCATCCTTCAAAAACGGATCCATCTCTTCCTCCCTCTCAACCTGAAAAACAACACCTCGAGGATCAATCCCATTCTTCAACAAAAAACACCGAAGCTTCAAGGAAAGCTTTATATCCTGTTCTTCCAATAACGCATGGTGAACCGCCGTCTCTAGCTCTTCTTCGATTTCGGAGTCGAGGTCCGAGTCGTCTGAGTCGTCGAATCCAGGGGACGAGGAGCCTGGGGTGGGGGATGTACACCTTGGCGTGGTGCTGGCAAGACGGCGCTTGCCAGCGTGCCTCTTCATCCCAAGCGCGAAAATCGTATGATAGATACACGCGTTGAGCTTGATTTCAGCGGTGGGTGCTCGACGGGGTGGAGGCGCAGCAGGCGTAGTGGCGGGCTTCAAGATCGACTTGGAAACCCCAGTGGTGCGAGCGCGTTTCCGTGGTGGTGTCGTTGGCGTAGTTGGCGGACTAACACTAGAAGAAGGCGAGGTGATTCGGGATGCTGAGCGTTTACGGCGAATCGAGGGGGACGTCACGGACGTCGATATCCGAGGTCGAGGCCTCACAGGAGTCGGTGACGAGCGTAATAGCGCATGTGTGCCCCCGCCTCCAGCAACAGACGGAAACGGAACAACGTTCGCTTGGACGTGAGGCAGATCAACCGCCATACGATGTTTCCCGGTATGAGCAGAGACGCTGGCGAGAGAGAGCGTGCACGTCGGCAGCGACTTGCGCTGGATCGAGGTGGATCGGGGGACGTTGGTCGTATCGAGCAGCAAGCCAGTCATCACGGGGGACAAGGGAGGAAGGGGAACCAAGGACAAAAATAACAACGCCTGGCTTTTATAAGAGATCAGATCAACCCCATCAGGTACGCGGACGCGTTTGTCACGTGTCCCCCATTGCTCTCTCAAGTTCCGTCGCGCCTCGAGGCTTCAACAACGTCAGCTGGGCTCCTACGCCACTGGGGTGAATTGAGCTGGTGCAGGTAGACTTTGGGAACGTGCTGCTAGAGAGTGAGCCTCGAGGACAATGCAAGGGCCGAATTGGCGACCCTTGTTTCAATTTCGCGGCCTTGACGACACTTGAATCTCTTGTCCTACAGGCTGGGGTTATAGGGGTGCGGACAATGGGTGCTGGATATTAAACAATGCCTAACGTCGACGAGGGGTGCGTTCAGAATCACGCGAGTTTTTTGACGTTACCTCACATCCGTCTCGCCAGCTGCATGATTTTCGTTCACGTTCAACAGGCTACCCAACGTCCCATCTGTAACCGTCTCCACACATACACCGGCAAGTACATCTGCACAAATATCTGCGACATCATGATATCGGACACACAGAAACTGGGTTCGACTCCCAGGCGAAGATTGAGGCATTATATACTGTATCTCTCTTTTTCTCTCGTCGTCAATTACAGCACCACCACCATCGTTTCAATCGTGCACGCCAATACCCAACTAATTGACAATCACAACCCGCCTACCCACCCACCTCTCCTTGAAGCCCACATAACCTCCCCATACCCAACCCTCCGTTCGTATACCGGAAGTACGTGTGCCCGCTATGACAGATAGAAATAGCAAGTACGTGCACAAAGACTGGGTTCGATTCCCAGATGGAGAAGAGGCCGTCAACATTATCAACCCATTTTTGTACAGCTCCCTGGATTTATACCTCCAGCTCCCCAACCAATCGGCAATCACAAAACCCCCGCCTACCCACCCACCTCCCATTCAAGACTGCGTAAGCCATTAGACATGTAACCCTCCGTTCGTATACCGGCAGTACATGTGCTGCTATTTCCAGGCAGGCTCGCTGAATGGTTCGCGCGAAAAGACTGGGTTCGATTCCCAGACAGAGGTGTCAAAGCTCGAACCAATTTTTACAATCGCGCATCCGAGTCACGGTCACAGCTCCCTCGATTTGTACCTGCAATTGACGATTACAAAACACCCGCCTACCCACCCACCTCCCATTCAAGACCGCATAACCCTTACACAACAAACCCTCCGTTCGTATACCGGCAGTACGTGTGCTACCATTCCCAGACGGGTATGAGGTACGCGCAAAGACTGGGTTCGATTCCCAGACGGAGAGGATGGTGTGCCAACTCGACCAGTTTTTACATCGCGCGTCATAGCTCCCTCGATTTGTACCTCCAATTGGCAATCACAAACCACCCGCCTACCCATCCACCTCCCATTCAAGTTCCACGTAAACCCTTACACATGTAACCCTCCGTTCGTATAATGGCATTACGTGTGCTATTATTCCCAGACAGACTTGATGGATGGTACGCGCAAAGACTGGGTTCGATTCCCGACGGAAAGGATATAGGAGAATAGCCTGTTTGGCCAATTTTTTACATCTTGCATTCGAGTCACAGTCCCCTCGATTTGTACTCGCAATTGGCAACACAAAACACGCACCCATCTACCTCCCATTCAACGCCCCATAAACCCTTACACATCCAATCCTCCGTTCGTATACTGGCATTACGTGTGCTACTATTCCCAGACAGACTCGATGGATGGGTACACGCAAAGACTGGGTTCGATTCCCAGACGGAGAAGAGGCGCTAAACATATTCGACCCAATTTTACAGCTTCCCGATCAATTGGTGATCGCAAAACATGCACCCATCTACCTCGTTCCCCTTCAAGTTCCGCGTAAGCCCTCCCACATCCAACCCTCCGTCCGTATACTGGCAGTACGTGTGCCTACTATTATCAGACAGGTTTGACTGATGGTACGCGCAAAGACTGGGTTCGATTCCCGACGAAAAGGATAAAGGAGAATAGCCTGTTTGGCCAATTTTTACATCTTGCATCCGAGTCACAGTCCCCTCGATTCGTACCTGCAATTGGCAATCACAAAACACAAAACACCCGCCTACCCATCCACCTCCCATTCAAGTTCTGCATAAACCTTCTACATCTAACCCTCTGTTCGTATACCGGCAGTACGTGTGTTACTATTGCCACATGGGTTCGTTGAACGGTTCGCACAAAGACTGGGTTCGATTCCCAGACGGAGAAGAGGATTGACATATCCGATACATTTTTTCATGCCGCATCCGAGTCACAGCTCCTTTGAATATTTGTACCTGCAATTGGCAATCACAAAACACCCGCCTACCCACCTCCCATTCAACTCGGCATAAACCCTCCCATAGCTAACTCTTCGTTCGTATACCGGCAGTACGTGTGCCTACTATAGGCCTACTATCTGTGTCTGCATTAAAAGAAGTACGCGCAAAGACTGGGTTCGATTCCCAGACGGACACTCGTAAATGGCATGTCGACCAATTTTTACATCCAAGTCGCGCGTCACAGCTTCCTGCTTGCGGGTGGGTGCTCAAGTGCTCATCAGGAGCAGGCGGGTGTCGAGACATCGTGGTCGCTTCTTCTCATCGTCGCTTGCTAATGAAGCGATTCTTGCTTGTTTCTTGATACTAATGACGTAGTACTTAGTTTGGGGCATGCGGAATGGGCCATAAAATCGCAGAGAATCCGCCATCGCTGATGCAACCCACCAATCGTGCACACCAGTGCTTGCGGCCAATTGGCAATCGCAAAGCACACTCCCATTCAAGGCCTACATACACCCTCCTACATCCAACTCTCCATTCGTATACGGGCAGTACGTGCGCTTACTATTTATTATTCACGGCATTGAGGATGGTATCATGGTACACTCAAAGACGGGGTTCAACTCCCAGACGGAGCGTAAGTGGTAACTGTTTTTTCATCACTGTCTTGTCATTGTCATTACTTACGCTTGGTTCTTCATATTCACAACATAGTCTGTTGCATCTGGAGTGGGTGAATATGTCCCGTAAAATACAAACCAAATACAAACCACCTCGGGCCTGGCGCTTCTTAAGCGCTAGGGGGCCTCAGAGGCCAATTTTTTGTCTGGTGGTAATTGGCCTCTGAGGGGGGTGATCCTGTCACTGCGCACGCTGTCGTTCCAAAATAGCTCCGGCTGATGGTTGCCGTTGTCCGGACACACGCTGCACGTGAGCGCTTGTGCTCGCTTCCAGCGACGAACCTTCTGATGACGAACGACCTCCACCTTCACTGACATATTGCCCACCACCCACTTTCTCCGCTTATGTCTCTTGTACAGCATGCTATGTCACCGAACAGCGAGCGCTGAGCGCAGAGCACTAGCTTTCTACTACGGCGACTAGCTAGCGACAAACCCAACAACGAACTACCTACACTCGGGTAACATATTTGTGCACCAACCACTCACCCCGCCTACCCTCCTCATGCATCATTCTACGTCACCAAACAGGGATTCACGCCGCCGCTGATATCCTGTTCCCGGGGGGTATGTGTGGTATGTATAACCTTCGGGTAGGCACGCGCCAATATCACTTGTTCTTGGGGGGTTACCACTGTCCGAACAGGGTTAACACACATCGGGCATCCCATATTTGGTCTTGGTGGATCAGAAAGGCCAGTCTCGCTACCCTGTTTCTGGATACTTCATCTAAAACACTCAAGAAGCCGACATGCGAGAAATTTGCGCCCTTATCCTTCATTACCCATTCCTGTTTGTCAAGCAGTCAGATCGGCCACCCTACTATCACAGGCCAATCAACCTTCAAGACTTGACGTAGATCGCCACAGCTACTCAACGAACGACACTTTCATCCATCCATCCATCTCTCTCCTCACATGAACATTGGCGTCATACAAGATTGACGCACTCACTTCGTTCCCTTCACCGGGTAACTGGGTTCTTGTGGGGCTGACTGGGTGTAATTTCGACCACAGGCTCCCTTGAATGTTGGCGCTTCGTTCCTGGCGTCGAAGTATAGTACTTATGTTGTAATGTTTTGTATGTCACAGCACACATTTAAGGAATGCATCATACGATCACCTGCTCGAACCGTACTTCTACGTAGCGTAGATTATGAGTGAATGGCATTACGAACTTCTTCATAATACGTCGGCATGCGTCTGTTGAATCCAACAAAAATGAGGACAAGATTCACGGAGAGTACGGAAACTTCGGGATGCCAGAAAACAGACAACCTTGGCACTCACAGATACTCGTGCCATTCTGCTCATGTGGGATTATAATCGAGGTCTGGGTCAAGTTGAATTGCACCTGGGAAGAATTTCACAAATGTGCAGCTTTCGTAGGCCAGACCTGTGTTTACGGTTCTTAAGGCGATATTCTTTGCCAACCTTTGATGTAGTCTGACTTTTACTCCGCAAAAATGTAAGTTCAGGCTCACTCCCCCGCACCACCTCAGAAATGGCGCCGTAAATCAATTCTTAATACTTTCAGCTACTCAACGACCAGCCTTCACAATTTTCCCAATGAAACTGGGCTAGATAACCTGTGAATAAGAGAATTTCACTCCACCTAATTTGTAGCAGGACCGCAAAATTCTTTCTACAGATGCTGGCTTCGACAGACTACCCTTGAACCTTCAAGTTCCCTTGCAGATAACGGCTTCCTGCCTAAAAAGAACTTTCCCTTGGGTTGGTTGGCTGAAGAAAATTGGAGGAGGAGTAAGTATAGTGATAAAACATAAAAATCTTTGAGCACATCGTCTGATTCTCAACTTGAGAGTTCGCTTTTGAATACGAAGTACATCGCCATACTTCAACATAGCTATATAACACGACTTGAATTTTATTTTACAAACGAATGGCGCATTTCCGCCCATGCGGTTTGTGATTGCATGAAGACGTTGTTACTCGACAAAACCTCGCGTCTACAAATTGGCACCAAGTTCGAGATGGTTACTATTATGTTTCAGATGTTTCAAGATGTCGCCATATCTCTATAGATAGAATTTTGGTGATATCCTTTGATGGCAAGTCACTAAAAAACAAATGAAATACCTCTCTTTTTTGACAGACGACTGTCAACGGGCTTCATTTTCCTGTTAACTTCATATATTGATATGAAAAAATACCAGACATGCGAGGAAGGGAATGAAGTGGGTGTGGGTCCAAGGTCTACCGACGATGGGGAGTTTAAACTATGAGAAAATTCCAGATACCGCGAGCGCAAGGTGTTCTTGCAGGGAGACGCACCCGTTGCCAAGGCAAGGCCTCTCCCTATGACCTGTTATAGAATTCTCATGGAACCCTTGACTACTGCCCACCGATGTTTTTGTTTTTAGAGATTGACCAAGAAGGGGGGTATTAGTATTGGAATCATGGATAAATTACCACTGTTAGACCTCCAGATTTTGCCCCATTGCAGGTATGTATCTATTCTTGGCAAAGATACCCAAGTTTTTGGGATGAATGCCTACAAATCGAGCAGGAGGCATAGCTACTGGCGCTGGGCAACGAGCGACGAGCGCCACGGCCGCTGATCGCGCCGCTTACGGTCTGTCACCACTTTTGAGATTCCGCCGAAAACCTTAATCCCAAAAAGGATCAACATCACATGACCGGCGAAAAGCTTGAGAGACTCCGAAGAGACGCGTCGAACCACTTTTGAGATTCCGCCGAAAACCTTAATCCCAAAAAGGATCAACATCACATGACCGGCGAAAAGCTTGAGAGACTCCGAAGAGACGCGTCGAACGCGTCCACCTCAGCGCAACCCCATCCATCCCGCCCATCCTCATCCTCAGCGATACCTTATGTATTCTATCTTTTTCTTCCCTTTATTTGTATATTCCTCTTAATCATGTCGCACCTCTCTTTCAAACTTGCGCCTCCCCCATTTGAGTCACCATCTTTTGAATCTCTCTTCCCACCAGCCATTGGCCACGCTTTGTTAATTTCACGGTTGGAGCCACATAACGCCCATTCTGTTCCACCATCAACTGCTCAGGACAGGTCTCCGCAAAACATCGATGCTCTGAAACCCCGCACAACTGTCATCCGAGGGATTCCAACAGACTGCTCGCCCTTACAAACGCTCGCGCCTGCACCTCTGCTGTCACCTGGCGCAAATGCCTTCACCGATAATCTGTCTAATAGGCTGGCTTGTGCTCCTTCTTCTCGGTTCTCTACCCTGGATTCTAATAGCGGATTCCTGAACTTTCGAGTGCACGCGCCGCCCCCTTCCTCGATACCAGCCTTAGGATGTCTTGAATATGACTTGGCTCGAGAGAAGTTCACCAACAGATGGGAAACCTGGGAAGAGTTCGGTTCTTGGCTGAAGCGTGAGCAAGCGGAGAAAACAGTTGAGTTGCGACTTTCAAAGACTGTTCACGGTGATGGCAATACCTTCAAGGCGACATTCTATTACTTGTGCTCACGACATGGAAGCGGCGGTGTCAAGACCTATCGAAAAAAGCATCCTGAATGGCATCGAAAGGTCCCAAACAAACGTATGGACTGCCCTGGCTCCCTTCGTGTCAAAACATACCCTGGATCTTCAACTGTTCTTGGGTTCTATGATGCAGTACACAACCACGACACTGGAAACGCTAATCTGCCATATGTGCGCATTTCAACAGAGACTCGAGAGTTTATTGCAGGCCTACTTCGCTTGGGTGTTGAACCGCCCCACATTGTAAGGGAATTTGGGCTTTAATCAAATTGACAGTTGCGTTCTAACTTCTCATCATGTTTAGCTCACGTTGGTTCATCAAGGTGTTTATCAGCAGGACGACAATGAGACAGATCAAAATCTTCGTCGTGATTTTTTTATTACAATGTCAGATATATACCGCTTAAAAAAGGATATTGACGCAGAAACAACGAGACTCCATTCTGACGACGGACAATCAACGTTAGCATGGGTAGAGCGACTGCGAGATCAAGGCGCACTGCTTGGCTTCAAAGGAACATCAGACCCACCTCCGTTAGGGTCTAATCTCGAGGCGGATACCTTTTCCCTGATGATTCAGACTCGATGGCAAGAGAAGATGTATCAAAAGTTCGGCAATCACCTTGTAGGGGTCGACGCGACTCACAATACAACTGTCTACCGCAATCTCAATCTTACAACAATTATGGTACGCGACTACTGGGGCCACGGGATCCCTGTCGCTTGGATGCTGGCTTCAAAGGGAACTGAAGAAACAATCACCTATTTCATCAAACTCATTTTCATGCGAAACCCCTCCGTGAACCCTCGGAACGTGATGTCTGACCGAGACCACGCTCAGATCAATTCATGTGTAAAGGTCTGGGTTGCTGCGGTGATATTTCTCTGTTGGTGGCATGTTCTCCATGCCTGGCAGCAACATCTACGGATCGGTGATCACCCTGAGCTCTGGAAGCTTCTGAAGGCCTGGGTACGTGTCTCGAGCTCAACAGAGTTTGACGAAATGTGGCGCAAGATCAAGGAGCTGTCCCCCAAGCCGTTTGTAAAGTACCTCGAGACTACCTGGCTTCCGGAACGCTACAAAAAAATGTGGTCGAACGTCTATCGGAAAGGCCGAAATATTCATGAAGACATCGATACCAACATGCTCCTTGAGGCATGGCATCATGTCTTGAAGGGTAAATTTCTTCATGGCAAGCGAAATCACCGAATGGACCACCTTCTTCACTGTCTTGTCAATGAAGTACTTCCTCATTATAGATTGAAGCAGTCGCGTCAAGAGATCGGTTTCCAGGGTGCAAATCTTGAGGTGTCGGCACGAAAGGAGGTGGCCAAACTTGCCACCGAACAATATGCGCACATTTCTATTACGGTACGCATTACTAGATCAGTCTCAATTCATGCTAGCTCACAAAAAAAACGTCAGAAAATTGACGATAGTCATTTTATTGCCCCATCACACACTAATCCGGATAAGAACTATGAAATTGACCTCGATTTGTATCTTTGTAGCTGTCCTGTATTCCCCCGCATACGCTTTTGCAAGCACATGTGTGCCGTCCAGATTTTCTTTAGTATTCCTAGCGCGGACGCGCCGCTCTTCGATTCGACAGCCTCCCCACTCGAAAACCTCCCACCATCCCCTTCTACTCCTTCACGGCCTGTCGAGGGATCAAGCCCGAAGATTGGTCCTGGAAGTCATAATGACACAATTCAGAAACTTGAAAGAGTAGCCGCAAGGCTTAGAGAAATTGACGAACCACGTTTTTCTCTCGCAAACCTCAACACCGCCCTCGACGAATGCTTAAACATTTCGGGACCGCTCTCTAAGGCTGGTGTGCTTCCGGCCTCTCAACAAGTGGCACCAAATGTACGCACCTGGAACGAGACCAAGAAAGTCATGCCAGCAATCAAGACTGGACGGAAACGACTGGGGGACCAGGCATATGGAGCGAGGGTAGCGAGCGGGAAGAAAGCGAAGGAATGTGGATCTGGCTCGCGAACTTCAACATCGACCACGCCTGTAACTAGCCACACGGCGCATCCAACTCTCCTTCCAGCACCAACCGCTCTTCTGCAGCCACCGATGCCAGTTCCTCTACACCCAGCGCCGATGTGGGTTCCATCTGGTTACCCAGTTCCTGGAATTTACAATAGGTATCAGTACATATCGTCAAGCCCTATCGCCATGGGAAACCAGTATTTCCACTCCCCACATACCTATCCTCCAAGTGCTTGAGCCGTTTTGTGGCGATTTCTTCGTATATTGATTTGTATGAAAATCTACCATCGTTGAAATTACGTGTACGCAAGTAAGAATGATTTGGAAGTGGCATTGGAGTGGTGAGAAGGCAGGAGACGAAAGTTCACGACCTTAAGAAAATTTCGACGAACACTCGGTTATGTTGGTCGCCGGACTCACGTGATGTTTTACCATTTTAAGAATTAAGGTTTTCGGCGGAAAGTGAACAACTGTCTGTCACCCTGACACTCAGGTTATTTTTAGACATCAAAGGAAGCGATCACTGAATCAATTTGGATTTGACGTGTAGTGATAGAGCGGGAATGACCCCCAGAGGCCAATTCCTACCAGACAAAGAATTGGCCTCTGAGGCCTTCTGTCACTCAGAAGCGTCAGGCCTGAGGTGATACAAACATCCCACCAAAGCTTATTGATTATCACCTACATAGGTATGATTCAATCCTTCGTTCAACTCCCCACATCTAACCCTCCGTTCGTATACTGGCAGTATGTGTGCCTACTATATTGGTTCGGATTAGCATGCACAAGGACTGGGTTCGACTCCCAGATGGAGAATGGTGCTCTCGATTTTCGGATAAGAGGAATTTTTTTCCTCGTCACTTCTTTTCCTTTGCGTCGATCGATTGGGAACAACGTAAACCCATCTACTTAGTCCTATACGACTGTTTCTAAATAGGCACTATTGGATTGTGAAACTTGCACAGTGTATGCGAACCATCAATATTTGATCAATATCCTGCCCGAGCTAACTATCTTTCCAGGATCATCTCTAGCCCCAAAAATCCTCATCTATTCAACCTCACAAAGATCCTCCTACATCCTGCCCTCTAGATCTCCGTTCGTATACCGGCAGTACGAGTGCTATCATCAAGTGGTGGAAGAAGTGACTAGTATGCACAGAGACTGGGTTCGACTCCCAGACGGAGAGTATGATCCTTGAAGGGTCAGTTTTTTTGATTGGTGTGTATATTTGATTTTTGACTTCATTGAAATGACGACAAAACTGACTTTCACGGTCGTCACGCAGACCTGAAAACCACCTATCCAACCCCAAAAAAATTCCTCCCATCTCGATCCCTCTACAAAAATTATGATTGTTCGCGAAAAAGCTCGGTTCGATTGTCAGACGGATAGTGCGTTCTCATGCACGGGCTTCAATTCCGAGACAAAGGGTTCACTTGACACTGGGGGGGGAAGAGTTAGGTAGTACTCCTTCATGCATCCGAGCTCCTCGAGCTTGGATCAGCCAGTACAGTTTTTTAAAAAAAGCATTTTTATTGGTGTCTCGCTAACAGCTCGTCAATTCCAATCATTAGTCCGATGACGAGTTACGCTCAACACTTGAGAAAAGTACCTATATTCAATTTCTTTGTTAGTACATCGGCGAGTACATGCACCTCCCCATCGACCACGCAAAGCACTGAGAAACGCTATTCGTCAACACAGGCCTCTAACCGATTCGGCGCTCATTGTCAATCCATACCTCAAAGTCCACAATGACAGCTTCCTCAACATCCGCACTCACAACGTCGACCTGTTGTGGTTATGATGATCAGCATCATATGAGTGTTACGTGCATGGTATTTTCAACGTACACATCATGCGCTGACAACGTCCACCCTGCCGTCACCCGCCCTATTGTCATTCTCCTTGATCATGGCCATCTTCGAAGATCAAGCTCCAAGCCTCCGCTTACATCCCCGTCTTCGTGAGCAGTCGATTCGGATGCGGAAGAGATTGAATGTCAAGGTGTGAACGTTGTCTCGTCGGAAGAGTCCGCGTGAAGTGCGTTATCTTCGTTGATGGAGACCAGTGGATCCTCATCCACCGCTATGCAGGGCAATCCATCTTCTGCGAGGTCGCCCCTTCATCGGCAATATCCCGTCGTCGAGCTGTGGAGTCAGGTTGAACTGGGAGGAGAGGGCGATGGGCGATGTGTGGGAGATGAAGAAGGGCGGGGAGGTGATGTTGACATGGTGGAAGCGTGTTTGGGTTGGTAGGTCGGATGGGAAGTGTACCTTTGGAGGCGGCGGAGCGTTCCGAAGAGGCACTGGCGTACACGAGGAAGAAGGGACGGGGTACCAGACTCGACCTCCACGTCCATCCTATCATCCACGTCCTTCACCTCCTCATCCTCATCCTTCAAAAACGGATCCATCTCTTCCTCCGGGCAGAGGCGTAGTGGTGGGCTTCAAGATCGACTTGGACACCGTCGTCGGGCGAGGGCATTTCCGTGGTGGTGGTGTTGGCGTAGTTGGCGGACTAACACTAGAAGAAGGCGAGGTGCTTATTTTTTACGGCGAATCGAGGGGGACGACGATATCCTAGGTCTAGGCCTCACGGGGAGGGTTGGTGACGAGCGTAATAGCGCATGAGTACCCCCGCCTGCAGCAGCAACAGAAGAAGGAAACGGAACGACGTTGGCTTGAACACAAGCGTGGTGAGGCAGATCAACCGCCATGCGATGTTTCCCGGTATGAGCAGAGACACTAGCGAGAGAGAGCGTGCACGTCGGCAGCGACTTGCGCTGGATCGACGTTAATTGGGGGATGTTGGTCGTATCGAGCAGGCCAAACCAAGCAATACCACGTTCGCGTTTGTCACGTGTCCCCTGTCTCTCTGCTTCTAGCCTGTTGCTAGCCTGGCGCCAACTTCTAGCTTCAAGTTCCGATGTCGCCTCGAGGCTTCAACAACGTCAGCTGGGCTTACGCGGATTGAGCTGGTGCAGGTACACTTTGGAACGTGCTGGCAGGGTACTGGTGTTTGTAGCTGCTATTACATAAATAAAATAAAATAAAATAAAAAGAGGAAAAAAGCGAAAGAAAAGAGAATATTTCTTATCTTATCTTATCTTCTATACATGAGCTGTAAACTACTAGCCCATCCTTCCATTTCCACCTACATCTGGGCAGCTCTGGAGCACTTTCAAGGATGTAGGTTGGAGTAACTAACCCTTTTTTTTTTGGTGGGGTGCATGTGAAGCACTTCCACTTTGATGTTGAATTAGTTTTGACCAAACAGGATTCTTTCTTTGTACATCTACAACCTGGCATTGTGATTTTGTTTCTGAAAGTTTGATGATAACTTACAGTAGTTTTCATATGTGAAACTATGACATGTGATGCTATAAAATGAAAAATCTCATCCTGTTTCCCTTTGCATGATTACCATTCCATATAATTGCAGCTTTGCTCTGGATCTTGGTTTTTCTCTCATGCATAAGCTTTGTACACAACTAAAAGTCATCAGAATCTCCATCCCAGATAATCATACAACCATCTAAACAAGGGGGAAAAAAACAAGGGACACACCAGCTGTACAATATTCTTTCCAGTAGATAGGGTAAAATTTTCTGGGTGATACAGTCAAGTGTAAGACTTATGCAAGTGCTTGAAAATATCTTATACAGAAAGACATAATCTATCCAAAGCTTCAGTTGAAATTTCAGAAGATTAACAAGCCACAATTTAAAATTATGTTTATCAAAGCAATGAGGTATTACTCTTTTATTTCAAGACTTCAAATTCTTGTACTCAGGAGTTAATTTTGTCCAAAACATGAGAAATGTCTGTTGGATTTCTCAGGGTTATTTCTATGGGATTTCTTTACAATTTTTCCAGTTGTTTTGGCAGTTGACCAAAAATTGCCATAACCCCACATGCCATTTTGGTAGTTGTAAATGGCCTATGACCTGTGACTGTTGAATTGATAAAAATGGCACAGTAGCAAGTTCAGAATTCAAAAATGTCAATTTCAACTGATGTTGCTGATTTAACAATTTTTTGAACAGTAAAATGCATAAAAATTTGGTAGCTCATACTCATGTAATAATCTCAGTATAATGTCGATTTTATATGATGTAAAAATGTAGTGGAAGACGGCAGAGAGGGCAAGTATTACAGAAGCAGGCTGGAGATTATTGCTATCACATAAGCAAAAGCATAGCCACCTGCTATCACATAAGCATATGCATAGCCACCTGCTATCACATAAGCACATAGCCACCTGCTATTATGTAATAGCAGCTACAAACACCAGTAGACTGCCAACGTGCTGCTAGGAGTGAGCCTTGAGGACCATGCAAGGGCTGAACTGGCGACCCTTCAAGTTTCAATTTCGCGCCCTTGACAACACCAATTTTTCAGATCTCTCTTGTCATTTCGTCAGGTTCTTGTCCTACAGGCCCGGATTGGATAGGGGTGAGGACAATGGGTGCTCGATATTGCACAGTGCATAATGAGGGGTGCGTTGAGAATCACACCAGACTTTTGAAGTTACCTCACATCTGTTTCGCCAGCTGAATATGATTCTCGTGTTAACAGGCTTTCAAACGTCCCATCTGTAACCATCTCCGCTCGTACATCGGTAAGTACATGTGCATAAGTACCATATCATGATCTCAGACACACAGAAACTGGGTTCGACTCCCAGGCGGAGATTTACAGCAGTGGCTCTCCTTGTTTTTCTCGTCGTCAATTACAGCAACTCATCGTCGTTTCATAATTGTGCGTACCAACTAATAGGTAAGCACAAAACACCTCCCCTTCAACCCCCGCATAAACCTACCCACATCCAACCCTCCATTCGTATACCGGCAGTACGTGTGCCCGCTATCGTCGACAGCTTATAGTGGCAGAGTACGCGCACAAAGACTGAGTTCGACTTCCAGACGGAGAGGATGCAAAGGGCATGCTAAGACCATTTTTACATTGCGCGTTACAGCTCCTTCGATTTTACCCCCACCGTCCCAACCAATAAAACACCCACCTACCAACCTCCCATTCATGCCCCGCATAAACCCTCCCACATCCAACCCCTCCGTTCGTATACCGGCAGTACGTGTGCCTACTATGCTGCAAAAAGATTCTAGTCCGCGCAAAGACTGGGTTCAATTCCCAGACGGAGAAGATGCATCCGTTGAAGCGATTTTTACATCGCGCGTCGTTATCGCTTCTTTTCCTCGTTGTCACTGCCTGCTAATGAACACAGAACAGTGCGCAATCATTTGGCAATCACAAAACACGCACCCATCCACCTACCCACCTCCCATTCAACTCCCCATAAACCCTGCCATACCCAACCCTCCATTCGTATACCGGAAGTACGTGTGCCTATTACACATTGCCAATTCCATTCAGGCTGGTACGCGCAAAGGCTGGGTTCGATTCCCAGACGGAGAGGATGAATCCAGTTTATCATTTCTTTTCCTCGTTGTCACTGCTGCTTGCTAATGAATGGCACAGTGCTTGCAACTGCGCAATCACAAAACACACACCCATCCACTTCCCATTCAAGTTCCGTGTAAGCCCTTACACATCCAAACCTCCGTTCGTATACCGGCAGTACGTGTGCTATTATTTCCACACAGGTTCGAGGAATATATGGTACGCGCAAAGACGGGGTTCGACTGCCCGATGGAGACTAAGTGGTAACAGTTTTTTCATCTTTGTCTTGTCATTACTTACGCTTACTTCTTCATATTCACAACGTAGTCTCAGGTTGCATCTGGAACAGGTGAATATGTCCCATAAAATACAAACATCCCATCGAAGGCATATCGACTATCACCTACAGAGGTATGATTCAAGTCTTCGTTCAACTCCCCACATCTAACCCTCCGTTCGTGTACCGGCAGTACGTGTGCCTACTATATCGGTTCGGATTAGCCTGCACAAAGACTGGGTTCGACTCCCAGATGGAGAATGGTGCTCTCGATCTTCGGATGATAGTAAATTTTTTCTGTCACTTCTTTTCCTCGTCGTTTCTCGGTAACAAGTAAACCCATCTACTTACTCGTGTACGTTTACTTTTGAACATTTAGTACTAACTTTTGGAGGCATGTTGAACGAGTGAGTACGCTTCGCATACAAGAATCCTACCGGAGCTTATAAAATTCCCTCACTATATCCTGCCTAAGCTAACTATCTTTCCAGGATCATCTCTAGACCCAAAAATCTTCATTTATTCAACCTCACAAAAATCCTCCTACATCCTGCCCTCTAGATCTCCGTTTGTATACCGGCAGTACGCGTGCTATCATTAAGTGGTGGAGGAAGTGTCTAGTATGCACAGAGACTGGGTTCGACTCCCAGACGGAGAGTATGATCCAGTGGTCAGTTTTTTTGCTATTGTGATTGGTATGTACACTAACTGATCAAAAGTAATGTCACATGATTTTTTGGACAAAGTTGGTGCTATAACACAAGAACCAGACATTTTAAGAACTAAACTCTGGTGCATGAAACATAGCTAAAGAGGTGTAGATTGTATATACCAAGTCTGGGGATGAACAAATAAAAACTCAGGATAAGGCAGGGCATTGACTGTGACAACTCCCAAAAATGGGATGTGACAAAGTGAGAAATTCTGAATGACTGCAACCTACTGGAAGCAATTAACAACTTGAGGAAGAGATATTTTGAAAACTGGATCTCCCTACTATTGTTATGAGCTTCATAAAGTCTTTGGGCTAGAAAATTCTATATCCTCCCCTAAAAGGTAAATTCGAACTTGTTGTCAATTTATGTATTTTTCACTTAATATATTTGTTGGAATGAGGTAAAATGACTCCCTATCAATGTTTGTAGTGTGTATAATACAAAGGTAGGTAGAAATGTTAAAATGAACATTGCATAATGTCTGTAGAAGCTAATTTCCAGAGTTTTCTGGAGGTAAACAAGTATCTACGGCAGTGGTCCTTCTTTTCTTCAAGAAGAAAAAATGCTACCATCCTTTTGAATTGATCCATGGAGACTCAGGATGTCTTTTAAACAATGCCTGAAGTATAGCATGATAGCAAATAGATTGTCACTGGGTATAACTTGAAAAGTCCCCAATAAAAATACATTTTGCATACAGCAAGAAAAGTGTGGGGGTTTCACATCCTTGTCTAATAGAAGCTCTGTTTATTTCTTTAGGATGGTGTTAGTAGGCATGAGAAGCGCCTTGTGAAATATTTTCAGCCCCAACTCATTAAGAAAAATGTCAAGGATTGGTCTAAGATGATTGTT